ACAAATTTTCAAATATACAGTATTCTCAACTATTCCCAAAATCCAGAATTTACTATATTAATTTAGACCAATTTCTACCATATTCAAAAAACAATTATTTCATTAAATTGAAATGCAATTCTCCTTCCATCGTGAACCCCAGGTATGTTAAAACAAAATATGAGAGCAGAACGTTAAAAATTAGATATTCAAAATTAAAAACTTTTGACATATATTAAATATTATTTGCAAATTAGACAAAGACAAAAATACATTTTTAAGAACTTTTTTTGAGGTCAAGACTAATTCCAAATCATGTGTTTTTTTCCAAGCTATGCCCAAAGTTAGCAAATCAGATGCTGACATATATGGTTTTGCCATAAAACTGCATTGAGAAGACTGAAAAAAGTGGAAAAAGTAATGATCAACCGTTTGCAATTTAAAGTGAAAATACTTCAGTGTATGAAAACAAACTTTTCAGACAACAGTGAGTTTTCTTCATTTTTGTATCCTACAACTTTTCTTAGAGCAATCATTCAAATTGAAAAACAATAACAAAACAGCAATGCTAAACTATATTATTTCATGAAACGCTCGTCTTCTGGAACCGATTGCCAAAAAAAATTCCAAATACTGGAACTTTTTTAAAACAAGCTAAATAAGTGGAAAAATAACTACAGTAGTTCCAGGAATTCCAGAAAAGTTTCATGTTCATCCCTTCGTGAAAACAACCACCATTTGAAACAATGATTGATCTTTAATTTCACTTTGTGTCCTATTGCAGGAGTAACAATAATGTTGCAATTTACAATCATATTATGGTGTTTCGTGCCTAGCGATTCTTCAAGATGTAACTGAATTGTGTAACTGATGCATTGTGATTAAATATACTTTGCAAAATTAAATGCAAGAAATGGTGCAAAAATAATAGGATTTCTATTATGGTCCTATAATGTTAAAAACAACAGTATACATGTTTGAATTTAAGATGTTATTCTATTGTTATAATATATGCAATAGCAAGTTGTTTACAACCGAGCGATAGAATATAAGCATATAACGGATTTGGGCACCATATTTTGTCTTCACAAATTTGGTGTGACTTTGCATAATAAATCACACAAATGAATGTTTCTCTCACTTTGCTTTATGTTGAGGACTTATATGCATTGCTTTTATATTTTGCATTTGCATGCAAATCAATGTCAAAGTTACTTGTTGCTGTAAAAAGTGAATCCTTAACTTTGTAAACAACACATATATTACTGAGCTTACTATAGTTCAGCATTTTTTTATAGGCTATTATAATTATTTCAAATTTCCTTTTCGTCGCACATCGGACATTATTTTCAAGCCCTATACACTGAGAGAATGAATCAATTCACCATGTCTGTGAATAAAATTGAACATTGTACCCTTCTAATTCAAGCCGTGTTTCATTTTCTATGCTTACGATATGAAAATCAATGTGTTGAACGAGGTTGAAGTTGTGTCATAATTCGATAAAACTTATGAGTTACCTCATCATACCGGTGTTGTCACACGTGTGTGTCAGAAATGATAACGGTTTGCATCACATAAATCATGATTAGGTGACATACATCAAATAACGTCAATGCAAAATAAATCATCTACTATATATACAAAAAGCATATAGTTCTTGTAAGCGTAGTCGTACAAAAATACCATGTATAACAGGCAACAAAAAATATATACATCATTTAACATCCTTTACTATATATAGGTCTACAAAGAAAGTATACCATTCAATGTTAGTATAGCATAACCTTGAAAAATTACAAACGAAAACAACATAAGTATAGAAAGCACTAAAACCAAACGCTATACGTCTCTGACAATTTGGAAGCATTATATTTCTTAGCACTATCTGCGTTTTTTGAATGCTCACCTCAAAAGCTAGATAAGTTTTATGAAATGAAGTTCAAATGAGAATAGCATGCATAATGAGAACTAAAACAAACATACATCATTTACAAATAAAAATAATAATTCGAATCTACAATAAATAAATGCTCATCTACAATGCATAGAAAGCCTTATTATAGTAAAGTTCTCAAAACATCAGAATAAGCTACAAAAGGTTACTTAGTATCCATCAAATTGTCTAAATTTATGAAATTTTAGATTCTGATCAAGATTTTGAAGAAAAGACCACATACTCAAACCATGTGCGACTTTTTGACAACATACAAACTGAAAAAGACAATTGAAAAATGGGGTTCAAACTACAAACCATCACAACATATTGCCGCAAGAAGTGTAAAAAACATGCTCTTTTGGCGTATTCTACACCAAAACAATAACAAAAATTCACTGCACAGACAACAAATTTCCTGTCAATAAGGCATGGCATAAACAATAGGAGTGAGTGAATGAAGGATAAAAAGTTGAAAACAATAATGCCAAGTTTCTGCAGGATTTCCATAAAGAAGCAAAGGTTCCGAATTAATATCACTAATAATTTCATTAATTTAGCAATTTTCACAGATTGCGAAAATATAGACAAAGTTGATAATAGGCAACAGAAAGCACGGGGTCTGTAATGTTCATAATTTATGACGTTCCAAGTTTATCATGGAAAATAATCAATACAAAATTATCTCATAATCTCATGCGTGTAACGATTATTCCAAAATGTTGTCATTGTGTCATGGTTTTACATACAACTAACATTTCATGTTTAGAATCCATAATGGAAAACTTGTTAAGTTGAATGTCAGAATATCGCTATCTTTCAATAAGGATGAAATATTTGCATGTGAGAATTGGGGATTCTGAGAAAATATTTTTAACTATGGAATATCGAATACATTCTAAATTAGCAAGTTCATGTTGAAAATTACATAAATTACCATATCCTCAAATCATTTTCTATCAGTTGAAAATTGAGATATTGTACGTTTTGACTTGCCTAATTTTTAGATGACAATGTTCTAAATTATTCCTTAATTCAAAAATTTACAATATAGAACATAATGAATCTCAAATATATTCGAATATTCAATTCGATTTGAAAATCCCTTATGACAATTGCTTATTATTTGTTGTAATCTAATGTTAGAAATCAGATGCAGATAAACTATTGTTCTTCCCTAGCCTATCTTCTGATCTGAACTAACCGGGGGGTACCTCATAAAGCCATCTAGCCTGATAAATGCTAAAAAAATATACAAAAATATTGAGATATGGACTTTTTACCCAATATCTGCAATGTACATTCTCTTACACTTTTCCTAACTCATTCGGTTTTGCAAAATTCTACATTGTACAAACCCACAAAGCAAAAACACTTTATCTTTCCTGTGCAGATGGTTAATTTTACTGGCAGAACAGTAAAATTTAAATTTCAAATACCTTTCAAAAACCTTGCAAAAACGTGGTTCTTAAATTTTCACCAAATTTTACATATATTTTTTGACCTCTCATTTTCCAATATACTTTCCAAAGTGTACCGATACTGATCAAAATGTAAAAGTAAATACTGCAAAATTTGTCGTTACTCTATTATTAAACCAAGATGTCAGTGCCATCCGGCATATTAGAAATATACAATGTTTGCTATGGGTATATATGGCTGGCGACAAACAATAGCTACTTAAACACTTATAACAGGGCAAATATTTAGCTTCTAAGGATAAGGCATCGTACGATATGGCATGCGGCGTTTAAATAATAAAGTTATATAAAACAAATGCAAGCTGATGATATTACTAAGGTTTCTTCGACACGCAACCTGCATTCTTAACTTCCTTAATGAATATAATATCAATATACTAAATTACCGGCAGAGCAATGGACATTGAAATTGAACGAACGGCTACTCCACGATCGTATCTGAATTAAAATTCTAGAAATTTCGAGTTCGATAATTCGAATGAGTTTCTTTCGCAGAATATTATGAACATGTATGATATAAAATTGCAAATCGCATCATAAAAAATGCAATTTCAATTCGTACTCTAAACTTAGAATTTCATTTCTTGAAAGAAATTAATTCCACATTTCTTGTACAAAAACTAAAGTTTAACTGAATATAGGTTCTATTATTAAATTTGGGCAAGCAAAACTACTTTTGTAAAAGTACAATTCATCTTATATTTCTAAATAATTGGGGCAAAGCTTAAATACCACAAACAAAACAATATTGTCTCACTATCATTATTTTGCTGCATAACGAGGAAAATCAAAATATCATTCTAAATCACATTTACAGAATAAAGCATCAAAATAAATACATATAGATATCTTATCATACCACTGATACGATTAACCTGGCCTGGCAAAAACTCTTTGCATTTTTGCCAACTCTACAATAGCGACAGTAGAAATCAATACCTTGCTATATTAATAGACCGAGCATGGATATAAATGACTGATAAAATGATGCCAAATATTATAAGCTATTTTATTCAAATTTTGCAGCGTGAACTTTAGGTTCATTCAGGTACATATATCAAGAAATGATCTGATTTTAAACTGCAAAATTATAAAATTACAGACAGTTTTATTAGCAGTGTGGCTATACAAAAAAAGTTCAAAATTCTTAAACTAATTCTGTCTAAATATGTCAAAACAGGTAAGGTTAAGGTATTGTGTATAAAAGTGTAAGTCATGCCGAGGCTAAACGCCAAGTTGACAAATTTGAATAATATTATTGACGTTATTAAAACCCTATAATTTTTTTTTAAATAGCACAATGACGTCTGCTGATTGATGTTCAGTTCTAAATAATTTCAGGCAGCAGGTAAGAGACCAAGAGCCTTAGCATGAAACTGAGCCATTCTGTTCCACAGACTACAAAACCGAAGAACATTTACATGATAAATTTAATTTTCACATGTCTGCTTAGCAATCAGTTTGAATTTCAAATAATCTTATTAAATTTGTCGATATTTAGCATAGTATCATGAATATATCTGCATCTACTGGTTGCTAAATTTTGCTTTCACTGAAAAAATTTGATTCTAAATAGTGTCTTTTCCACCTAGAATTAATTTCAAATTTCTTTCGCACTACCGTAAAACGGGGTGACTTTGACCTCACGGGTTGACTTTGGCCCCATTTTGAGAATTTGTTTAAAACCCACCCAAATCTACTTTTATTTGATATTTCCCATTTTATTTTGTTTTGATACTGTAGTTAATAACAGCAGCAATAATTATACAACAAAAAATCTTGTCACTTTATGAAAAATATTTGGGAAAAAAAACTTTTTCATTTGGAGGGTCAGAAATAAAAAAATTGAAAAAAAAATCGCAACTCAGTACTTTTATTGAGAAGTCCAAAAAAGAAACATTCAATTGTCCTTATTCTTTACAGGTTGGAAGAGATATTCTCTGTGAAGGTTTTTATGGTGTTTGGAACAAGTTTAAACTAGTTGGGGGCGTATGAGGGAGGTTTTTTGCCCACAATGCAAAATTCCATGTAATATGGTACTGACTTTGGCCCACCTTATTACCCTATACAAACCTACTTTTTTGTTTTATTTTTCAGAAATAAAACGAATTTATTTTCTCATTCTAGTCATCCAGTTAATCTATAAATGTAAACAGTTTATTTCAAATCATGGTGAGAAAATTCAGTCGTGTTTTGGGCAGTAGAAGATACCATGATTATAGTGAGAAAAAACTTCAGCGAGCTCTGGAAGCAATTAAAAGGGGAGAATCGCAAAGAAACGTTGCAGCACAGTTCAATATACCTAGGAGTACTTTGAAGAATAAGTTGAAACTGAGGCACATGAAAAAATTTGGTGGGCAAACAGTTTTATCTGCAGAAACTGAGAAAATTCTAGTGGAGCACTGCATAGCCGTAAGCAGTTTTGGTTTTCCGATAGCACAGGAAGATTTGAGAAGCATAGTTAAAGCTTATCTTGATGCAAAAGGAGTGACTGTCAGTAAATTTCACAGCAATTATCCTGGAGTTGAATGGGTGAAAGCATTCTTAAAAAGGCACTCAGAACTAACGGTGCGATTCGCAACGAATATAAAAAAGAAAAGGGCAGGGGTATCGAGTGAGACTATTGAAAAATATTTTGAAAACATCGAAGAAGAGTTGGATGATGTGCCCCCGGAAAATATTTGGAATTATGATGAAACAAACTTAACTGATGACCCAGGTATGAGTGACTTTGCTTTTAAGTATATACAGTACTACGGTATTCAATTTTTCAAGCGTTCTTTGTTAATCCCCTTTTTTAAAATATTTACTGCGTCAAATCAAATTTTAAACTATTTATGGTGTTATGTAAAATTTCACTTTGGCTTGCAGTCTAGTATGGATAATAAATATTACTGTATTGTGATCAAAGCATTTATTTTTAGGGCAAAAGAAGATAATATGCAAGCGCGGCTGCAAATACCCAGAAAGAATCCTGAATTCGACAAAATCTGCAATAAGTTTGATGTTCTGTGGGAATGCAGCAGGAGCAGTGATGCCACCGTATGTAGTGTACAAAGCCGAGAATCTGTGGAGCACTTGGGTTGAAGGAGGACCACCAGGGACACTATACAACAGATCAAGATCAGGCTGGTTTGATGGATTTAGTTTTCAAGATTGGTTTAATCGAATGGTGCTGCCTAGGCTGAAGCGTCAAAATGGGAAAAAAGTTCTCATTGGGGATAATTTATCCTCCCATATCAGTCCAGATGTTCTGAAATCATGTCTTGATCACAATATAGCTTTCATATGTCTACCGCCTAATTCGACGCACCTCACCCAACCCCTGGATATTGCCTATTTCAGGCCAATGAAAGTCGCTTGGAGATCGATATTGAATTCTGTGAAAAGTAAAGAAAGAAGGCAGACATCCGCAACGCTAAGAAAAGATGAGTTTCCAGCACTTTTGAACAAACTCTGCTTTGCTCTTGATGTCAGGGGAGCAAACAACCTAGTTGCAGGATTTAAAAAAGCAGGACTTGTTCCGCTCAATAAAGAAGAAGTTCTCAGTAGATTACCAAGAACTACGAGTCATGATGATTCTGATGTTATCAGTGAAAAATTTCTTGAGAAAATTTCAGATTTAAGATCTTCTGTGGCAAAGGAAACTAAAACAAGAAAGAAGGTTCAGGTAGAACCTGGGAAAAGCGCATGTGAGGAAGATGTGGCAAGACTTGAAAAAACGGTTTCAAAAAAAGCTCAAGCAAATCAAAATATTGAAGATTCAGATTCAACGGTTGAAATTGTTTCCTCAGACGATGAATGCGATGAAGCCTCTACTCCTGAATCATCCAACTCTCACTCTGTAGTTTCAACTGCTCATCACTTGCCATTTGAAGAATGCAACATTGGTGATTATGTTATAATTTCGTATGAGGGTGAATTATACCCTGGAATTGTCAAAACCCGCACAACTGACGGGTGCGAGGTGAGTGTCATGGAGAAGTCTGGATGTAACTGGAGATGGCCATTTCGGAAAGATCAGATTTTTTACGACTGGAGCAGCATAAAACGTTGTATCAGTCCCCCAGATCTCATAAATGCGCGAGGCATCTATAAAGTGTCTGAATTGAACTGAACTGACCTTTTTGCCATGATATCAACTGCTATGAATGAATACAGACATGTTTAATTTTGATTTTTGCAGTGCCATTATAAAATGGCCGATTTCGTTGAGTGTTCTAATTTTTTTGGGGTTTCTGTTTTTTTAAAAAGTCTCTGTGGGCCAAAGCCCACTGTAATAAATGTTTTCTTTGTCTCAGTATGGGTACAGCTTAATTTATGGGGAGAAATAGGCACTGGGCCAAAGTGGTACCGAAATTGCTGGTGACTTTGGCCCACCGTAAATTAAAAAAAATAATATAGAAAAAACAAATATTTTGGTTCAATGATTATGCACGACGTATACCCCCTCTAAAATGCATAGTTTGGACCCGGAATAGCAATTCATAGATTTTTAATATTCGAGATATTTTGACTGAAAGACCAAAAATGGGTCATAGTCACCCCGCTTTACGGTATATTCTTTGATCATTCGTAGTGTCAAGCCAAATATTTTTTTTCAATTAAAAACTACAAAAACAATGAATAATGAAGATAATTAAATCTGTAACTTACAATTATAGGGGATATGTATGTCACAAAATCAACAACCCTAGCTAATAGAATGTTAGTCCAAAATCTTAGTTTATAAAAAAACACTGACAAGAAAAAAAAAATTCTCTGTAAAAATTTCCAAGTTTAAGGCCGTATTACATTCTTCTTGCTGGTAAAATTTCCAACTTCCAACAAAATTTCACCCGATTCGAAATTCAATAATGATTTGACAGTTGAAAAAAAGCAATACACAAATACCTGTTGGGCAGTGTTGTTGGCTATTGTTTCAGTTGGCTTCTGTTCTATCAGCATTGGAGGTCTGTAAAAAAAAAATTACTTTACAGAAAGACCGGATATAATTAAAATTTCCCAAATTGGTCATGTCAATATCTATACAAAGATAATAGACCATTTCTTGGCCAGTGAGATAACTTATTAAATTACATTTTTCTAAAAAAATGATGGAATGGCATAAGCATTATAAAAAAAATTCTCTCAAAAATATATTAATCAGAAGAGAATACGGTTATGCCAACACTAATTCTACACATCCAAAACAAATAACTGGTTACCAGTCCATGTCCTGTTCAGTTAACTAGTTATAACTGAACCGCCAAATGGCGAGGAGCCCAGCAATCCTTTTGCACATAACTATCACCCATGTGACTAGAACCTGGTTCCCATGGCAATGTTCCTAACACTAACCGCAGAGCCTACACGGACAAGTCGTCTATAAGGCATTTTAACGTAAGGATATATGGTTGAAAAATGATGAAGAAATAGTCATTTTCGCATAACATCTTAAAAATGATGCTAATCCAACCTTCTATTAGCAGAGGAATTGACAGAATTATTGTTGACATCATTAGAATGTAGTTTCGCAACATGTTTCTGCAGCGATCTGACATCCACATAAGACTTGGTGCATCCTGGTTCTTTGCATTGAAAAGGTTTGGTTTTTGCTGGACCATTACTTCTGAAAATAAGAGAGCAAACCTCAAATATATGAAGCAGAGGGTAAATGACTCCATTATAAGACTTCAAATATGAAATTTCCGTGTTCAACCACAAAATAAATTCACAAAAAAAAATTGAAAACATTGAGCCTTTCAGTGATTCCTTCCACTTCCAAGCACTAAAAATGCAAAACTGATTGGTGCATGACACAATTATGACATGACAATACATTCTAATAGTGGAAGCATTTGATTTCGAAACAAAGTCAGTATATTCTAAGCAGCGCGTTTTGGAGCAACACTTTATTTCAAAAAACAAATGTATCGAAAAGACGAGTATTTTTTCAATTCGAATAATAAACCTTAGCTACTCCATGATATAGACATTCAAACTTTTTTTTTCCTTTATAGTGTTCTCACTTTTTTACCATGAAAAAGACCTTGTACAAGTAGAAGTAGGATATGTAAACAGCAGAGCTACTACTTTTGGAAGGATTGCATGCTTTCCATTTCAGCATTGGGATTACAGGATTGAATTTACATATTTATCCCGAGAGAGAGGAAAGTCGACAAGACAGCTTAATCAAACGGCAAACCCACAGCTTCTTGTACGGTTACAGGATTAGTTAGCTAGTAATTTGTTTCAGAAGAACGAACTTGATGGTGGAGGAAGCGGTGTCTAACCAGCAGTTACATGAAACACTTTCCGGCAGCGAGTAGTCCAGCAATCCTCTCGCACATAATTATACCCACTGGATTCGAAGCTGCAAACTCACACAGGGTAATTAGAGGTGTGGTGGCGAGTTAGGTCCAACGCTCTGACACCAGGTCATCAGCCCACAATTGCCCCAAATGTATAATTCTAGAACATAAAAGTCTAGTAGCATGAAAATCTAACATCCAGTTCCTAGTGATGTTATACCTTCCTCCACCATTCCCAGTTACTTTGCGCGTCGTAGTTGCTGATGCTTTCCCAGTAGACTGTGTTTCTTTGTAAGTTTCTTTTGTGGTACTTTCATTTCCAATAGAATCCAACACCATTTGATTGCTCGGAGATAAATCTATTTGCATAATATTAGAAATATTGTATCATTAATAACAACAAGAGAAAAATGCCTAAATATATGGACCTGAAGGGAAATTCGACTAATATATACACTGCAATGCCAGTAAAATTTTACCTGATTGCTATTTATTTTTATAAAAAAAATATTACGAAATGATATATGAAGGTGAAGACCACCCAAACTTAGGGTGAAATATCAGTCCCTGTGGGACAATTTGAAAATATAAATAGTACATAAATATGAGCGGTCGCAGATTCTCCCACAGTCAAGTGGTGAAAAATAGAAAATAAATTATTCCATTTGTTGAAAGAAGCGATTTTTAACAAACTCGACAAAGAGCCGCCCACAAAAAGTTATGCAAAACAATCCACAGGTCCAAGGTACACAATCAGAAATCAATCAATCAATCAGAAAATATTAAATCACTTGCAAATCAGTATTCTAAAGGGAACCTACATAATACAGCAATGATTTGCAACATATATTGAATTCAAACATCTATTTAACAGTGAATTTATAAAATCTAATATAATACGAAGTTTAACAAATTCTACTATAATTTTTGCTAAAACAAATTTTTTTGAATATCCGTACTAAAATTTAGAGACAGTGCCACAATTAACAACCTAGAAGTATTACAATAAAGGTAGCAAATCATGAATAAATCCAAGAGGCATTTTGCGGTAATACTACCTATAAAACATGTGAATCCCTTTCTCCCAGATTAATATTAAGTCGCTCAGCATAGCTCGTAATGCCTTTTTCACAAGACAAATATAACATAATGAAGAGCAATGAGATGGTCAATTATTATACCTATACCCATTCAAATGCAAGAGAATAATTCAGACAACTAGGAAATTGATATCGAATGAATATTAATTAGTATAACAGTCACACAGTTGGAAACTTCAGTTATTACAATGTATGGTGAGGAAACCAAGAAAGCTGTAATAGATAAAGCAAGATTCAGACATTTCCATGCTGATGTAAATTCAGCCCAAATATTCAAAAGCAGTTGAACAAGTTTTAGTCATATTATAGTCACTCCCATAAATATTCACTCCCTCCTATTACATAATATAAAATTTTGAATAGTCGGTCACGTTTTCTAAAAAGCATACAACTGGCTCATACATAATAAATAGAAGTAATAGACCTAGTTGAGAACTAATGAGCAAACGTCATACATCAAATAATCAGGTTCCTAATATAAAATCACAGAAAACATACATCAAATCACACATATATTACATCATCATTAGTGAATCAACATTCTTTTTCAAGCCAAAACAGCATTTTTTCAAACAAATTATTACAAATAATACCTGGGACATAGGATTGCTCTTCGAATAAACGATACTCTGGTTCACTGCTTTCCTCGTCATGGAACTGACCACTGTCCTCCATGACGGACTGACCAGACATGTCTCCACCTCCCATGCTGTTTGGAGTTTTAGGGTCATCGCCTTAATAGGGAAATGTCTTGGAAAATATTTTTCTAAGATTTCCTTATTTCTAAGAAACGTTCTTATTTTGACATGTGTCCTTATTTTTTGTCTTATTTTAGGGGTAGCGGTTCTTTTACTGGGTTCTTAGATTGGTCAATTCGAATGATTGATTTGCTAGAAATGATATTAAAACCCCATTGATTGCTAGGCGCATTTATGGCGTAATTATACGTAACGGCAAATTAATTACCACAAGGTCAAAACAATAGCCTACCGGCAAAGATCAGTTCATGTAACTTGACTCAAAATACAGAAGAATCTGTTCCATCTCACAAGTGAATGGCATGAATACATTTTGTTTATGACATTTCGGTCTTTGTTATCTTATTATTACGTTTCCCCGATGCCCCTATTTTTGGGTTCATATTGATGGCGGCCCTGCATATCCAACAGTTTCAGAAATCTAGGACGTTTTGCACAAAACTTATGTTCTCACTAGAATATGTTCCAAATGATCTGAGTTCTGGTTTTTTCGGTCACCCTGTATAAACCGATGCACAAGTAGGCTATATATTAAAAATTCTAGACATGTATGAGCAAAGGCAATTCCAAATTGATCAGACTGATTTTAAAAAAGGAGTAAAAAAATAATCTAATTGAAAAAATGACTGTTTCTTTTAGATTTTTCCATCATTCATAAGTTTTGGCAATTTGGGGTCTTGATCCATTATATTCCTACAATTCTTTTGCACTGTGACGTTCTTTGCATTTATCACTGATTTTTGTAATACAACACTTGCTTGATACAATTATTCAAGTTTGATCAATTTGGAAATTAAATAATTTCTGAACAATTGAAAAGCATGAATTATGTCATACCAAATAAATGTGACAAGTGAGGATCTTTGCTTGACAGCAACAAATTTTTCTTGTCGCGCTTTACGGCAGATGGATCATCTGTAGAAAATTCTTCCATATTGTTTATATTTGAGAATTACTTCATCCTAAATACAAAAGAAATTAGAAATTACAAATAAAAATATCAAACACTAGAAATGTCCAATTGCTAAAATGAATGCAAAATATATATGAGAATCGAAAAATTCAAATACTTTTAACAAATACTGAATAGTCAAATAACGAACATTTTTATTATATAAATACAACAGTAGTCCAGAACGCCGGAAGTCAATATTCCATTTAAAAATTATAAGACTGAAAATTCGGTGACGAAGTGGTGAATCCAGAACACAGATTTAATATTATTTCAATTTTTATCTTCTTCCTGAATACATTGCGTTTGATCTTTTTATCAGTGTTTGTAAATGAAGTGTGCCAATTTTAAGTGAACACTATTATCATTGCTGACATCGGGGATGCAGACCACAGATGGGAGATGGGTTCAAAACAATACCCTTCTAAAATTATCTGAGAAATGGGAAAGTCGGTAATGAGAAGTGCAATTTTCTCATGGCTAATTTTGTTTTAAACTCCAATTGTTTTCGTCGGCGTGACATTGTTATTTTGGCCATGAACATCTATGTTATTTTGGTAAACTACGGTACTGCGGTATGTTTCAACTAATTCTACCTATTTGGAAGTATCTCTCTTCACATGTTGTGTGTGAATACCTCGCACTCATCTTTTTTATGGCATAAAAGCTTATTACAATGAGTAGCCTATATCATTCGTTTTTTATCGTACTGAAATAAACTAGACTCTTTGGAGTTTTATCACAGATTTTGGGATTTTTCTAAAGGCGATATCTTAAAAATATGGCATATAAATTGCTTGTGTGAGTTGTGTCGGTCATAGATTGAATGTTTCATACAACAGAAAAATTATTATCTGCTGAAAAAAGTCTGCACAATTAACAAGTGGCGTAATACCTGAATAACGGCGAAACCTAACAAATCACAGAATTATGAATTTTGCACAGAAATTCTGAAATTTGCAGTTTTTTTTTAACAAAAAGAAATTTAATTCAGAAACTTCAGTATCTTGAACAGGGTATTAATAATTCACAGAAATTTAAACATTCAGACATTACACATCATTCAAAAAAGAAATCGCTGCCACATTGCATACATTGGGGATAGTCTACTTGTACATCTCATCTTCTTACAGACAGAGATCTACAAATTTTAGGGATTGCACATGAAAACAAATTTCAGTGCTGTAAATTTAAGGTAGGTGCAAATTGCAATTAAATTATGGGCTGCCAGGCCACAGTCCAGCATTCAAACCGCGGCGTGATCAGCCTCGTGTTGCAGTCTGCAAAATAAGGATAGCAAACGGCTAAAACTGGTCTGTAAAACGTGAAAATGCCGATAATTATGAGTAATCAAGAATTACCTTACCTTGAAAAATATATTCTTTCACCTGGCATTGATTACCAATTACGTTTAGATCACGCAGAGACCAAAATTTTGCAGATATTCAAGAATAAAGTGAAAATTTTAAAACACCTTGCGCATTTTGCACACAGCAATGGAGGAACTTCATTGTGCGTGCGTGGTCGAGCGTGTCCGTACGTCACGTCGAACAAGACATGACGACGAAAGGAGAAACTGTGTTCAAATTTAAAACGTTCAAACTAAAACTAAGGAGGTCCTTTAAATAAAGCGCAATATGAATTGAGGAGTGAGTGTTTAAAATATATTTGCACTGTATAATAACGCCTAAAGTGTACTTCAAGAAACTCTGGCTAACGCGAACATGCCATTGACCATGCAAATCTGCTCACACTTGTTGTAAAACACAAAATGAATATAGGATTGAATACTTGATCAAGTTGCACCCCATGTTCATACTTCAAACCACAGAGAATGATAATAGAGAATTCACTCGCGGGTTCAAAGGTCGTTCCACATGAGTAAAGAGGTACGGAAGTAGGAAATGCGATGTTTTTCTCAGCGCGATCTATTTCAGCGTTGGCCGTTTGGCGTCAAGATGTCGCGGGTTCGTATCCAGCCAATCCATCAGTTCAGGGTCATGATTCGGTAGTTTGCTATCAGAATTATTAAATATGTTTCTTTACTGTATACTATCAATATTGTATTGGCCTCTGCGATTGAAAACCACTGTATTTTACTCCATTTTTATTGGACTGCTATCTTACCATTTATTCCCATACTAAATCGATGCTAAAACCGTTATCTGTCTGAAATTAGCCACATAGCCTAATTAGTGAGAAAAAAAGGATTGTTGATTAATTAGAAGTCAAAAGCATTACCACGTTTAGATTGTCAATTTGCACAATCTCTGTAATTAATTATTTTTCACATACCTAGCTCTAGTTTATTACTCAGTAACTTATAAGTTATCTTACTTACTGTTATTCATCTGTAATGGCTACTAACGAGATACATGGAATTGTTGAGTTCCTTTTTGAGGATTTCGATAAAATCGAAGAATTTCCTCATTCGAAAGCATCAACACAAGTAAAAAATAGAAGAACTCCGGAAGTTTCCGATGATCAAGTTATAAAATTGGTCAATAACGTAAGATCAGACTTAGAGCTAACATTTGAAGGCTTGAATATTATAAAAGCCCTCATGCAAGTCTTTGCCAGAGAGAAAGGAGCTGACCAAGTCATGCTAAAATTCTCTCAATGCTCACACCTCTCGCCAAAGATGTTCGCTGGGCATACGGAAAATTTTTTTACAGCGAAAGCCATGTTGGAAATAACCAACTACATTCTCAAGCCACTGGATGACAATGTAACATTTGCCACCCCGAAGAATTTATTTTGCGAACAGGTCGACAGTTATGAAAAAGGCATAATTGAGTACATTGCAGGATATACCCTGAAAAAGGGGTATATTAAATTTGCAGAATCAGCAAAAGCCCTGGACTCCCTCTGTGCAAAAAGGCCCTCCCATTCAACAATCCCATTACTGCAGTTCCCGGAGGGAAAGCTAAAGTATCCAACTCAAGCATACTTGTTACTATTAGAAGAGGCTTACCAAAAAGTAGCGCAGGAATGTGCTAAACAGCCGCATCTTATAGACTTTGCAGGAATTGAAAATAAGTTAGAAGAGTCTCAAAACTTTGATACCAATGGACACAAAGAAAGTGTCAAGATAGCAAGATATGTAAAGAGTTTATTTATAAGAGTGCTTTCACATGCATATGCAAGAAAGTTGTTTTACAAATTATTCAAAAAGAGGGCCCCGGGGTCTGGTGTCTGTTCTAGAGGTACTAGACCAGATTTGGCAAGAATCAGCAACAGTCATATTTTCAATTAATTTTTTTTAGTAACTGCTAAAATAAAAAGCTTGAGGTACTTGATTAAGTCTATTGTTTAATTATTGTGTGGGCCGGGTTATCTCAGTGTTTCTCTTATGTACCAAACAAAAAGCACCCAATTAAATTTGGTTCGACTAAAATACACAAAGTCTCAAATACACCAGGCAATAAACTGCATCATCCACTTCAATTTTCTGCCATCCAAACTTGTTATTTGATTGCCATGCTATTATAAAACAGCACTAATAAGTATCCGAGCAGGCTGTGAAGTCCAGTAAATTTAGACCAAAAAATTTGACGAAGAGTTCGAAACAGACTACAACAAACCAAACTTTTACAAAAACTTTATTGAGTCTTACTGAATTTAATTATCTATTGAAAATACTCTAGTCAATTCAATGCTTAGTTTTTTAGAAAAATTTGAATGGGATATTACGATAAAAATTTGACTCTGATTAATTCAACCAAATTTTGCGCACAGCTACGATATAAAAAAATGTTGGACTTCAGACTCCAAAGCCTTATGTGTATGGTCAAATGTTTCGAACAAAAGACCAATATTGATTTTACGGCAACAATCCACGATATTATAAGAGAAAAAGCATAATCTGCAAATTCTAAATATCGTAAGTCATGATTGCAGCCGAAATTATGCTAATGTTCATTTTTTTGATGGCAATGGATGTTCACATATGTCTGTCCAGGCATTCGCTTTCCCATAGGTTGTATTACCACCTTTGACCTTCTTGATGATCTTTCTTTGCGAAATTTGGGTTATTCCATAGGATACTTGAGATATGTCTGGATTGCTTGATCTAGATCCAAGTTGTCTCTATGAATGTGATGCTGCGGATTAGATATATACATGGCTAGATAGATACCCATACAGTTCAGCCCCCCAAAAAATCTCACCAAATTTCCGAAGAAAGCTTCCAAAACATCCTGATTAAAGCAGTGCAAAGACACATATTCCAAACCATTTGCCAGAAGGTATTTGCACATCTCTATGAAATTGTGTGTGGTGAATTTCAGTCCCTCTAAGGTTGGGCGAGCCAGAAAACTCTTTTCATCTCCACCATGCTCATTCTATGATTGTTTTCAAGAATAAATAATGCATGAAAATAACAATAGCCAACCCCAAAATGACATCTCTCATTTCCAATGTTATGGCATAGTAAATATAATATAATCTTCAAATGCTATGGTTGTAGATCTTTTTAGAGATTGTGATCATATTGAATAAAACCATACCAAAAATACAACTCACTTCCCACTCCAACAGTGAACCTATGAAGTCATTCTTCAACCAAGACAGTCTATCATCGTCGACGCATCGTATGGGGCAATTACAGGAACAGTTGACAATTTCATACCATCTGAATGGACGATACATGCATAACTGACACAAAAATAGGGAATTTTTTTTCTTTTAAAAAATGACCGACTTACTTTGCAAACATCAAAACAAATTTGGCAGTTCCATTCGTCCCATTCATTGTTTTTAAACATTGGCCGACGTTCCAGCTCAGCACATCAGTTGCAAGATTGACTTTCATCTGAAAATAAAAAAGATTTTCCCAAATCACTCTGTATTAAAAAAAATTAGTTATTGAAAATCCTGTTACCACAGTCAAGGGCATTGGCAGCGAATCAAAAATTTTAGTTGAAATAAGTCCATTTCAGGGATTTCATCAGCGTGTCGTGCGGCTAAACCAACACAATTAGACTATTAGCTTACTTTACTATATGGTGTTCCAAGTTGCCACTTAAAAGTTGGAAAAAACGGCGGTTGGTACTGTGACCATCTGCGATTACAGCAAGGATCTTTACGCTTCGGCTCTCACATTCAATTAAAAGTTCCCAAATCACCCGACAAAGCTTGGAGGCTGGGGAGTTACGGGTTGCATACCACGCCAAAGGAATCGACAGATCTCGCTTCACGGTTCTAACGTAGAATACTGAAGAAACATGTAGAACATTAATACTGCGTTACATAAAAAGTCTACCGTAGTAAAACCCCAGTAACAACTTACCTAAAATGTGTGAAGCAAGCTGGTCATTATTGCCATTCCTTGCCATTTCTTTGTCCACGAAACCAATCAATTTGCCGTTACGGCAGACCAGATTTTCTCTAACTGTATCAGAGATTCATATATATGACAATGATGTAAGATTGTAAATGCAAATTAAAGTGAGCTTACCCTTCATCTCATCGAGAGCAACAAATCCAATCAATGAACCCTTGTCTTTGATGACTCTCTCCATTTCTTTCAATGCCAGTTTGTTAATCCCAGATTGTGGCGGAATGACATTTCTGCAAAAATAAAAAATAAATCAGCAATCGCGAGTCACTGACCAATGTATGATATAATAAGTAGACAGATAATAGACAAAATATTTTTTTTTAAATAGACTGAAAGAAAACAACATGGCCAAATGGTTATCAAAGTTAATTTAAATTCACCATAGTACACCCCAACAATTGTCAGAAGCATTACATTTACCTGTAGCGATTCAAAGTGCTTGGGGAAGGGAGAGTCAGCACCTGACTTGTTCGCAGATGATCATAGGCAGAAGGCGATCTGCAATAGAGTTCCATAGCCCAACGAATCACATCTGGATGGTACCGACGTGAAGAGGGGTGAGCATTGGAGTTGGCAAGCTGCTGACCAAAAAACATTTGCTGCCAAGTATTCAAGATGGAACTTTCAGAAGCGAAAGTGGCCTGTGAAAATATTCACAAGTCAGTCATACAATTAATCTCTTCTTGAGTCTAGTACATTAAAAATTATTTGATCGTGAAATAAAACAAAAAGTAAACATGACCTTGATCATATCATGCACAGTATCATCAACTTGCAACATGACCTGGCTTGGATGGTGTTCCTCCTCGTCATTTTTGAACTGTTCTGACATGCAGCTGCTGCACATTGGGCATCCAATTGACACATCCACTAAAAATATCCTGCAATCATATATATGCTCTCGAGACAGTCGAACAGCGATTTTTTACTAACATACCAATTGTGCTACATGATGTTGACCGATATATATTTTTGATATTAATCTTGTCACCTCCCCACGACAAAACTGGGTGAACCAATGTACTGCCATCCCGCCGATCAATACCGCAACACAACTCCAATTTGCCTAATTTGTCTTAAATGGATAACACAAATTTGAGTTACAGAATAAAACAAAGGTGAACTTGTCAAAAGAAAATGTATACCTAAAACAGAATTCAGAGTATCACATCTGTCAACTCCTAGCTTTGCAATCTCGACTTTCCAGCCAGAAAAATGAGCACTTTGCATTGCACCATCTTCTCCATACTCAACTCTTTTTTCATCATTGTGTAAAATTATTTCAGTTTGTTTTACATTGATAAGTTTTTAGATACAATTTGGTATGTCATATGGCTCATGGGTATATTTGTGATTTGGTATTTGCAATTTATCTTGGCTATTTACTCTGTACAATCCTGTAGCCTCCTAGTATGAGTTTTAATATTCTGCCATCTAAAAATATTCCCTAACGACAAACTTGCGCTACAATGAAAAACTGCTGAACTTACAATTCATGCTGTCAAACTCAATTACTACTCAAATGACACAGCAACAAAATAATTGAAAACTAACATGTTATCCTATTCTCTGCAAGTTGAAAACCAAACTATAATTGATAACTTCTGTTTAAAAACAACTACCTTATACTAGGCAGGCAGTAATCATCCTTTCTCATCTCTGCAATAAATTTTCCTCGGTGCTCATACAAAGCCCACTTATCTGTATAAAAAGTTCAATCAAAATTTGCTAAACAAGCAAAAAAAATTTCTACAGATGCATACCTTTCATAGATTGCGACAAGTATGAAGTGGCACTGACCAAACTCCTAGTAGATCGATATCGAATTTTTTCCGGCAGTGGTTCACGCACAGCTGGGAGAGGTCTTGTTTTTTCCTGGTACACAGCTGAACTCCTGGGAATTTTTCTGCATGGAACTGCTCCGAGTCTTAAAGAGCTTTTTTTCCCATGCCGAAGTATATCGGTTCCCAGGAAATGGTCTTCACATATTGAGGCCCTAAATATAAAAAGGTAAAGTATATTGGTATAACAATATGAAGATGTCAAAAGCTAGCTATGGTCATTTTGTGCAAAATTTGAATTAAATGCAAAACAAATTAGATGGCTTGGTAGGCTTAGCAAATTATAACGATAAATATACGATAAGAAAAATTAACAAATATTCCGGGTTTCTGATAATCCACACAGCAGAATTTTTGAACGCAATTACTCAATTATACTATTATAGGACGTATAAATTTGTTTATATGTTTAGTATGCCTAGATAAGTATATTACGTTTCTTTGTGCAGCATAGTCTTGATGTTATCTCCTCTGCTACTGTCTCTCATCGCCAATAAAAAATTGGACAACCCCTCCCGGTGTTTCCTTTCCTGAGGAGTCTTTGCCAGATCGGGCCGAAGAACAGAAAATAGTGTTTTTACAGACTGTCCTGCTTTCCTAGACTTGACATAGGAGTAGCTGCATCCCGGCACTGCACAATGCGTTCCAGCTGGCATAGTAAAAAATATTTAAATCTCTTAATATATATATATAACAATACTCACGTATCGATACCACAAATACTTGGTTTGCTTCTCCAAACTGTGTTCCCTCTTCACATAAGTTGAAATAAAGATTCCTGTGCAAGTACGGTACCTACGATTAGAACTATATGTACCGGTAGATAGATTAGAGCTAAGTTGTCTACAATACTGTGGTACGGGCCTGAAAGCAAAATTACCAAAAATGAAATAGCAATATCTGAATAATATTATTGCTACTGCTGTCAGTTCAGCAGTTACCGTACCGGTGCCAGGTTATCGTACCGTGTTAGGTCAAGTTCACAGTCTGTGACATAAATATCGCATCGAAACGAAAGCTAGCGTGATTTTTAGAGCTAATCTACTCATATATATATATATATATACAAGCGTTACAAAATAACTTAAAAATGCCCGCAGCTTGGGGCAACAAAAAACCTTCGGTCAAAATATTTGGAGGCAAAGTTAAGCGCTGAGAAGGTCATACCTCTTTACTCATGCGGAACTATGACGTCACACAGAGGTGGTATCTCTATGTTGACCCTCTATACTTCAAACGTAGTTCAAGTAGCCAGATAAAGCGAAAACAGTATCGATCAAACAACTTTGCTCACACTTTCTGCAGAACTCTGAGAAATGTTGAAAATACTGCCTGACACTAAGCATTTCTAAAACAACAGTTGACCGCGTAACACAAGGACTGACTTGAATGACTATCATGAAATAACTAATAAAAACAACTGCACACAAATAAAAAAAATATTCAGACATGATTGATTTTTTATTAGCACCAGTGAAAAACATTTAACGTCTAGTATAACTCTTCCTTCCCTTTTGAAAGTTTTTCTTTTGAGAAGATCTTTTATTCTTCCTTGAATCGAACTTATTTCCTTTATTATTTCGATTGGAAAAACCACCGCCTTTCTTTTGAGCACGTTTTCTTGCAACAATCTCCTTCATTTCCTTCTTCCTTTCCCAATTCAATTGTTTCACGCTTGAGCGATCTGAATTTCGAATCGCACCACTACCAGATGAATTAAACCTGAAATATCAGTAAGAAAATACACATTAGATAGTAGAAATATTCCAAACTAATCTTTTCAAACTGGAAAAGTAAAGCCATCACAAGTGTGCTTTATTCAGCACCAGATGACATAATATAACAGCCTGTGACACACAAACTGGAGAAAGCAAAATCATACAATGGCTGAAGACTAATCGAGACTAGCATGTAACACCCATCACAAATATCCGGTCAACAATTGCTGTGCATGCCAATTTTGCATCAGGGATTGGTTATATCTAGAGAACAGGCTCTATCTAAGATCCATAGTTAACCAAGGATAATTCAATTATCAAGAAGAGACTAGGCAAAATGTGGTGGAAAGTATAAAAATTGAACGATTCAAACAGGGAAGTAAATGATTAAAACAGATACAAAACACAACAAAGTAGTGAAATAAAAATAAAATTAGAGAACTTTAAACACAGGAAGAAATATTAAAAGAAAAATACTTAAGGTCCAACTAGTAATGTTTATTTACAAATTAGTTTAAACTAGAAACGGAAATACTGGTGTATAAAATATGTCATACTTGTTCTGAGTGTTTTCCTCCAACATCATATCAAAAGCTTCAACGTCGGCTGCAGATGATGATTTCTTTCTATTCTTTTTATTAATCTTTTGTTTTGGAGCAGAATCATCTGAATATATACAAAAACAATGCTAATTAATCATGTTAGATTTGATAAGGTTACATTTGAAACGACGCCTCACCAAATCGGAAACATATTAACAGCTAAAAGCAAAAAAAACTGACAAACCAATGACAAGCGAACATTGGTGGGTAATAAGCAGCATATTTATTTTCTACTGCAATAACGATGTTGTCGAACTACTGCCAGTGGTGTACCCGAGATCTTGTAGAATGGAGAGGGGCATTTTAGACTTAAAATATGATATAGCTATATTTGATACCCAACTTAGAAGTCTGGACTTTAATATTATTGCACAATACCAAAAATGTACATCAAATGTCACAGTGACTGATTTTAGTCAGGATATGGAGACATGCACCAATGCACCCTCAGTACGTCATTGACAACCATATATATTCTAATCAGTAGCAGCAGGTTTCAACGACTAATATCCTAGTATACAAGTCAAATCATTCCAATAGCGTAACCAGGAAAAACCTCATAAACCTTATGCTATAGTTCAGGCTAGACTAGAGAACTAGTTAAAAGATAGTTATATAGAGAGTTATACAGATTAATCAATAAAATAACAATTTTTATGCGTCACCTTCTTCTGGTACATCATCAGCATCATCATTGACATTACCAAAAGTCATTCCACTCTCACTAAATGGATCTTCATCATCAAAATCCACTTCATCATCTTCACCTGAAACAAGAAGAAGCCATTTAAATACCCGTTAGGATAATTTATCTATCCATTTATTCTTATTCCTAACTGAAAAGGGTGTGCTCAGTATGAGAATGGATAATACTGGTCTCTCGCTAAAAATTCAGAATTCAATAAATCTCAGATGGACATTATGCAAATTCAAAATGAAACGCTGCACTCAGAATTGACTAGCAAATATTTGCATAAGTCTAGTTGCAAGAGCAATGTAGGTTTATGTAGGGAAAACAAGCATCACATTTATGCCTCATTTATTTATACTGGATGGAAGAAAGTGTAGTATAAAGTGAAAAGAACATTATCACTGATATACCAAGATACATATAGGTTTTTCTTTTCAACAATCAGATGTCAGTCGACTGTGACTGGGTTGAAGGACTTAAAAATGCAGATTAACGCTGTCAAAGTAATAGGTAAATAATCACTGTAATTCTGCATAATAAGCTGTATAGCAATAGTCAATCAACAATTTTCATCAGTTTATACAGGGTGACTCTAAAAAAGAACAGGTCATTTGGAAGTTGGAACTTATTCTATAAAAATATAACATTTCTGCAGAGCATCCTATTAAACTGAAACTTTTGGGTACAATCACACAAAAACAAAAAAGTCTGAACGTAAACAAAATTAAACAAAATATCCTTCTTTCCGTAGAAGTAAGGAATTTGTGGATTTTGTTTTCTTTTGAGTCACCCTGTAATAGATAGAACCAAGACAAGAAAACTTTCAAACAACTTGGCAATTACCCATATCCTCGAAATCTCCATCTTCATCTTCATCACTGTTCTCGTCCATGTCCATTTTTTGCTTTTTATTTTTTGGGCCCATACTGGCAGCATCAGCAAAATTATATTGACTTTCGAGCTCTGCTTTTCCTTCGGTTGAGGAAAGAAATTTGTCAAATTCATCATCTGACACTTCTTCTATATCACTTCCTTCTTCATTAGCGATGGATTTTTTGTTTTGGTTTTTGTCTGAGTGTGTTGAAATAGCAGCACGAGCAGCAAAATATCTAAAATCAGAATATGTTTTCATGAAGATTCAAGTACAGAACAAATATGCGATATTTCGATTCCATTAATGAATAAATAGCGATAAAAATGTACATTCAAAGATTAATGCTTTTGAGAATATTTTCTGTACTAAAATGATTTCTTTAAAAAGAATTCGTTCTTGCTGAATAATAAAGCCGGGGATGTCTAAAATAAATCAAATTTTCGAACCGAGTATAATATTACATTGTCATACATACTTGAAACAAATTTTAAACAGTATTGAGTTCATAAAAATGAAAATCAGACGACTAAATCGCTCTATTAAAATGATTAGCATTATTATATACATATAAATTCCAGCATTAATAGGAATAAATCTATCTGAAATTGTCAATATTTCTCATACAGCACGATTACCTTTGTAAGAAAATTTCTTCTGGATTGTATGATTTCTTGGCTAAAAATTCTGGCGTATTGGCGGCTACTGCTTGAGTCTCAGCCATGGTTCGCTTCCTTTTTCTAAACAGAGATTCCCCAGCATTTGCACCAATCTCTTTATCTTGTCTTGCTTTTGGATTCCGGTATACAAATTTATCAAGAAATCTGAATCAAAGAAAATACACTTTACCAGGTAATTACCAGGAGCACCGAGAAAAGAGAATCCAAAATATAACATACTGCTTCTTATTTAGTATATTTTGAAAAATTAAGCCTAGTAAAATAGGTTATCATTGACAAAATATAGCAACATGAAAGTGGTACTGTAACTGCAACCTGAAGTCATTTGTTATGAACTAGCCCGAAAAAGGGTCAACTAACATTGACACAATTTTATTATACCTGACAAAATCAGAAAAACATAAAAGTAATGAAACCAGGGAAGTATAAAAGTAATAGACTCCTGGAAGACACTTAAATCATCAACTACTGGGAATCTCAAAACAATAGCTGTAGCACTAGAACAAAACTTAAGCAAAATGATCTATAGGTGAACTTTATGGCCAAAAAGCCTTCTCAAAACCACTATTTGGGAACGCAAATTGTATATATCGGATATAGAAATTGAACGAATGAGCAAAAATTAATCACTGATAATAAAATACTCATTACATTAATTCATATTTTAGATGATTATAAGACAAACTACCCAAAAAACTGAAAATGCTTTATAAAGCATTTGAATCGAGACTACATCTGCAATTTCGCTGTCAATTCGACTTACCGCATCAAAGTGAAGTCTTGCAATGGATCGCCAGAATATTTATCAGGTTCATTATTTCTTCCAATGTCAGTAATTTCTGAGGCAAATTTGACAATGGTTGGATGAAAATGAGATCTGATTTGATGGAGTTCCCAAAGAGAAGTCTTTTCTGCATTTGCAAATGTCGGGTTGCGATGAGTGGGATCGTACGTAGTTGATTGGTGATGAACATTCTTCTTGTGCAAATGCGTCCATGAATTACCTGCAAAAACATTAATATTCTAATTCAATGAAAATTTTGTCTGTCAAACACGATTTTACCACGTTTTTAAACCGCATGTCACTTCCATACATTGGATAAGAAACAAAAAAGGTTTAAGAGTATATAACACTTTTCACTAATACGCAATGCTAATTGAACAACGGAGTTGCAAGTTGTGATTTAAAGCAGGGGTCGGCAAATTCAGGCCTGCGGGCCGGATCCGGCCCACTTGTGTCTGCGGAAATTACAAATATAGTTTTTATGGATATAAATTTTCCTATTGAGCTTTGAGCCTTCAGCCCAGTAAACAAGTCTATTATATACAACTGGCCCACTCTGAAAAGTAATTGCCAATTTGTGATTTAAAGTGAAGCATTTTCTTTTTTTTTTCTCAAGTTTGGTAATAAATTATTTAGTTATAAATAGTCGCAGCAATAGAAGTAACAGTGACTCGCTGTGAATATCTTATAAGTAAAGTCATTATAAACAGTGACATGTGAACAGCTACATCGATGTTAGCAAATTGCCATCAAATGACAGTCAACCTGAAACGAAAGCAATTCAAGACAGCATAAAGGAAAACAATTCCATGCAGTCGAAGTTTTAAAAAACAAATCCAATAAAAAATAGGGCGAGTCTGTTCAAATTTGCTATGATTTGGTAGAGTTCTTCAACTCATATATATACAATTAATTCTTTAGTTATACTATTTCTTTCAAAAAACTATATTCTAATTATCAGTTTATCACATAGAAACAAACCTTCTGTTTTTTGCTTGTCACTAGCATTTTCAATATTGGAACTTTCATTGATTTGAGTACCATCATGTTTGTCAGCATCAGAAAAATGTTCTTCATCACTGTCTTCATCAATTTTTCCTTTTTTACTACCTACAAATGAAAAAAAGTTGGAATATTAAATAAAAGAATAATAAATAGAAAAACAAAAATAAATATTTTTTTTTATTGAACCTGCACAAGATACTGGTAAAATCGACTCAATTACAAATGAACCACAAAAAATGGTTCCATCAAGTCCATGCATCTGAAACAAGTAACCGGCTAACTAATCCCATACCGGATATGTACTGGTAACCGTACGAGAAATTGTGGTTCGGCATAATATGGTTAAGCAGTCTTATCGACTTTCCTTTCCACTAGGTTAAATATGTAAATCCTATCTTTCCTCAGTTCAAATTGTTACCTGCAGTAGAGACAGATTTGAAGCGATTCCCACTCAAAAAACATCTTATACTTGGTCTTGATTTCGATAACTCCGCTATCAAAACAAGCACTGCACTTGTATATGCTGCATGTTGTAATGTACAAGTTTGTAAAAGGCGTTTCAAGAATGCTTGTACTCTGGCATCTGATGGGTCCGCTTTCATTGATCTGAAAAAAAATTAAAATGTCATGTAGATATAAACAGCATTGAAAAGAACTTGTACATATCGTTTATGACCACACACTATTCAGTGTATTGCATTGTGCAATATACAGTTTTGCAATTTAACTAACTGGCGACCATCGAACCCTAGAAAGTTTGAGATATTTCATTATGTATGATCCTTGTTTGTCCCACTATTAACAGCAAATTATTAAAACACTATTTGCGACACAACAGTTATTCGACCGATAAATCAGCTTATTCATAGGCGAATCACAGCGTCACAAAATGTAATAGACCAGGCTAAAACTAGTAGACTGTACTTTTCATTTAAATTTCGAAACAACCTTGCGAATTCGAAACGTCAAACAGTTTTGTTTTCAGTAGCCAAATTGCCCAGAAAAAGCATAAAAAATCTTGCAATTCTTTCCTCATAAACTTCAGAAGATCAGAGCAACATCGAATGCTGCGATATTTGTAATAAAAATCCTAGCATTGCCGAAACGAATTCTGATTTAAAACTCAGATATACATTATGTATTTATATTAAAATGGGTAAACCTGTAGTATGTGCACCAGGTAAGGGTTAGACCATAATTCTATCCTGATTTTCCTTATTTTAGTTCCATTACGAGTTCAGAGACTGTTTGTGTTAGCCAAGTGTATATACCCCCTACCCATAGGCTTCCGTCCCTTTACGCAACTTGACGTAAAGTAGGCGAACAAAATTAGTTACTGGTACCTCCAGATTGGTACACATACTTCTGAAGCGCCTTAAAATGTACCAACCTATAAAGAAGATTCAAATACATAGGATGCCTGTTTGTACATATTGGTAATTCAACATGATATAATGAACTGTACAATGCATTATAGTATCGGTCAGACAACTCATCTCTGGAAGACAAAACCTAGAAATGAAAAGATGAAGACTGTAAGAAATCGACCAAGTAAAACTTAGTTAGCAAATTTGTTTCAAACAATTTATGAACACTTGAATAAAAATGATCAATCTAATAACTATCTGCTATAAAAATAAAAATGGCCTCTAGCCTTTTTTTTTGTTTATTCAAGAGAAGAAAGTCGATAAGGCAGCTTGGATATATGGCGAACACAGACATTTATGTCAGTGAGGTTGGTAAAGTGGGCGATACCGTTTCATAGAGGGTGAAAGAGATACAATAGGGAGTGATGGCGCATTCTCAAAAAGTTCAAATCATCGTAAAACGTGTTTTGCATATGGATTGCAGCTGACCAAAATGTCCACAAATGCTCGTTAAGAGCACATCCATATGAAACATACCATAATCAGTTTATTTAATTGATTTGTAAAAATTTGTTTGGAGCTTTACGTTCTTTGTATTGTCGATGGTGCAGTTAGATAGTGCTGCAATAGGAGGGCATTGATACATCAAAGTTTGAAAACCACCGATTTCTGTATTAGCTAACCAATCAATCATTCAAAACCAAAATGGGGAGAAGGCCGTTCGTTACTGGCCAGTGATTACATGAACCACCCTATGACTAGTCTACTAATAATTTTCAAATGAATTCGTAATGTGTAATCAATTATTTGATACAAAACATTCTCCTAATATTTAGCAGGATTTGCCAACCAAGCCAATAATATTATCAATCACGGTAATATTTACGAAACAAATCTATATACACTCATACTGCATGTTCAACAGAAATAATAAAAAAGGCTAAAATATTTATAGAGACTTCAGAAATTTGATGCAACACAATCCAATAACCTAACTAACTGCTTCAGCTTTTTATATACAAAGCAACAACTGATTTTCCTACCTGAAGCAACAGCATAAGAGCTTGCACCGTAGTTCCAAAACTTGAAACATGAACCGTTCGAAATAAAACATTCAATTCTTCGATGATTTTAACATCTTCCGTGTTAGCATATGGATAAGCTCTATTGACACCTAAAATTTAATTCAAATTAATATACAAAAAAAACAGGGTTATCAAAGAGAAATTGGTGGGCTTTTGTGCTACTAGAATATTGATAGATTTTGAATCGCTCAGGGACTTCTGAAAATGGGTATTGGAGCAGCAGCAGCACTAAATCATTACACTATACCAAGGGTGGCCAACACGTCGATCGCGATCGATCAGTCGATCCCAACGTCTTGAGTAGCCGATCGCGTCACCACGTCTGAGAATTCGGTAATATATTTCAAAATACTGCCTTGAACAAGTTTCATGCAGCGCATGTTGTGTGCTTTTGAAACAGGAATTATACGTTAAGTATAATTAATTATTATAAGTATTTATGCCTGGGCAAGACCGATAGAGCATATTATTACGTAACAAAGGCAAGTTTCACTGCTGCCAATTTAAAGTGATGAACTTGCCGAATATCGTGTGCCTTGACTGATGAATGATCGTACAATAACTTCTGCAGTTCACTCGCAGTGGCATCTGAATACCTAATTCTTTTTAATTCCAAGCGAGCAGGGAATCAGATGATTTGAACAAACTCCGCATACAATTATATATTCAAATTAACTAGGACGTAAAAAACACGAATTTTTAAGGCCGAGCTTATTGGAAGCGGCGGAATTTGGAATTTTTTTTATGCGCATGTGCAGTTATCTGATTTTGTGTATGACCTCATTTCCAATCAGTCGATCTCGGGCTATTTTGACGATTTTAGTCGATCGCAGTCGCAAGTAGGTTGGTCACCCCTGCTATATATCATAAGTATCCAATGTCATACACAATTAAGTTTAAGAATTCAATACAAACAGCTGACTACAATATAAGACAATATTTAAGGAAACTGAAAAGAGATCTAATGTTGAGTCAAATATGACTCCGGTCATTCAGCATGTTTAAAAGTAAATTTTGGTCTACAGTCAATATCATTGGAATAAAACTATACCAAGTATTCTAAGTATAGAAAATACATTGAATTACATTGTTTGGTATTCAAATAGTTATAGTTCAAATATTGTTAGTTACTATAAGAGATACAGGATCATTAACGCAAATGTTAAGATATTCAATAAAAATTATGAAAATTACTCACCCATAATAGATTTGAAAATTCTATCTTTATCTGAGACTACTTTTGAAGCACAAATACACAAATAATTTAAAATTAATATGGAATGTGATAAAGATAAACTAGTTACCAGTTAGCAATGCGCTCAGTAGTTTGTTATCCACTTGCTTCTTTTGTACAGCGGCTTTGAAAAATCCAAGATAAATTTGTATAAGATTGCTTGCAACGTCTTTCCTGAAATGATTTCAATTTGTTTAAAAAAGAAGCAACTTCTATCTATGTTATTTATTCAAAAGAAGCCATTGAATAACAACGAAGAATTAATTTTTCACAAAGGAAACATTGTTTCGAGGGCCTTCAAATGTGACTTCTGCTATCTGCTACAAAAAGCATCACAAAAAAATATTTGGTGATAGCGTTGACGAGCATACACTATAAAAAAAACTCCAAAAAATTCTCTTTATACCTGTCATGACTTAAAATCTGGGAGCTGAGAAAACATATGCAATAGTATTGGCATTTTGGTTGAATGTTTGGTCGAAGTAAAAGATCCCGAACAGAATTGACAACAATTCCTTGCATGACTGGATGTTCTTGTATAAGACAATGAAGCATGTGAAGTCCTTTCGATGCTATTTTGTGACTGAAAAATATATTATTCACATTCAAATATAAGCATAAAAGATAAATGAAATACCGGGCAAAATAACTTCATTTCAGGGATTGATTGTTTAGGTAGCATATATCCTTGCATATAATCCGAGTTTGAAACTAAAAAAAACGTGGCTTATGCGTGCATAACTCCGATCGTACTCAAACAAAATGACATTATGCTAACTTAATCCCAACAGTTACAACTCAAACCATGCTAAGTTCTCACAATAAGATTTGTAGGGTCGGCTCATATGCAAATTTTCATAAATCCCCCGTACCCCTCACCCTGGGCGGAATTAGTTGGGTTGGGTTAGTGCTGACTCAAAAAATTCCCAGTCCATTGGGTGTCGCTGCTCGATAACCACTTTGGTTCCTCGTGACTTCCCTTCCCCAGTAAAACTGTGTAAATTATTTTTTTGTCATAATTTATCATGATTGTGATATTTTTTACTGGTTGGAAAGAATAAACTTGACTTGACTTCCAAAAAGTACATCCCCTAGTATTACTGCTGCTTATACAGAGTATTAATAAGTAGTTACTTGTTCGAAGTCTTGTTCAGAGCGAGATTGTAAAATCATGTATTGAAAATAAGAACGGATTTTACAGGCACTTTGTTCAACAAGTGAAATCCCTTTTTTCCAAAATTATTTCAGTCTATTATTCTCTTTTTTTACTAATTTCACAAACAACTAGTCAAACTTACTTTGGATCTCCTAATTTGTTGACCAACATTGTTAATAATTCTCTTTCTTGCTCTGGTTTTGCTGTCAGTAGCTCTAAGGTGATTTTCATTCCTGTATGCAAAAAAAGGTTGATGCAAGTACATTGGATTACTGTATCATATATTTTTGAAGAGAACCAGGTTTCAAATATTCGCATTCTCAAACCAGGGTTTTAATTATATATATTATGGAAAATTGAAGAAAATCCAATCAATAATACTTTTAATGAGTAAATAACTAAAGCAACTACACATGGTCACTTGCTATCAGTCAATTTCCACGTAAAAAGCATAGGCATATACGCAAAGCATATTGTTATTCATGTTGCTATTCATATATTCCATCGCCAACTTGTTACGTCTCAGCACTTGCCCAATTTATTATTAAAATGATCCAACCCCTCAACTTGGTGCTGAACACTGCAGAACTTTGAAAGCACTATCCTTACACAAATTTCCTAACATCTGGTGGGAATTTAGAAGTCAGCCAATAGTTTGACTTTATAATATATATCATACTAGAAACCCCAGCTTTGCTAATGGGTTTAGGATTTCAAATTTTCTAATAGACAAAATGATAAAAAAAATCAGCAAACCTTTTATTTTAATATTATCGAGCGAATCTTGAAGGAAAAAATTTCCGAGAGAATCGACAAGTTGTTTGTACGAATTCTTCAATAAATCTTCATATGCCCAGAAAATGACTCTACGCTGAATTTCTACTCTTTTAGCGTTGAAATTGTTAGATTCGTCATTAAACACTTGTTTTAATGATTCCACTGGTTGAGAATGAAAATGTCGAAGTCTTTTTGACTCTGGCAGAAGCTCAGAAAGAAAAATGTCACGTAACGCTTCCAATCCTGATAAAATTTATACAAGAGTGGTTTAGCTTACCTTTTTAGGTACAATTGCTCGAATCAATGCAACAAGCCCCCATTTACAAGTGGAAACTATATTGATAGAAAAGTTGCAAGCGGTCAATAAATAAGACAGAATTAAATTTACATGAGGAACCTCAGTTAACACAGTCTCTAGTCCAGTCACAAAGTGCTAATTGGGAATAGAAATGGATAACCAGGCGATCATTGCAGTTGAATATACTTGGGTGACAGAGGAAGCCCTAAATGAACACTGAACAGTTATTAAATTTACAAAATTGTCCGACTAGGAATGTCCTTATCATTTCCGTTTTCGATTTCGGTTAATCAATATTCAGAACGTTTCTGTCGATACATTCCAGGGTTACGCAAGTTTTCACTCAAACCCTATCTAGAGTCTATACTCTATAGGCCTATTAATACATGTATATTGTTTAAATATAATCAAATGCCTAATAAGTTTGCCACTATTATTAAACTTGCCAAATTTTTTAAGATCATTTTGTTTTTCCAGTATTAAGTTTGTTTTAATACATATTCAAAGTTTATGCAATTCATATCATAAGAGACAATTAAATTATTGCAGTTGTTCCACAAGCCTATGGAAAGTTGCATTAGGGTTCCATTCCACCAAAAAGGTTGAAAATCACTGATTTAGGTATTTAGTCACAAAGATAACTGAAAGGTAGATAAAATGAGTGAATAATTAAAACGAGTTGGATAAAAATTAAAAAAAAAAATTAAAAGCTGGAAGGAAGTTCGAATACCTATAACAGCCTCTCTCTTTCCTTTCTTTCTTAACATTGCTAAAAATGTATCCAGGCACCAATAATTATGTACAGGAGCATTCTGCAACATCAAAGTATATGCTGCAACTTTGTCAGATAAAGTACCTAAAACAAGAACAATTTAGAATAATTAAAAATTTAGTTAGATACAAATTCGAGAAAATATTTTAAAGGATATTAGTAATTGTACCATCATGTGATCAAGCATTCATAGTATTATAATCAGTGATTGTAGGAATAAGGAAAAGATATCATTACATCACAGGGGAAGCTCATAAGATGGCTTTATCATATGACATGCCATATAGAATTGGTTAGCGAGTTACTTATTCCAGATGCATAAACCAGCAGTTACGTGAAGCACCCTACAGCGATGAGGAAGTCAGACAACCCTCTCGTAAGTTGTACAGCCAAAGATTGGTCATTTGGCATATTATGTTGAATGTGGAGACATGTCTGTCAGCATCATGATTATGCGCAAAAATATTACGAGACATCTTGCAGACATACCATGGTTCACATAACCACTGATTGATCACAGTTTCCTCTACCATAAGTAATCATTTTTCATATCTATAAATTATGCTACAAGGCAGATTGTAACATCAAAATGTTATTTATTGCCAATGAATGCTGATAATTATAATTTTGTCAGACAACTTCACTGGATATTTGCAAATATTTTACAGCCTGACTCATAAAAAACAGAACCCATAAATATCTTAAATACTTCTATGGAAATGAGGAAAATTTATTTAACATTTGAGCTTCTGTTTGTATATGATTGTACTCAAAAATTTCAGTAATCTAGGACATTTTAGACAAAAGTTACGTTCTCCCTAGAATAGACCACAAAGAAAATGTTTTTTTTTTTCAGGGTCACCCTGTATTAAGAACCTTTTTCTGTATATACACATAAGAGTAGCAATTGGTGGAGAGGTATAGTCGAGGCAAGTTTATTTGTTGAGACCAACAAAACACATAGGTACAACAACAGGTATGGGTAGAAAAAAACATACAATATCAAAATTTTAAACAGTATACGATAACTACCTGAAGAAATGACAGTTTTCATCCACATATCATTTCCAGATTCCTGTTTATTTTTACGATTTTTATATAACTGGGCTTCGTTGTCAAGTAAATTGGTGCCGATTGTCTTCAACTGAGAGACAATATAATCATTTGCTTCCAATGCACTGCTATTAGTATGCACTTTTGATATATCATTGGAATACCTAAAAAGAATAAATGTTTAGGGGAATCTAGTTACACTACACACAGCTGAGATTTGAAAAGATAAAATCAGTAACAAACAGATAAGAAAAATTTACTTATTGGTACTAAAAATAGGATGATGACAATTTTACCTCCCCTTGGATAAATATGTAAATCCTATCCTATCCTTTACATTGTATTGCTATCTATATGTGCTGATTTTGCTTCAAAATATAGGTTGAAACATCAGTATCGGTTAATTAGGATCATATAAATTGCAATATTTTGTGTGGAATCAACGTTTTCTTTAATCACGATTTTGTCAAATTGTATACAATATTTTACAGTGCAGGCGTGGCAGTGTGGCGCATGTTCGAATCCTAGGGGATAAATATGAGCGAGAGAATTGCTGAACTCCTCACCGCCGTAGGGTGGTTTAAATAACTGTTTGTAGATTACGGATTTCAACACCATCAAGTCAAATTTATCATTTCAAGCAAGATGTAAGGGTTGGGCAAAAATAGACTCTTTTTAACTTCTGATACTGTAAAAAAATTAACTCAGTCTTCTTCAGGACAATTCTGCATTAGCAAATTGAATATCTAAAAAAATTTTAAAATATAGTAAACTTCTTTCTTGAACAAAATCCAATTTAGAAAATATATTATTCAATATTGTATTTGAAAATATTATGTTAAAATGTATTTTCGTAAATATAAATTATTAGATTTTGGTAATCCATGTATTCATATCATGTGTAAAATTTCACTACATATTGTTTTTTAATGATGACCTATCAGAAAGCTGAACAGCAATGCATAAAGAAATTTTCTTGCATTGTTCTTTTGTGCCATCTTTTTGCCTGTTATTGTGCTATTGCCAAAGGCCAAAGCCTATGTCAGCAGAACTTATTTTATATATAAGTCGATATGTAAATTCAACTAATATAAAAATTATGATACAGAAATTTTCAAACCTGACATGACTTGGAATGAAAAATTGACTTTATTAACATTAAATTATGACAAAAAAGATTTATGATGTGATACATTTGCGGGCACGGTAGTGTAGTAGTTGAAACATTGGACTATAATTTTTCATAGCTTGAAATGCTATTTAGACCCTTAAAATAGGTATGTTACAAAAAAATTAAAGTTCATCCGAGTTAAATAAAAACTGCACCAGTGGATAGATCTAAGTGAAAATAAGAAAACAATACCAAGTTCGCGAAAAATGGTCAAGAATTAACGGAGATATCCGCATTTACCGGTAAGTACCGCCCGATAGGCCAATTTTTTCCATGAGGATTGTATTGCGCCAACTCAAAAACTGTGACTGCGAGAATGTTAGACCGATAAACAACAGAATGTATCTCGGCTATTTTTGGAGGTAATTGAAAAAAATTTTGAACGAAAAGTTATTGTGAATAGAAGAACCTAATGCAAAAAAGTTTACAAATTCTTTTTAACGATATTAGCTGCTTTTCAATTAATTATGTACGAGAAAGTTTGTGAACTTTACATAACCTCTGGTCGGCAACGACTTTCCCAATACGCAAGTCCCCGCATACGCGGCAATTAACTGATTTAGCGTTTTTCATATCCGACCTTAATGAACGATTAATTATCATTTAATATTCCTTAACTCGTAGGAGATTTACCGTGTTAGTGAAACGCAAAACGAGAGAAATCGCCGCGAGGGAAAATGTCGGCATTCAGTCGATAACTGATGCGCGTTGACAGACGCGTGCTAAGATCATACTTCTCGTGCCTTGAATTAATTTGTACCGTTTCGTAAACGTATGCGAATTGACTTTTTTCAATAAGAACTTTAATAAATATGAAAAAAAAACACATATCAATCTTTAATTTTTCGATGTGCGTCACATCTAAGAAAATTCAGATTACTTTAGGATTTTATTCTGGCAACGATCATTGAGGCCGTCGGAAGATCGTCGCAAATCAACCCTGGAGTTGAGCATATTAGTTTGACAGTGCCTCGTTGCGGGTAATAATTAACGATGTTCTGATTGAACAAACTTCATAAAAATTGGTAAGTATCAAGTTAGGAATGACATACATGCGTTCATATATATTTTATTGGTGTCCATAGACAATATCATTAATTTGCAGTACGTATAACTTTAGCGTAATTTTCAAAAGCCCCGAATGTTGGGAAATTTATGCGCTAATGAAAAAATTCAAATACCAAATCATAGTTGCGCATTTTATCTAAGTTATGTCCAAATTTCATGGAATTCTAAACAACAGCAGGCAGTCCGTAGTAGTTTTTTGATGAGCGGTATTCTGACACGGCGTTACGGTACTTAGCAGACGTGGTGCGTACATTTTTTGGCGCGAAAAAGCGCGTTTTGTAACATTCCTACTTAAAAATCCAAGTTTTCTGGCCGGTTACGGTGTAACTTGGCAATGATAAAGTCCAGAAGCCCCCTCGCCTTTCAAATTACCTGGCTATGCCCCTGCCCTTACATATAAGCGGCTACCTTTACAGAGCATTGTTCGGGCAAAAGAGAATGGATGCATCATACAAAAAAATCAGTGCGATACATGAGCTTGTATCGTGCAGATAAATAATCAAATCGCTCACAAAGATAACAAATAATTTTTCGTTGATTTTTTTTAGATCCCATGGCACATTGAAAATGACCTGACGACGTACAGTTTGAAAACCACTGTTAATACACTATCATGCATTCTTTGTAGCTAAGCTAGCTCTAAAATATACTAGTACTTATTCAATTTTACTTGGTAGACTCACCATGGCCCTCCTGGTTTGATAACAGACTTTTTTGGAACTATTGCTGCTATTTCCAATATTTGTTTAAATACATCTGCAGGCAATTTCGATTTTAATGATGATTGTGAAGATAGTGGAATTTTATCAGAAGTGCTTGATATTTGGTCATCTTGAATAGGAGCAGAATGAGTTTTCTGAAAAAAATAAAATAATTCTCAATAAAATGAATTCAATTTATGAGTTAAAATTGATATTTATATTTCTAACCAAATAGGTCTTCAATGGGCAAATAAAAATATACATAAACAAAATAGGCAACAATAATATCAATTTCAAATATCAATAGTTTCCTTTATACCCTTGTAAATTGGAAAAACATAAAAAGTATGAAGGTGCAATACCACCCCACAAACGTTTAACAATTTTATATTGCAATATGGGTAAAGATCAAAAATTGAAAAAGTTGTAAAAAGTCCGAAGTTTGGAACAGATGACTTACTTGAATGGATCGGAGAAATAATATTCAAAAAGGGTAATTTTGCGAAAACACTATCTTAAAACCCATTCCCATTGAAATATTTGGCTTCACACATAATGCTATCCAAAAAAGAATAATTAAAAAACATTCAAAACTGGTGAAATTTTTACTTTATCATTCTTTCTTTTTTTCTCAGGTTCATTACTCTTCTTGAATTTTGATTCTCGCTTCCCGGTTACTTTCAAATCCTTCGTCTTTATAGGTGATTTCGATTGGCTTTTGAACTGATCAGATTTTTTGGTTTTTTTAATGGAAGATGTTGGTGGGTTCTCATCAGACTCTTCTTCATCATATTTATCAAACCCAATGGATTTAAAAAAGCTTTTGAATTCATCATCCTTAAAAAGAATGGAGATTAGGAAACTCAAGACGAAGGTCAAAGAGTAGTTTGCGATTTGCGAAAGTGAAAATTTACATAGAAAATCAAAATGAAGACTTGTGATCTGATGTGAATATAAAAACAAAAATATAATAAACATAGCCAGAAAAAGTTATTGTGTTTTGTCTGGACCACGATTTTCCCCAAAAAAAATTTGCCACTGTTTGAAAAAGTTTTCACTAGAAAATATCTGGATGAATATAATTCAAAGAATAAGAGTTATGGAGTAAAGCTTACTCTGAAAATAGAGTCTAGCGTATTGTAATAGGATTGGTGCCAGAGGTGACGTGATATTTTTTAGGCATTCATAGAGTCAAAGTAGCTTATGTACCATTTGTCAGAAAGGACTATTTTTTTATTTTCTTTCACTACGGACAATCTTTTAGTTTGCGTTTCAAAGCCGAACTGTACCAGTTTTTAATTTTAGTTCAATGTCTTATGTCCATTTTCAGGTTTGCCTGTTGGGTCCATACTATTACTAAAACGTGATTTTCTCACAAGTTTGACATAATACAAGATAATTTGGTTCTACTCCATCTTAAATAAATAACTGGTTGAAAATTTCCATACGTCTCTCGAAATCGTAACTGGGCGTGAAGCTGAGGTATTGAGTTATCTTTCTTTTATTGACTAAATATCAAAATCCCAACCTAAATTTGAAATTCGAAGCTAATTCAGAAAATTTTGCCAAAAAGCTCAGATTGATTGAAAGCATGATTTAGATAATTTTCAGACCACAGTGGGATTCAACTATAAAGTTTTTGATCCTAAATTTATCACATAATTGAGATACCTTTAAACTTCCTTTTATCTTTTCTGTTTTAGTAGCAGAGCCATCTTGAAGATTTTTCAGCGCTTCAAAATCATCCGCAGTCCCGCCAAGTTTTATAACTTCGTCCAATGTAAATTCCTGTGGCTTAGATTTTCTACCCATCCTATATTATATACTATAATAGAATAAACAAAATAAAAAGTGCAATTAGTAATAAGAATTCAAATTTAAAAAATCTGAAAACAAAGAAATTCAAAACAAAAATATAAATGGCATCAAAACCTAAAATGTAGTAAAATGATAATTAAGCAAGTTATTTTACTGATCAAAAGATGGCTACATTTCTGATTTCATAGTACTTATCTTCAAATATAAATTTTAACTAAATTTTATATATAAATTCTGAATTATTTATCTAAATTCTATTTGCTGATTCACATTATGCTCAAAGTTTATTTCCAAGCACTCTTGCCTATAAAAAAATGCGGCAATATTAATTCATATCATGAAATGATGATTTGTAATTTTTTTGTAACTGTGAATTATGTCAAAGAATTTTCCAGAAGACAGATATATTTGATATTCCGCATACATAATGTGAAGAAATTCCATGATAAAGAAAAAACAATAAAAAATAACTAATAAATATATTAAGATAAGATATTCATTTCTTAATATTCTTGTTCATATAAAGATGGGATTTACATATTTATCACGGAGGAAAGGAAAGCCGAAAAGATGTCTTAATCATATGGTGAACCACGGCCTCACGTCCGGTTACCAGTCCAGGTCGGGTCTGGGATTAGTTAGCCAGTTATGTTTTTGGAAGCACGGACTTGATTATTAGATACAGCCTAACCAGTTTTTAGTGGAATATGGAATAATACATAATATGTGCCACTATTATTAACCATACAAATATTATTTCGTTTGTATAATTTGACAATATAGTAATTTCTGCATATTTATTTGAAACAATTGGGTAAGGATTAACAAATGTCAAAATACACGATACTCCATTATAGTCGATTTGAAAAAAAAATTGTGTCTTAGAATAATCATTCTAATTATTGTACTTCTGCGAACTCAGAATATAAAAATACAACGTTTATTCATGATATGCACTTTATATGCTGGAGTTAGGAATATCTAAATCAGGAGCATGCAACTGTTTATCGCAATGGGCCGTGCTGGATTAACCATTAGACAAAATGAGCATGTGCTTAGGGCACCAACGAAAGAGGGCACTACTAAAAATTCCATTGCGGAATTTGCAATGGTGCCCCAGTGATTTATGAAATAATTTGAGTTGGTCTGACAACTCAGACCTCAATATTGCCCCCAGGGCCAGGTCATGCCTTTTAGAGGCCCTGGCAATGGGTCAAACCCTAAAATGATGGCACACTGTGAAACGAACCATACCTTTTAATCAAAACATGACACCAATAAAGCAAATCACCTTATCGAATCCTTGAACAAACAAAATTTAATTCAAGTCTAACACAACACAAATACAAAAATGCTGACAGTGCCGTTACAATAACAAATATCATTCAAAAATAGTGATTCAAAAGACTATACCAGGGCCCAAAGGCTGTATGTTGCATGCCTCTGATCTGATTAGCTAGTTGTTTCTTCCTTACTAGTTTACAAATTTCATTGATGTATTATTTCATAGCTAAATCAAAATTCATTCACATGGACTGACAGATAACATTGCTAAACAATAGTTGCGTTTTTTAATATTGTTTATATTTTTTTTGAATTCCTCAAATCTCACAATCCATCCCTAGTTAAAGATTAATAGTTAGATAATATTACAAATAAGCAAGAACTTAATATGCTGACAATGAAATAATATGGTAAAAAACGTTTTCATCAAAAAGTTAGCAATCAGTTTTAAACAGAACAAAAAGAACATTAAGTATGGGTTGAGAAATAAAATCTGGTACATATGCGAGTTGGCCACATTGAGACAAACTACAGCATCTTGTAAGTGACAATGCATTAGAACAGTGGTCCGCAAATTGCGGCTTGCGGGCCCGATACGGCATGCAATCCAAATTTTTGTGGCTCTCGAATGACTATACTTTTAATTGATGAAAAAACAAAAAAGTTTAACAAATTTACACAAATTTATTTTAGCTGCGCATAGATATATTCCATAATAATGGCTTTTGGATGTTATTTTTATTTTTTGAAGTAATCAGCCGAACGTGTGTACCGATAGTTGTAATAAGCATAGAAATAGAAGTTAGAGGTGTGTCGTACATTGAAGTTTAATGTAGCGAGAGTTTTAAAAATAAAACCTAAACTCAAAGGCGACTGAAATCATGTCAGTTTATGCACTGCATTCATATTGAAGATTGCAAAATTAACAATAAACTAACATAAAAGATATATTATACTATATTAAGATATACTCATAAACAATACAAAAATAAACATTATTATATCATTGATATTGATTTGGAACTATTCCATTTATTAAACTTAAAAGTACGGTGACTATAGAGTAAAAATTAATTGAATTTTGAAGTTAATGAGACGGACCTGGCTCATCAGTTTCCATTGGAACTACATATGGACTATTAGAAAGTGTTTGTTTTATTGACTCAAGTCTGGCAAGTAATTCCCCAAATCGGAAATGTCCTGTATTTTGATTAAATGGGTCTTGCATTGTTCTCCCATCCATTTTCATCAAATTCTTACAAGTGCTAACATAATAATCATAATATTCCATAAAAGATGACTGCACAACTTTTTTAACTTCAGTGTCCAATGAATTGTTAATCGCCATATCACAAACAGCAACTCTTATTGTTTCATGTCTAATGCAATCATTGTATCGCATCGAGTCACCAGCTACTCGTTCACTTGCAAATCCCGGTTCATTATGATACGGTGACTCGTTCATCACAGATTGTATTGAAATAAGGACAGATGATAAAGATTGGGCGGGACTCCAACCAGGCCCAGACCAAGTTCCAAGTATGCTCAAACACACTTTGCCATTTTTGTAGAAATTTGGGTTGAAACGTACCATTCCAAGACCAGTTGTTAGCAATTTTACTCTGGGGGGCTTTAATGGGTAATTAGGAGGACAGCGTATGTAAAATAGGAAAAATCCCCCTTCGTAAGGAGTGTCAAAAGGTCCAGTTACTATGGCCTGTAATCGTGTTATATCATCTGGATTAGGTAAGATGACAACGCCTGGTGGAGGCGCTCTGTATATTTCCAAAATATCTTTCTTCAGTCGGACTATGGTGGTGTGAGATGGAGCTTCATTTCCCCAGTCATGAGATTGCAGAGGATCCCAGTATGACATAATACACAAAAAATATCCACTATACTGAATAACACCTGAAAAATATAGTGAAAAACAAGAGCTGCTGAGTCAAAGTTCGGAGACAGTTTGGTGTGTTTTTATTAATTTTGGAGTCGAAGTCAGAGACATAATTTTAAACTCCTCAAAGTCAAATTTCAGACAGATTCCAAGTACATTAAAACATTATAAATAACAGTCTGTGCAAACCCCTCTTTTACTTAACAGTCTGAGCCTCTGTATCGACTCAAACGGCAAACTTGCACAGTTCAAAAAAACTAAAAAATCTAAATCTAAAAAAAAATCTAAAAACTTCACCATTAGATTTCTCGGAAAAAATAATCCAATTTACCAAAGAAAAAAATTATATCGACAAACTACAGCATCATCAACTACGGCTTCATTTGTATATTAATTCTGGTGATCTCTCATAAATCCTAATTGGATACCGACAACGACAAGTGGTTCAAATTTTCATCAACCAAAGACGGAAGAAATTGTCAGAAGTTTATTACATTCAATTATCTATTTCATATTTGCTGTTTTTGTTAAATTGCCTTCAAAGTACTGCCCGATTGTGGATCGCGTTTTTCTATGATTGTTTTATTTTTTGATGGGCGGGCACGTACGCTTTTTAAATTTATTTTGAGTTATGCATGTTTCTCTGCTTTTTGTTTTATCCGTTTACTTTTTGTATTGTTCATGTTAGAGAACCAAAATGAATGATTGATTGACAGAGGCATGAATGGGGCCAAGTTCGATAATACCGGTACTCAGCCAATTGATAAAGCGTGGAATTTATTTGAAACTTTATTTACAGAATTATCCTCTAAATTCTTATAGATGTATACCGGCCAAATGTATACCGGTATACATATCTCTGCAGTATTGCTGGTATTGGGTGTTAATGTTACCTCAGCACTGCATTACGTAGGTAGTAGGTACGGTACCGTACTGCAGTACCGGTACTGTGTTAGATAACTCACATGACTGCATGGTCGCGGATTTTTTTACCATGCCTGAGTATTGTTAGGGGTATCTTTATGATATCATGGGCTGGTGATCTGACGAAAGGTCATGGTTCGCCTTATGACAGTATGATTAAACCATCTTATCACTTTCCTCTCCCCCGATATAAATATGCAGCCAAAAAATCCTATCCTATCACACAAAAATTGTTAGTTAAGCATTACCTACTGTATTAACACAACCATGAAGATAGTCAAGAAAATACCGCACTTGATATCCTACCGCGTATACCTGTATACCGACATCAGCCCCGCGTATCGACGCATTGTCGTACCGTCAGGTGCTGACATGACTTCCTTCTATTTCGTTGTCTCCATTTTATTTTACCTCATACACGTGGGGTATGCTCAAAATAGTTCAACCTCGAGATGGCGCATCAGGGTGCTGCCTAGCAACAGACGCTTGTACGAAGAGGTACTCGGTACGCGTCGTGTAGGGTCGTAAAGTTTTATAGGCCTGGTCAATTTGATTTACATTTAAAATAGAACAAACTTCAACTTCAAGATGAATCAAGAAATGCTATATCAATTGGGAAATTCCCGTGAATCGTGGTGTGCAGTGGAACTTAACAAATCACAAGACTGGTGTAGATCTGAGAGAAGACATTCAAAAGTAAGGAAGGATGCCCTAATATCGATACTGAAGTCCTATTTGCAAAGCAAAGCTTCAACGGAAAAGATAATTTTTTATTTGTCATCGGCTAGCAATCAGTATGTGGTGACGGGACTTCAACGTACCCCAAACTTTATATAGGCATGTCAGACTGAGTTGAAAGTCATTATCAGTATAAAGTACTATATAACTTAAATGTTTGTAATATTTTGTTGTGTGTTGAACACCAAATGCCAGATAATATAATATTTTAACCAATTGCAGGAAAATTTTGTCAGCACCGTCTTCAATCCGACAGTAAACACCGATTCAGAACCAAGATGTCAGTGGAAAATTGATGCTCCTACCCATAGAGAAAAACGCCATTTCTCCTTCGCCAGTAAGTTAGAGCCTCGACTTATACTTTGCTCATTAAATTAGAATATAGTAAAGATGACTGCATGCAATAGGATTTTCACGGAATTACTCAAAAAATATTGATGATTCAATTTGAATCTAAATTTTGGGCGTAACTCCTAATAAATGTTCTATTCCAATTTAATGGCTATGCGTTAAAATAAGTCAACAGTTGTCGCCTGTAATCCTCGTGTGTCTCGATTATATTTGAAAATTACACTTTTTGTTCGAATATCTTCAATACAAAACATATTAGCAAAACATTTAGTTTCTTTAATGTAGCTACAGTTCTTTTATCTATTCTATGTATGAAAAATAATAAATAGTATATATATTCAATTTAAATATAAAAAATACATTGTAGACCAAATTAAGAGCAATCTTTAAATTGAAAAAATAATGACTCAATTAGCGCTACAGACATAATTTATGACTATTTTCAAATAAAATAATTTATTTTATCTTTTTGTAGATGCTAATCAGCTGAAGTGAAGATTCCCATTGCATGCGTATATTAGCTGTCGTATACATCGACTCGAATCATTTCTATAGTTTTTGCTGTTATTTACCTATTGGTGTTTGAGAATAATTTGCCATATCTTGCTACAATGATTATAGTTTCGCTTTTAGTTCGCCATCTATAAATTGATGTATATTAGTTTACCTAAATGTGTTGCTTCGATAGCCTATTTATTTTCGTGCCATATTTTAAATTATAATTTTATACTGCTAATATTTATTATGCTCTGTGCATTTCACTAATGGAGAATATTAAGTTAAGTGTTTCTGTTGATATGATTGCTCTCTGTAAAACGAGCATTGATTGCAGAAATCAAAAGAGTTTGCCAATTGGAAATGAACTCTTTCCCGACACCTATACGCAGAACCATTGGGCCCATGGCCAGTGGCGTGCCTAGAGTAAGGACGCTAAGTATGACTACTTACACATATTCGATTCTTATCCGATTCCTAAATTTTTGATTCCGATTCCTCGACATATCTTGCCGAGGAAACATACCCACTTAAACAATACTATATGAAATCAAACACGGGAGCTATGTTCAAATATGTGGAAGGACAAAATTGAGTAGTATGAATATTCAATCTGTCACAGTAGACAAAATCGCACAAAAAAAACGAATTTCTGAGAACCCATAGAGACTTTTGAAATAAATAAACGTAAAAACCTTCTAGCCAAAAATACATAGCCTATATAGTGAAGTTTGCGACGTCGTAGCAACTCAGCATAGCAGTAAATCAGTAACCTACATAACCTATATGTGAAGGACTTGCCATAAAACGTTACACATTGTTTGCAATCCAAATTTAATCCTAAGAATCGATTCCGATGCATCGGAATTGATTCTAGTCGATTCCGCGGAGAATCGATTCTGTAATCAAAACCAGACTTGATTCCGCCATCGCTAGGCCCTAGAGGGGGACGAGAGGGACAGCTGCCCCGGGCACCACGTTGTGGGGGCAGCAGAACCAAGCTGTAGAGTTTACGTTATTACACTTGTTTTTCTCGATGTGTTTTTATCTGATTAAAAGCTGACAGTAGTCTCGCGTGATTGACTGCGGTGATGATGAGTCAACAATGTATGTTTTCCCGACCGTTGACCCAAAAAAATTCTTTCTATATTTCACAATTGCAACATTTTTATGGCTCATTTTGATAGTGGTTTCGAGAGTTGACGCCTCAAACTGGTTAATATGTCCCAAACAATCATTTCAATTCAAAATATTCAACTTTTTTTTTTTAAAGTACCGATGTCAAATTAGCGGCTGTCAAGTTTATCTTTGACTAGCACGGAAAAGAAATTCCTGACGAGCGAGGTGGAGGAGGCTGTCGTTCAGACATTTGTTGGCAGCAAAGTAGCGATTAGACATAAGTTTGAGTTTGTTGTTTATTTAGTTTAATGATTTATTCAGTAAAACAAACGTTTCTTTCTTACTTGACTTTTGATTTATTTGGTCTCATGTATAACGACATCTATAAACGCTTTGACCCCCGAATTAATAATATTAATTATTTTTTTGAGTTAAGAATAAGGGGCGTCATAATCAAAAGCTCGCCCGGGGCAGCAGAAAAGTTTGGCACGCCCCTGCCCATGGCTAGTGTGTAAGTTAGTTTATTCCTAGCAGTTTGCCATTACAGCTGTAGCGTAGGCTATGTACGATTTAACGTCCAAATGAACATAGGCTAAAAGAACTGCAGGATAATAATTTATTGAAACGCTTAATTTAAGGATTAATCTGTGCACGTAATGTAGTAACGTTTGTGCAAAAGGAAATTGATATGTGTAATTGATATGCACGCTTCGGCCTTTCGAATTTAAGTTTTATCTGCACCCATGCCTTTCGATATTTACTGATCGTGTTAAAATTCCCAACAATAGAAATCCAAAACGCCTCGTGTCTATAACCGGAAGTGGAAATAGCTATTGATCTGGTTGAGTCACATATACCGTGTATTCTTGAAATATTGCTAACACAAGCTTACAGAAACATATGCGTCATGCAAAATAGACTATACCATAGGCGACGAGAAGGAATTGAAAAACAGTGATTTTTATGAAAGAAGGGCAAACAGCATGTTGGAAATACATCCTAAATTTAGTTTGAAAGGGAAGGAAAGGTGGCGAACGTCAAAGCGAAATATAAAATGGTATATTTTGTTAGCAATCGTTGTTTTTATATTTTTCTGGACTTTCGTAAAAATGCGAAAATTAGAATGGTCGCCGTCGATTCAAAATAGTGTATCTGTGAAATATGGAGGATATGAGAACATTCGCGGATCATCGCCATTGAAATTGCGTTGCACTACTTGTGCTCTTGTCACCAACTCCGGGCACACAATCGGATCGTACTTGGGGCGTCAAATAGATCAAACCGATTGCGTATTTCGGTTGAATCGAGCTCCCGTTACAGATTACGACGATGACGTGGGGAGCAAAACTACAATACGCGTGGTGTCAATGAGAAATCTTAATGCAACTTTAAGCAACGAATCTCTCAGAAAATCACTTGGTGATGTTGTTATAGTGTACAGCAGACATAAGAAAAGTGAACATGCTGTCGCCCAGAACAAAGTTCGGCGTTTGATTTCCGAAAATAATATCGAGGCATCTATTTTTATGATAACGGATGAAACACTGAAGATAATAGATGGAACATTTCGCGACCATGTTTATTTGGGATCGAATAAGGCAATTACAACAAAAAACTTGCCAACGACAGGGTTTACTGCCTTTACAACTGCAATGGAAATATGTCAAAACCGGTTGGACATTTATGGTATGGTCCCCCCATATCACTGCTTGAAATATATGAATACATATGATGCTCCATACAGCTATTTTCCCCCAGGAAACCAAATTCCAGGCTGCAAAAGAGAGAATAGTTATGGGAAGCGCTATGCAAGTTCACATATTTTCACGGAGGAAGCCATAGCTATTCGGGATTTAACACAAGACTGCAGTGAAGTCAGATTTTTCTCTCCAGACTGGAAGAAAAACTGAGTGAGCAGTAACCGTCTCACGGGATGGCCATTGACTGGCGAACAAGGCATCTCGCGAGCATATAAAATTTTGTACTGTCCCAATAACAATTAATCGACCTTAAACTAAATAATAAACGGAACTCGGAGACTCTAAGTCCATTTTATAATTTGCAATATTTATCCATTTCACTAATCCGATTTTGGATGCACTGTGATGTTCATGTTATTATTATTCTTTACATATTTCAAATACCGCATTTATTATATTATCATCAAGCGATATCGAATATTAAAAAAACATTTTGACAGTAATATTGTGTTGGGGCTTCAAAAGTTTGCTGTTAGACCACCACGCACGTCAGAGCTAGAGCTGGGTGTCCTGAAACAATGATCCTGTACGTCGAAACGGAGAGGTTTAGACATTCGAAAACGCGTATTATGACGTCATATATAATGCTAACGGAAATCGTCAAGGTATCACCTTTTGAACCAATGAAAAATACATCATTTTTGTCGAAATTATTGCAGATGTGTATGGCTTCGCTGGTTGATAACATTCCGTGGCATGGGATAAAGTAGCAAACAAGAATATCGGTCAGAGACTGAAGACTAATCGATCGAAAGTTAGGGGATCCCCCAAAACAGCGCTCTTACTCCATAGTGACATCTTGTGTCTCATCACTAATTAATTAATAACTCGCTAATTATACGACATAATTCATACAAAATCAATAGGCTTCTGGTCCGACATATGATGAATGCACATGCAAAATTTGGAGCAGATTGAACCTCGCTTTCGTGAGATACCGCGTGCATCTAACAGACAAACAGACAAATACCTATCAACATACTTACCGATTAAAATTGATAAGTAATAAGCCCAACAACTACATGAGATTCTGTGCTACTAACATTGATCCACTTACATAGTAACGTGATAATAATTTGTCACAGCTTGACCTTAAATATCTGTTAGTTCCATCCATCTAAACTCCCTGAAAAAGAATCTCACTGCAGACCATACAGCTAGAAAATTGAGATCTGACTAAACAGGCAAACGCGTAGAAGTTTTTTAAGGAAGTGCTGATTTGAGACCGCATGACATAATTAATCAGGGGAAAGTGGCTACCTTCTTCTGACGTTTTTCTAATTGTTCACCAGTTTTCTTTCATTTACATGTACAAACTTGAACTGTTTACGTATTTTTCTCGTGCTATTTGTTCACTGTTTTGTCGTCAACTAAAACCGTTCGGAAAAAAATAACCTGCACGAGGTGCGTTGTATTATCATTTCATATTCTCGAATTAGCTTCAAGTGCTTTCTTTTTCGTGGATTTAATCCTTGGAAATATCTGATATTTTACAATGAACTCGATAATGGTGCCATGTTTTACTGTTTGTGACAAACTTGTAGGAATTGTGTTTCGTTTTGATTCGGAGATAAAATTTCGTTTCGATTTTGAAACACCAAATAGAAATTTATTTTAAGAATTCCGCGTAATTTTCTTTCAGCTATATATTAACTTCTCTCGCGAAAAACAATCATGAAAAAAGCTCGTAGTCTACTCAGGTTCGCTTACAAATCCTTTCGAACTCCTTTCGCATTTTCTCGGTTACATTGTATGCAGATTGATTCGAACCATTCGAAAAAACGAAAAAAATGAAAACTATATAATCAGACACACGCCGATAATCGGAACTATACCATTTATGGTTAGAAAAAGTGATTTTTTACGCTAACGCCAACAATTCTGCAAATATATACGCTACGTATTCTTTTCAAACTAATTTCTAATTAGATTTTTTTTCTGATATAAGATAATACCAGCATGTTTGTTCCATTATGTTTACATCACTACTTGCATGATCGCTGGCAAATAGAGTTACCACAAAAATAAAAAATAAATTTTTACCTAATACAAAAAAACGAGGAAGATCAACATATACGACGTTTATACGAGTACGTGGATATTTATTCGTGTTTAGCTGTCTATGTGCTGTACCACGAGCCACGTAATAGTAATCATAATGTCTCAACGAGCGCAATCATATAATGTAATTTATCTTCGATAAATGTTTTGAAAGAGTTGTAAAAAGCCTAATTTGAATCATTCATAAATTTAAAAATGAAATAATGCAGTTGGCAAGCAGAATCGTATGAATAGTGTTATTATTTCTTTGCCAAGTATGCGCATTGCCTGAGGCCTAGTTAGGTACATGCGTCGTCCTTTCGGCCTTACGTTAGATGCCGGAATACTTCTAACGTAAACCGGTTGTAACGCTTGTACATGTGAACGATTAGACGTAAACTATGAATTCAGATTATTGGCAGTTCAGATGTCTTATGTCGCTACTTGTCAGGTTATTATGTATTTAATAAGTAAAGCATCCATGATTGCTAAATTATCAGAAATTGTTCATGCTAATAAGCATATTATCCGAGGAGCGATTGCCGGAATACTCTTTGGATTCGTATATAACTACGGTCGAATGGGATGTCTGATAGGACGGAATGCGTTAGAAGAGCTGTATAAAACGTAAGTAAAATATTATGCAATGGTATATATATATATATATATATATATATATATATATAGGAAATGACTGGGCCCTTTCACATGATTCGTTGGCAGTTATTACCACAGACAACATTGTCAAGAAACTGATGACAAGGGTACGCTTCCATTTATCATAATTTGCACCAATATTTCACAGTAGGCTATACTTTATATATATATTTGGTAAAAGTTTTTCTAAATTCTTTTTAAAGTCCTGTTTTGTGATAATGATTGAATTGAACATTTTTTTTACCTTTTTTGCAAATTCAAGAATCGTCATTTAGCTTTGGAACTGTAATCAAAATAATTATACAATGTCACCAGCACCTGCAAAGCCTTGGTAAACTGTTTTTACTTGAACGACCTCTCATAATAGCTATATATATATGCTGATATTTCAAAAAGCCAATATTCCGATACGAATATTTCGATAATATATAATTTTCATTCTGACTGCAGGGACAGACAGAATAAAATAGTTATCTGCAAACTATATTCATAGTGATCATTATTTCAGCCTGGAGAACGGGTATTCCAGAATATAAGAAATTGGTATTTGTGATTTAAATGCATATATGACGTGTGATTGGAATCAATGCTAAAGTACTTGAATTAATAGCATAGTAAATTGCTTTGCAACATAGTACTTATGCAAAAGTGGCAGTTTCTACAGACGAGATACTGCATAGGCGCAAGAAATCCCGGCGTTCGATCTGCGTAATCTATAAAATTGCAGATTTGCTAATACTTTGAATTTTAAAGAGTAAGAAGTTCAAAATTGTAATAAAACTCCATGGTACATGAAAACGTGGCGCTATAATACCCGTTTAAATTGCGAGGGTGGGGAGCGTTCGTTACTCAATGGCCAGACCGAGCAGTACGCTTGTACACAATCACCGACTATAGTATACTATTCAATAACTGTGAAAAAAAATTCAGTTATCACCATCCATATGAACCTACTAACTTTTAGAACACGATCTATTTGGAATAAGACATCGAACATTTGTTTTTCCCATGGTGTACATGGGCAAGTAGACTCGTGGTTCAAGCGGGATACGTAAGACACTTGCGATAATTTTATATAAGATTACATTTTGTGATTCAAAAAAATTAACAAAATGTAAGTACCGGCGCGGTTTCAACAGGATAGAGAGGTAACGTGGTAGCGCGATAGTGCGTATACACAGTCAGATTCGAAAATCGTTCCGCGTATAGGGTAAGTGATTAGTGATAAAATACATTCTAGAGTGCGAGCACAATTCTAGCTTTCCCGGAAACTGACGGGTCGATTGGGACGAAATTTGGCACGTAATTTTGGGCTGGTATCCACGTGACCCAAAAATTATTTTGTTGCAATTGGACCAGAAAAGTTTTTTGTGATTTGGAGGCGGATACTGGTTAAATAAGCCATCAATCAAATCACAATCGAATTATTTCGTGGTTTAGAAGCTGTTCAGCGTCGTTTCGGGGATGGGAAAGCGTTTGTCTGATCACTGGCAACTTTTTCGAGTAGTTTTGGCGGTGGGCGCCGTGATACAGAACTGTCATGGTTAGACAATACTTCTGAATATCGAAGTTAATTAACAAAGTCAATTAATTTTGTCGTTTCGCATGTCTCTTTCTATATTTAGTCCTATTTCGTAAACAATAAGCCTAAATTTTCTTTAATTTAATAATTTTCATTGCGTTGTCTTCCAACGAGAATCTCATGTGATGGGACAGGCTTAAATTGCGATGGGACAGGAAAATATGTCACATGAAGAAGCCTGGTAACGAATGATGATTAACACTTTTGGATTTTGCTCCGGAAAGCTTTGATTTCGCAAAAAAAAACGTTTCAAATTTCCAGTAAGAAATCCGAGATGGGTCGTTATTAAAAAAAAAAATTGTGTAAAGGTCTATAAAGACCCAATATCACACTGCGTACACTCTTAGATCCAGTTGTATTGTAATTGACATTCAATTTCAGGAACGAGCCGGATATACCAGAAATGTTTTTGCAAAATCTATCAAGCCCAAATATTCCAACACCAGGAGATGACGGATTTCGACAAATGTGAGTAAAAGTTGCAGAAATTCTGCTTCATGTTGATTTTGAAAATATTGAATATGACGAATAATTTTTAAAAGCTTTACTAAATTACTTACCAACATACATCTGGAGAATTTATGCATGACTTGTCTCCATCCATCTATCCGTTCTGTTTTTCGCATTTAGGCCATTTAAAAATGCCACGCAGAATACACTTATTTTACTGAAAAGTATTGAATGGTAGAAGATTATATTCCATTAATATAGCACGCCCAGACGTTTTATGGGGTCAAAACACTTTCTGAAAATTATTATGGAATTATTACATAACATTGGCCGATATTTTTGAAAAAAACATGGCTGAAATAAAAAGGCGTCTAAGATCAAGGTATTGTCTAATTCAGACCATGGCGAATGAAAGATATTATAGATAATAATTCGAAAGAAAAATATTCTATGATATTCATTGTAACAATGGCCTGCTTTGATGTAAAGCGGAGATTCAATGCTCGTTTAACTTGGGGTTCTATCAGCAATATTGAAGAAAAACGGTGAGTTGCTGTATATGTTACTATTCTGTAAGGCCAATGTGATTTTAAACAAGTGAGCGATGCTTAAATTTATGAAAACGGAGACAAAACGGCAAAATACTGAAAATAATTGCACCGAATGTCATATGAAGATGCGCCCGAGAGCCAATAAATTTATCTCGAGACGCTCATCCTTTAATAATAAAAATTCAGGAAATTTGAAACTACAACTCTGGCAACAGGATATACCAGCAAAATGCCAAATTCGACTACCGGTGTGACTAGGGTTGCCAACCGTCCTTTACTTCAAAAGACAATCCTTTATTTAAGCGTCTCGGTCCTTGTCCTTTTTAGCATTTGAAAAAGATGCCAATTGTCCTTCATTCTTTCCAGCGTCGTTTTGCCCAATAGTTATAGTACTGTGTTTGATATGGTTCTGTTCTTAAAATATCGTCTACGTTCATGTATTTGCAAGTTTTTAATTTCGCTTTGGTTCGGCTCAAATAGCCGAAAAAATACCAATTTTCATTAACATTGTTTGGGCCAATGTTAAATATACATTAAATGAAAAACACATGAAGATTGTTTTAATATAGCTTTTTAGTTTGTATATAATCTTTATTTCATTGTTTTATATCAGGGATGGCGAACCACTGACCCGCGGGTCACAAAGTGACCCACCGCGTCTTATTCGTGACCCGCCAAGGCACGAATAAAATAGGAAAAATGCTAACATATCAGTGATAAAAAATGATAAAACCGGCCTTAAATTAATCTAACAATACCTAAACTATTATAATGTACCGTCAGTTGGGCAGTCAGGGCTGCGATCGCTTATATTCAAATTGTAAATTTCCGGTATGGTAATATTCAAAACCTCTGATCTTGGACGCATGTCTGCACCGTTGTGTGCCGTTATTCAGCTATTGGCTCTGACATCGTTTATGACATAACAATCCAATTGATGTTCATTTCTCGCAACGTCTTGTCTCTTTCAGAAGTGCATCTGCAGACTGTTTTAGGGGTTGTACGAGAACTAGATGCCACTTTGCATTTTATTGATTTCTCGCCTACTATTTCTCGTCTTTCTCGCCGTTAAGAATACAAAATCTTTCAGACTTGAAATAAAAACCTAGAAATCTGGAATAACAATGGGGCAGTGTGAAAGTGCTTTTAATATGGTTAAAGCTGATCTAAAAATATAGCACTATCAGAGTGGAATTCCCTTCAAACTCTTTGAAAATAATTTAATAACCGTAAAATAATTTGCATCATCCTAAACGTAAATCATATGTGTGTTTTCGTACCCTTAATCGAGTGCCATAAAAAGTTCCTGATAACGTGCTGTAAAGTAAAGCACTAAACTACACCAACATTAACAGAACCGTTGTATTATGATTTGTTTCAGAAGTTTCTTATAGATACAAACATTGATTAAATATCTGTGACCCACTCTCTTCTGTTCCGCGATAAAAATATGATTTTTGACCCATTCATTGAAGAAGGTTCGCCATCCCTGTTTTATATTGTTCTTTTCTGCAAGTTACAAGATGATGACGGTAATCTATGTCCTTTATTGAAACTTTTTATAGTTGGCAACCCTAGGTGGGACCCCACCAGTTTTGACAATATACTGATCGATAGCTCGAATCAAAGAGTCTTTTATCACTGTTACACAACGAACTAATCTCAGTTCCATAACACCGGCATCCATTGTCGAGTTTTCTTGATAACTTTTGTTAACTTTAGTACTTTTTTCTCAAGAATCGGCGTGATATTTGTCGTCGGAGATGGTATAACGGCCAGTCATAATAAAGTGTTGAATGATGAAAACAAAATTTATGGTGACATATTGCAGACTAACACCAAGCAAAATGATAACCAAAAATCAATTTTGGTAAGATTTTTCCTTTTTTAATCATGAACCATAGCAGCAGTTAGGTTATACGTTCGTGTTACTAATTTCAGTCCGCTGCTTACTATATATGCTACATAATTTTGTTCAGTCTCATATAAACGGTCTTCCGGAAAATAATATATTCAAAAGTCACGTGAATAGACTTTAATTTCTTCAAAATATTGCTCTCTAGAGTGGAGACCATTCATATTTCAATTAGGCAATGCAAAAATATCGATCGACAAGCTAAAATTTAATTTTTGTATTTCGAGTAATTTATTATAATCCGGGGTTGGTCTCCGTAGCGTTTAACCCGTTTCGAAAATTTGATCGATTCATGTTTTGTGTACATGCAGTATTATTAAGGTACTGCACTGTAAATAAACTTCTGTCAAACATATTGCGAACCACGGCCTTGCCTATGGTTATCAAGTCGGGTATGGGAATATTCAGCCAGTTATTTGGTTTGGATGAATGGAAATGGAATTGATGGCGAAAGAAGCCGTTACAGACCAGCGGTTAGGTGGACCACCCAACGACAGCAATCCTTTCACACAGAATTACCCCCCAAGGGATGCGGACACTTGCAGGGTAATCAGAAGTGTGCTGGAAAGCGTATTCCTAACGCTTAGCACGACGCGCCAACCGATTTGAAACAGATATTACATGGATTCCGAATGTACCTGCAAAATTAAATATGGCCCCCTTCATGAGTTATGGCCGGATTTGGAATTTGAGCAAAACGTTAATCTTGAACTATTATATTTTAGCTATTGTCTGGTTACCAATGGATTATCCAAAACTTGTGGGGGCAAACTGAATATGTTATTAACATGGACAGTAACATTTTCCCATACCTCCCAAATTTATATGAATATATTATGAGAATAGAAAAATATCAAAAACAAAATCTTATTCACTGCGGGTTTGGAATGAAAAGACCTCGACGTAAACCTAGGTAAGATAATTTAAATTTAACTTCATTAACATGCCTAACATGCCCGTGATTCCAGGTTATTATGGGTAGTTCTCGCGTCCTGAACCTGGTCGGTGAAACATCCAACCCACTCTTTTCAGCTCATCAGTGGTGTATTAATGAGTGAATATTTTAAAAGGAAAAGATGATAAATATGTGTGGTTGATGTGGTTCAAAGGTTTGTAAAAAAAAAAAAAAAAATAAACTAAAAAAAGCTACTGGAATTTTAATAGACCCATAGACATTATATTTTAGGAGCTATCTAATTTTTTGTTTATATATATATATATGCCAACTAAAGTGTCACTGCTGTAATAATAATACCCATATTTGTGTTATTATTAGGATAATATCATAATAATAACATAATAGATAATAGTAATAATAACATAACATGATAATAGTTTAGCATAATAAATGTAGAGTGCAATAGCATTATATATATGCGTCCGAAGATTATGTAAATTAGCTTCACCACCTTTTTTTTCTAGGGATCCAAGTTTTCCGAACTATGTGTACTTGAATGATTATAACAAACCATTTTTTCCGTCTCACTGTGAATCAAATCTTGTTGTTTCATCTTTCGATATGATTCGAAATCTTTACGAAACGGGTATTCTTACGAAAATGACTGAAGTAGGTCCAGACGTTCACATTTGGGGCATCTTGAGGGAGAAAATTCGTAAAAACCAACAACAGGAAAAGATGAACATCATAAGTCCTGAGGAATTTCTCAACACAAGTGACGCAAAAATTATTCTTCCATTAGCTTTTCAAATTCCATCTTTAATTACAAAGGGCAAAAACCCTTACAACTCATACTGGAATAGAACAAAATCTGGGTTCCTCATTAGCGACTCAGAAACCGTCAAAAATAACAATAAAGAGAACCGTGTCGTACTGAGGAAGGCAAATTTGAGTGATAAAACCACGGCTGATAGAGACTTTAAATCATTTGTTTATAGGTGGAACCGATTGCCTATGAGAATTGTATAATATATATGCTTGAAGAACCTGAAATATTTTTATAATATAACGCGTCAGAGGCGATGTAACAACTCTAAACTGTCAATAACGCTGTAGCTTTCGAAAGCAAATAACTGGCTAACTAATCCCATACCCGACCTGGACTAGTAACCGGACGGGAGGCCGTGGTTTGCCATATGATTAAGCCGTTTCACCGGTTTCCCTAATCCCGGGATAAATAGGTAAGCCCTATCATATCCTAGTTGTGCCTAATTTAGTTACTTTTTTATGCTAATACCAACCTGCATCAGCTAGGTGTCGCTGCTTGAAGATCTCTCTAGGAGTCTAGGTTCCTCGCGACTCCGTCACACATTAACACGATCAGTATATTTTATTTGTCGTTATACAGTTCCTATCTGCTTGTTTTTTTGTGATGACAAATAAAAGATTGATTTCTGTTGCCTCTGTATCAGCCTAATAGGATTGTATCGAGACTAGATAATTAACCTATGTATATATGATCACGAGAGCGGCAGAGAAGACATTTTAAAAAGATTTAGAACAATAATCACAGCTCAATCATGACCGATTTGACGTAAACAGATTTAAACTGTTACCTAACACGTTTGCAGTGAGTTTGTTTAACATAGATTTGACGTGTAAACATTGGCGTATCTGACATAAAGGGGTGCATGGCCCCTCAGGCCAATTTTGTCACATTTTTATTGCAACCCTGTATGCAGTAAGACATAAATTAATACGCATTTTTCATCACCATTTTGCTATATTTTTGAACAATTTATTGAAAACCGGACGTTTCCTGGCTTGCTATCAATAATCCTTTCACCAAATGAACCAAACGGTCGCGTTTATTTGCCTTGGATAACTTTGACAGTAAAGTAGTCTGAAGGGCGATTCTTTGAGATATTGTTAGATATCAGTGGCTACTTTATCTGGCTTTGTTCGGAGCCAAAGGCACGAGTGAGCGTCGTGTTACGTCATTATACAAAAAATAAAATTTTGCTCCCCCTCGAGGGAGGTCTAGATGGACGTGGAAATTGTTTGGTATTTTGTTGTTGTTGTTATCGTTCTTCTAGTTTTAATTCATATATGTTCGTGTGTGTAATATTGGTAAACTCGCATACACAATAACTATATATCGTCATGCAAGAATTCGGAAATAATTCAAACAAAGGTGTGTGTGTGTGGTTCACGCAATCGCTGGCCGATTACGACTTCCTCCACCATCAAGTCCATGCCTCCGAAAACATATAACTGGCTATCAAGTAACTAATCCCATACCCGACCTGGTATTTAAGAGTCTGGAACACACAAAAATTGAACGAAATTACCAGCGCTAAGAAGTACTTGACTTGACACAACTCTATTGCGAATGAGTATTTAGTTAGGACGAACGAAACACGCAGTCATCTCGTGAACCAAATTACAATTATTCTCAATATAATATTCATATTTTGAGGTAGACTTCTCGTGTTAGTACTGGTACACTTATTGAAGTCCAGATATGCACAACTCTTATAGCCAAATCGCCGGATTTTAGTTCATTATTATGTTTTATTAAACCTCATCCCATGGTGAGTATAAATATTTTGACCCACCACAAAAAATAAAATCCATGACCAAATGATTTTTCTACAAAATATAATATATTTATTTATTCAACTATTATTTTTCACATTTTAAACCAGATGCATACACACATTCAGAATACAATATTTCTGATCAATTAATTGTAAATAAAAAATAAGAAGAAATAGGAGGGTGCTGTTTAATAAATTAGGTTGGAGGAAAATTAGGACGTTTTTTGATGTAATTTATCAAAATTGAATTTCCAGTAAACGTGTTTCGTTAAACATCAAAAATTTTTAGGTTATGGTATTTTTACAATTCTTCCCATATAACAATATTTCATGTTTATATAATAACCAGTAATACTGTGATATATCCAAAATTTTATTTCATATAACTTAAAATGGAATATTAGTTCAAACAATTCGTTGTAACTAAAAAATATATAAAAAACACTTTTGTAAAAATTATTCTCATGTAGGCTAATTAGAAATTCTAGAATAGTCCAGTATTCTAAAATTTAATCCTCCAATTAATTTTAATTTTGAAGATTCAAGATGGAAAAAGTATGTTACAAACCTGAATTTCGACATACGTTAGGAATTCACTATGGAAATGGCAAATTTTATAGAAAAAAAATAGTTTTAGTTGTTATATGTTGAATTCTTCAATATAGAACCTTTTTAATAACAATTATTTCATATAAAATGGATTTTTTCGACAACCTAAATGTAGTTTATTTATTAAGAATTGTGTTTTGTAAATTTGCAACTTCCTGCTTTGTCTGTTCCAAAGCACGCTGAGCTTGCCTTGATGCTTTCAGCGACTCTTCTCTCACGACTCTGTATTTCTTTTCAATCTCATTCAAAAGGCTATCTGCTTCAAGCTGTAAAGTCTTATCCGTTTTATCATTTAATGCAGTAATAAGTGGAAGTTCCATTGCAGCAGCAGGTCTATCTCTCATCCTAGATAATGCATCGTTCAATTTTTTAGATTTGTTGAGTTTGGAGTTGGGTTTTGGTCGTGACCTCACGTCATGTTTTAGTCTCTCTACTGTTACGATTGAATTGTCTTGATATTTAAATTTTCGCAGCCGTGCTTCAGGAGGTGCTGTTACGGATGTAACTGCCAGTGGGTGATGGAGGATTTGCCTGAGCATTTTTACATTACCCTGAATCGAGAGATTTTCATGGATATCTGGGTCAGGTTTTGCATCCTGTAAAAACTCCTTCATAATTTGAGACTCTGTTTTAACAATTGGCTTTTCTGTAACTGAATTCGATTTTTCTGTTGTCTTTATAGTCTGCTTATCTTCACAAACCTCTTCTCCATACTCATCTTGTACTTGTGTAAGGAAAACGTTGTCTTGATCAGATTCTTTATTTGGCAAATGACACTTATCAGCAAAATTTTCCCGTTGTACCGGATCAGGATTTTTGTCTATAACAGGTGGACGAGGAACATGTCCAATTGCTGGTTTTCGAAACTCTTCTAACATCACATCAAACGGTTGTTTCATGATTTTAGGTACACGAGAAGAAACTCTACGCCTATCATGATCAGGAACTCTCAATGCTGGTTTCATTACAGGGGCCCTGGGTTTGAATCTCATGATACTTATACCAAGCCTATTGTGTAAGTAATGTGATAGAAGAGGTGGTTCACCTTTGCTATTGTTTATCAATGGATTTCCATGTAATACAAGAGCTTGTAGTGCTGGCCATGCCGCAATAGCAAGAAGATGTTCTTCTTCTGAGATTTTATTATTCGCAAGACTTAAAATACGAAGATGTTGAAACGGCGGAGTAGAAGACGATGTATTGTTATAAGATGAAATATCTGTTGTTGCGGCAGTATCCTTGTCATCAACAATTTGCAGTTTCTCAGATAAATCTTCTTTCTTTTCTGAAGTCTCTTCATCCAACCCTAAAGGCTTAATAATTCCTGATATTGTTTCATTGGAAATTTGTGATTTATTTTTAACACTTTTACTTGAAGGCCTAGAGTGATTACTCAATTTCACACTCGTGGGTCTTGATTGCGAATGGGAATGAGCTGCTGATAGCACCCTCTCTCCAACTACTTTAAGATAAGGCACAAGAGTTATTTCGTTTTTATCAAGATTGAGCTCTCTCAAACTAGGCAGTGCTGCAAGGGCCGCAAATGTTGACATATCATGCAATCGATTGTCATCTAACATAAGAACTTCAAGGCTTTGAAAACGAGTATATGTTTCATCACTATCTTCATCGAGAGAAAAAGGCTGACAAAGGTCTGGATGAATTTGTGACAGTCCATTTCCGGTCAATGTTAGTACTTTGAGTTTAGGTAAATATCCAAGTGAAAGCATATCACTGGCACTTAGATTATTATAGGACAAGTCTAATACTTGTAAAGTGGCAAAGTCACCAGGTTGTATACCAATGTTTCGCACACCATTTACTGGCATTTCTAATTCTCTCAAATTTGGGAAAGTTGAAAAAGGTCGCACAGTGAGAAGATTTTCAGCTGCATTAACATAAGCAACATTTTTAAACTTTGAGAAATCTGAGGTCTCGTCAAATTCCAAATCACAGTCACTGATATTAACACTGCACAAATCATTGATAGAATCAAGATGGTGATGTCTTAACAAAAATTCTGTAGTAAGATTGTTGACAAACTCGGATCTTTTGCCTGGTGCTGCAAGTGATGCTTTTTCATCACCATGTTCATCAATGTAATTCTGTTGTTGAATTTGGCTAACATCTTTTTTTGGGGGTTTCGGTTTGAATTTGCGACTTTGTTCATGAGCATATGCTACAATCCATGAACCAGTTCCCTCGTGTGTAATTCTTGATATCCCTCTTGCTGGAAAACAGTTCACAGCAAAGGTGCTATCGTCTTCAAGCTTCCAAACAGCACTTGCTGGTGCCGCCATGATGAACTTTAAATACACTAACTTGAATTGAGAACTTAATTCACATTGTGTCTCTGTATATAAAACTCACAATTATAGAATGTACTATTTTAAATCCAAAAATCAAAGTTGAAGACTGAATTTTGCATCTTAATTAACTAAGGATTTCAAATATTAAAAATAATCTAATTTAACGAAGAAAAAAATGTTTTGAAATTTTGAAATTTGAAATTTTTTTTAGCAAAAAAAAACGCAATTTTGGTTATGTGACGACTGACGCACAGTACGATTGATTTAAATTATTACAGAGACAAGCTTGGTTCGATCTGCTGCCATGCAGACGCCCTCACTTCAGAAATGAATAAAGCGTTTGTTTTATTGAACCAAATGTCAGGACATCTTGGAATCGGAGAACTGTCACCTCCTGTAATATGATCCATATTATGATTTTACTGCACCAATGGCAAATTTTACGGAAATTATTCCCATACACTTTATTCTTGAAATACTGTAGGACTTTTTCAAAATATCTTCAAGTTTATAATTCATTCCAGCCAAATTTTCTTTGAATTTAATAATTTGTTAGTCCTTATGTCTGTATGTATGTAAGTTGTTATGATAATTATATTATACAGAAGAAATATTAAAATTTTGATTCAATCTGTATCTGCACATCATTGAGATGGGGTTAGTTTTTTTATGAGACGTTTCCATGACATTGCTCAAAACAATGCTCCATAAAAGCAGTTACATAAATGGGCTGCTACTGAGATTTGAAATATCAGAAATTTCTTAGCCCAGCATATTTTTTACACCTCCTGTGATATGGTAAGTTGGGTTCATTTGCTGGTTCCTCCCGAACATTGAATCTCTTTTATTTGATAGCTCTAATATGGAAGACATTATAAACATTCATACAAAAGAATATATTTGTTGTGATAAATGATAAAGATCAGATATATTCAAGCAATAATCATACATATCGTTAATAGGTGAAAATGTGATATAGTTGATATACATGTATACAATATACAGATATATGAAGAAACTATGACAAACACTGATGTTTTCTTTTTATAGGCATCTGCCTAAGCCCTAAAGCCTAGGATGTTTATTGCTACACATACAGAATAGTTTAGAATTGTTATTTGAAGCTCACAACAACTTGCTCCTCAAGTATACACAGCCTATATATTTCATTTCAAACATAAATGACAAAAACGGGGCTAATAGACTGGCTATTTTCTATATATTTAATGTCTTCTGCTACAAACAGACAAATGCTAGCGAGCTTGTTAGTGAAGTCGTTTCGGCATGCGAGCGCCATTAAGTGACAAACATACATGGTTGCTAATGGAAATAGTAAATTGGCTAGAGCAACTATTTCATGCACCAGAGCGTGAAGTGTTTTCGCGAATCTCCTCAATGGTTGGCACCAACGACTAATGGTTGGCACTCACAAACTGGTTTGTTGGTAACATTAAGTTAATAATTATTTACTGATTACTGAGTAGGTCTGGCAATATATTCGATTATAAGATCAAATCGAATATAAGACAATTTACTATTCGAATATCTGGTAACACGGGGCGTGGACATAACACTCCCGGGCCTCTGAATCAAAGAATAAATCATTACACAACACAATTGCAGATTTCCAATGACCATATGATAATCTACTCACAGTTTTCACTAACAAACAAAGACGTTAAAATTGAGTGTTTTATTTGCGTTATAGTGTTTTTATTCTTTCATTTTTAGTGGCTATGATTCTGTCTCGATGTTTAAATGAGCATAATGTGCGCCACTGTCGCGGGAATATTAAGTTTTAGTGGACCGTTTCGTAAAATTTGAAACATCAATACAAGTATTTAGTGAAGTAACATTACAAAGGCAACGGTATTGATTTCTTTAAATACTCATAATCTCCGTCATTTTAATGGGAAACATATGACAAACTACCGTTATTGGTAGGCATACTTGAGTTTCAAATTGGTAAGAAATCTTCATCAGTGGCCAGAAGACATTGTTTCGTTGGTTAGCATGTAATCTATTACTCTATTATTAAGCGTGAAAAGTTGAATAGACCAAGTTTAACACCAGTGGTCATGCAGAAAATAACCAGAAGCTCTTAGCGACATCAATTCATTGATACACAAACTTGACACTGTACAAATAATGATTAGTGTGTAATTTCTTTGCAGGAAAAAAGAATGATAACCCATTATCATCTGATTATATCCCATCAATATTTAATTTTCGTCATTCCCAGAGAGGTAAAGAATAGTTGGAAGGAAAAAGGTGGATTTTGAAGGAAGGAAAAAGACATGTTCGTTATTTTCCATGGTCTCAAAATATCAATAGTGAACCTTATTTATTGGCTGTGGCCTGGCAGAGTAGCGCTGACTAAAGTCATGTGGGATTCACCAATAAACGAGTCAAACGCGTAAGGAACATCGTGTCCAATTATTACCCACTATATATCACTCATGCAAAAATGCCGACGAGACGCGTAGAGTTCAAAGTGAACTGGCAGTTTTGATGACCCGGTCACTACGTTACCGCTGCCCCTATAAATCCGCAAGGTTACATGAACGGGTTACTGGAGTAGGCCTACGCGTCTCGACAATAGCGGAGATCCTGGGCGTCTACCGGCTTCTTCTCTCATCTTTCTATATGGTCAATCATTGTATTTTTGCTATTCCCCCAAACCCACCTTAAGTTTGAATTACCAAGGACGGAAAAAAGCTTGTGGGCTTGTGGCAGGTGACACAATATTTGAGCTAATTTTAGAACAGTCCTCGTGTGCTCAGTCAGTCAGTAGTTTATTTTATCACATATCAAAAGTACACAATAGACAGAAATATGCTCCTTACAGGCGGGCACCGCGTTGGTGAACCCTGGTCTAAGGGTTGCCTGATTTGAATGCATTATTTGAAACAATATGGGAACAAGGAATTGATATTGTGCTGAATGTGCAGAATGACTCATAAGTAAAATGTGATTGTCAGAATGGTAATTGTCATATATAATTGGTCTATACTTTCGTATTTTGAAGTAAATAAAGTTAATAAATCTTATCGTTTTGCATGTCTCTATGTAAATGTAAGACACTAGACCTGGAATTTCGTGAATGTAATAACTTTAATTAAACTACATTCTGTATTCCATATTATTATTAAATATATACATATATATATGATATACAGTGGCTGGATACAGTAATATTTCCTTTGGGATGGGATGGAACAGGCTTAAATAGCCATAGGATGGAACAGCTACCATGGACAAGTCTAGTTATCTATATACATATGTCTTTGTGTAGCAGAATCTGCGTGTTAAATGAACTGGAGAACAGGGACAGAAAAAAAGAATTGTTTGCGTTGCGTATACTTTGGTCTGAACGAGGAAGAGAGCCACAGCACTTTCTATGTCAGGGAGTAAGACTTTATAACCATCGCCACGTTGTCATTTTAGTAGAAATTGAGCATAGAGTCGATATATCTTTCTGCTATAATTGTGGTAGAAGTGTTTTTAATAAACCTTCGTAGTTATGACCTGAATCTCCAGGTAGTTCGGGCGTGGTCGGGTATGCTGTTCAAACTGCATATTCCAAATGCAGATTGCGTTCGATATTCGTCCATTCCAATTAAACGGGGTAATCCCTGGTTTTCTGCGTACACAAGGGCGGATTACGATCAGCCGTATAGTCACAATTTGTAATATTTGGAGAGCAATATAAAAAACGTACTTCTACTATTATTAAAAAATCTCCTGTGACATTTTCTAACCGATAACGATGCCGTAAATGCGTCCAGATTGCAGTTCAAATTTAACATTATTCCTATAGAATATAATATTTTATTACTAATCATCTTACAGAGTTGATTTAGTAACGGATTATATCAACAGATTTTAAATGAAGGCAGTACAATGCTGCCACATGCTGTTCCAGATAATAAGACGCTGGAAATAAAACATGAATAATTTTAAATATGTTCCAATTCATTAAAACATCGCGTTGGCTGTAGCTTGTGCGCAACAGTAGTTTTTGATCGATATACAACAGAGTGCAGGTAATTTTAGTTTATACAAAATCTCATTCCATGATTATATTTAGACCTTCTGTAGAAAGTATATTAATATGGTATTCTGGTTTAGATTATGCGAGAAACTAGAATTTAATACGACCAGTGTCTACGGAATACATGGATCCAATATTAATTATATATTGAGTACCTTTTATTGAGAATTTTTAATTCAATCAACTTAATCTAATTGATGAAAAAACTCATGAACTTAAATTATCATTTTTATTTCTTTCGGTTAGTTAGACTAACATGTCGATAACTACGAAAATATGAAATTAGTACGGTCGAGGCTCAAGATGTTGTTCAGTTATCTCTTATTTCCTTGTTAGGTAGACCGCGGAGTTCGAATTTCGATAAGTAATAGTCGGGCTTTGACATAGGCGAGAGACCTATTGTTCAATACAAATGTATTGCAACTGATAAGAACATCGCGCTCAACGGTGTGCGATTTAGGTGACGACTGACGATTAAAATGTACTTATTAGAGCAAAGTCAAAGGTGATAAGAAAGGTACTTATTTAAAATAATAGACCAGCTGACGTAAGAGCATTGCCTCGGGCAACAAGGAGTGAGGCTGAAATCACGATGTTATGACTAACCATATAATTTTCCAATGAACTACAGAAATGTCATCAGAAATGATCGAAGGGAAAGTACGTTATGCATTTGTTTGAGTGAGAAATTTCGCGATGGCTTCATAGTAGAAAAGGGCTCATAGTAGGAAGATTACGAGGCAGTTCAATGTAATATCACAGATACTTTGCTCGTCATTATAATACAAGAAATATTTTAAGCTGTTAGACAATTGGTGCCCAATTAACCAGACGTAGGTACTTTCTAATGCATTAGAATGTGACAAGACTCTTACTAGAGACCGCAGTGACTGCCTTATTTCCCCGCACTTAACCCCAAACACTTGACGTAATAGGGCATATGTATGAAAGTAAGGTCAATTATACACCAGAAACGATAACTCGAATGTTAAAAAGAGACTCAATGCTATAATATATATATATCGCACATGAACAAAAATACTGATTGTTAAGACAACAACATTACAATAAAATGCACAGACCGTCGTCGCGTATGATGTATTCTATTTGCGAAACGAAAATTGCCCTTTGCAAGGGCTGCAAGTTATTCTACTGTTAGTTAACAATAGGCTTTGATCCGGTGAATATGGTATGATATTTATAGACAATAAAATAAAAAGTTAAGAATGAATCAGACCTGCTAGTGAATACCGCAACTTCTATTGTGTATGGACTTGTTATACGAATGTTAGTGCTAGCATTCGCCATTTCTTCTTCTACCAATGCGCCTTTAATGATCAGTAAAAGTATTCTGTTACCTCAGCTAGATTTGACAAATTCAAGGCAAAAGTCGAGATGATTTGACTCATAGTTGTCGAGTACTTTTGAGTTTTTCCTCGGTGTCCTATATTCTACGTAAAGTTATTCACGTTTTTTGTACTTCCTTAATTTTCGAAACGAAGACTAGAAAGTTTCAGGATATCAATAAATTTGCTTATAGCCTGATGAGCTTGTACACAGTGTTCTGTTTAATTAATATACAATTTTGACTATTAGAGGTATAAAGGATTGTCATTATGGGCCTGGACAAAATAATTACGAAGCATCGGTAGTTACTTTCGGACGAGATTGTCGAATAGACTTTTCAGAGTATTGATATATTGTCCTTCACCAATTTCCAAATTAAACAAATAGCTTTTAACATAATATATAATAGATATTTTAAAATCTATTGAAAATCAATGCATATCTTCACTGAATGCATAATTAGTTAATATTCTCAGGGTGACCAAAACAGAACCCAGGTCATTTGCATTTGGATTACTGAAACATTCGGGTACAACCATGCACAAACAGAAGTTCAAGTGTTATCTTCTTTTTTGTGTAGAAGTAATTAGGAAATTTATGGGTTTTGTTTTTTTAGGGTCTTTCTGTAGATGACTAATTTTCTTGGCAGTAAAACTCTGCCTAGCGCAGTAAGTTGTTTAAAATTATAACGGTATTTTCACTATTTTAAAAAACATATTATGGATGGTCATTTTGCCCAAATTTTCAGACGTTTGTGTTGAAATACAGTATCGTATTACTGATACAAATACAATTTTCCACCTTAAAATACAAATGCTTCGTTTCAGAAAAAACGTTCAAAATATACATTTATAACATAATAATATTTACATGAGAATTAGAATATACACATGACCCCTCAGATGAAGTATGCTGGAAACGGGTCTACCGTATCTAACGGTCATCATTTGCGAAGTTACAAATTTCTAAAACTTGAACCGGCTATAGTTCGAAATATTCATTTGAAACTTATCTTTGTAACTTTTGCAACTTTCTGCATTGGAGTTATTATCGGTTTTAATGTGAAGGATATAATGATACAGACTTGTGGTACGGCAACATCATCAATAGTACACCAACCGATAAGAAGGGAAGTTCTCGAAGTTTCGAAACCGAAGTAAGAATAGCTTATAGTCAGTCTTTAACAAAACGAAAATTGTGTTAACACCGACTAATCATTTTAACAAATAATGTACTTCCTTATTTCCCCAGAAACGAACGCATACCGTTCGAACAACTTCCAGAAAAATATCTGAAGAACATCCCGATGCCGCCACCAGCAAATTCATTTCCGTTGAGGTAAGAGTAATCCACACAAAGCATATGCAGTGATGCTGTCTCTAAAGTGAATAAATCGTGTTTTTATTTTACTTGAATGCATTTTTTTTTACATATTATTCATAGAGTTGGATAACGACTAGGGCCGAGCATTTCGATTCGAATAGTAAATTATTCGAATTACTTCATACGAAAATTTCGAATCGCCGCCATCTAGGTTTTTTTCTGTCCGCAAAAGATCGAGATGGATTCCAAACTTTTTTTTCATTAAAGCCATATTTTGACAATGCAATCCTGACATATGACTCTTTTCTTCCTGATGAGTTATTGAAGAAACATGTTTCCTATTGTGTGTGAACGCTCAGCGAACTTCCTGAGTGATGGATTATATGTTTCCAGTAATTTATGTGTTAGGAGGACACATTACAATAAAAAAGTCACATACAAATACACATCTTCCACGTATGCGAGATTCGATTCGAAGCAAATATTCGATTTGATTTTAAAATCATCAGTTATTTGAAAACATGTTTTCGGCATCTCAGCAGCGCAAAAGCAAATCGGTATTGAAAAAGTTTATTACCGGGTATGAAAAAAGTGGACATTTTTAACATAAGCCAACTTTTGCAACACGATTACAATTAGGAGTTGGGGTTTGTCGCTCAGTCTGTTTAGGTCTTGGTTTACAGGGGTTTTAATTCCAACTGAAGTTGTTTTAGACTGACTAATGGGGCGTTAGAATCTACTACTGGACAAAAGCCTACCGGTGGATTTAAAGAAAATAGATGCTTGAAAATATTCATGTAATGCAGCCTACGTCAAACTTCGCATAACTTCCGTGTTTGTGTTTGTAACCATTCCTTGAACAACTTTCTCAAAGAATGCAAGTTGTAAACATGTCGGATTTTTTATCTTTACATTATACATATATTATATACGAGAACAAAATGAATAAATAGGTAATCACGGTTATGGTTATGGCTTAGTATATTATGCTATTGTGAATTGCGAGTCTTCAACGCTTACTTCTCTGAAATAGCATAATAATTCAATTTAATGAAGATATAAATATGGAGGTTAGCATAACATGACAAGAATGTTTTCTGCTATAAATTGTGAAGCTTTTTGTGAATATTCCTTACGCGTTTGCGTCGTTTATTGTTGAATCCCACACATTTTTGATTAGCTCTACTCTTCTCCGAACACGACTAAGAAATAAGGTTTACTATTGATATTTTTAGACCATGGAAAATAACAGACATGATAAATGATTCTTCGGATGCAAATCCCCCGTTTTTCCTTACAATTCTGGTGAAATCTGCGGTTAGTTATGCAAGACGAAGATTTCAAATCCGACAGACGTGGGGATCAATGAAAAGTATAGAAGGCAAAAAGTGCGTTCTTTTATCATATCTTGTTTAAGGCAGAAAATACCTGTTATATATTGTTCTATATTATCCCACCCTAGCTATGGTAAGGAGAATATTAATTCCTACTGCATGAGCTGTATGGAGCCGCATACATTACATTGTTTTTAACTGACTGCAAAGTATTATTGATTTGGTAGACTATATCTCTGAATCTACAATGGAAGGAAGACCTAATTATTGTTTATTATTAGTAAAAAGAAAATAATTTTATTCAATATTTTCTTTAAATCCACATTTATGCTAAAAATTGAACTCGCATTAGCATACATTATCTGATTGTATATTTTTTATACAATTGTTATTTAATTATTTCCCTAATCGCTTTTTATTACAAACATTCGAATCTAATTTGTATCATCCTTTTTATAGGATTGCTGTGATTTTCGTTATCGGGTTGGCAACTTCGAAAATACAACAAGAATTTTTAGAAAAAGAAAATAAATTATACGGAGACATCGTTCAAGGAGACATAAGAGATACATATCGAAATTTACCTTTAAAGGTAAAGTAGTTTATCTTCTATATACATCTGCGACCCCTCAAGGGAAAATTGCGTGGCCTGCGGAGACGTGCCAATTTTGAATATTGTGCGGCCCGAAACGAGTTTTCAACTTAATTTGGTACGTGCGAGTAATTCCAATCATTTTGCGTTGCGAAGCCGATAACTGAGTCCAATTTCTTATCTATGCCTATGGCGTCACAATGCCTCAACAGCTACCTTGTGCAAACAACGCACAAAATCAGTAACCAAAGTATATTTGTGCCTGAAACTACTAGATAGCCTATGTTATATAAAGGTGCGGCCCGAGTTTTTACCCAGCTATTTGTATCTGGCGCTCCTGTATTAAAGATTGCACACCCCTGGCATACACAATCAACTCCCATGACCACTGCTCTGATAAGATAGTGGTTTCTAATCTATTACTAACTGTCATCTGAGAAATACGGTCCCAGCCTTCGCTGCATGCATTATTTTTGTTTGTTTTCATAAAAAAAATAATTCTGTTTATAATCGACTCGTTTTAATCTGAAGTATTTTTTAATATTTTTTTCAAGGTACTTTCCGGTTACCAGTATATTGTTGAACATTTTGGTAACGCCAGCGAATACTACGTTTCTACGGACGATGATTGTTTTATCAACATTCCAAATACATACGAGTATTTTACCAATCTTGATCCGGCTAAAAGAAATGCTGCTCATTGTGGATACATTTATTCTGCTCGGTCGTCTCGTATATCGTAAGTATAATATATATAACCTGGTGCTGGATTAATTTCAAACAGAGATCTTAGTCATAGTTGTTATTAGGACACATTAGAATCTGCTTCGATTCTAAAAGATACATAAATTTATACCTAGATCGGTAAAGTTTTAGGGGTAAGAAAGTAAATAATTGACTTGTTGTTTGTATGGTTGTTGTATGATGAACGACAGCTTATCGTCTGTCGTTAAACGACGAACAGCAACAAACAACAACAAGTCGATACATTACTTTTCTTACACCTAAAATTGGTGAACCCGACGTGTTTGTAAGAGCTTTCGGTTTTTTCACTGCAGCAAAGCTTGGCATTTTGTAACGTTAACCAGTTCGTTAAAAATTGTCTTTCATTTTTCCATATTATGCAGTCTACTTACATACTTACATTTGAAAATTCACAGAGACCTTTTTTGCTAATTTTTCATCTGAACCATGCACGAAATAATTTTATATGTATACTTGTTTTTAGAAATCCAAGATCAAAATGGGGCGTGGCCGAAGAGTTCTATCCAATGACGCCATATCCGAAATTCTGTCACGGAGGAATGACAATTTTATCTCATGATATTTTACGTGATATTTACCGCGTGTCATTAATCACAAATTATACCGGATTTCACCTTGAGGACGTCTTGACGAATGGAATATTGAGAGAAAAGTTAAACCGTGGGGACGAAAGCATCAGACAAATAGTTCTCCGAGATAAAAAGACAAATAAAAGAAAGCCGTTGATGTGGCATTTGGGATATAAAAAAGACAAAGAAGAATCATTTGATGGAATATGGCGAGGTATTAAACGAATGTTGGGTTTCTATGATGGACCTTACGATCCAGTAAGAGGATATAGGGCTGAGTTGTCTTCCAATCTTCCGACACTTGAGGGGCTAACTCTACAAGAAACGATTGAATTCTTTGGTCCTGTCGTTAACCGCAAAGGTAAGGCAAGCAGGTGATAAGAAGAACATTGAAAGCTATATGTTTCGGATCATTTGCACTGTGTTGCTACCGCATTTGTTTTTAATTTGTGCCAAGTCCTTACTTTTATCCTTCCTATTTAATGTACATTTTATTAAAAGTTTAGTTGGATACATTTCAAGAAAGTTCCGATTTATTCGTCGTTCAATCTTGATTAATCAACTCTACTTTCCCAGGGAAACCGCGTAAGCCCCATTCTCTTCTGTACCGCATGGAATAATTGCAGTTTACTCTGGATTATACATTTGTGTATTCAGCGTTCACATTCACACACGTTGTTTGAATTCACTGTACTATTAATTTTTGAAATTGTAATACTTGATTTATTTTATTGATTTCACTTTATACATCACAATTTGAAATTGATATTTATTTTAGCATGTATTTAATAATCAATAGTTGCTTCGACATTTAATTAAACTATAATCAAGATAACATTTCAATTATTGCGCTTTTATTGATTCTGCTTAATAAAAATTCATTTAAAGTTTTGTCTGTTAAAAAAACTTTTTACGAGAACTCGCATGAAACAATGGGTGATCACTGACTAAAGCAACAGACTAAAAGACCCACAAACTAAATTGATTCATGGTGGTTCATTACGCGCCAGTCTACTGTCGCGAGCCTCAAAAAAAGTGCTAGTTCATTTCATTAAAGCGTAGAAAATCAGCTTCAAGGAAGTAATCTTGTACAGGTAATGTTCTAGTAAAACAAAATCGAGTGTGATGACTGAAGACTTTTCTTGGAGGGACTAGTTCCGAAAGTTCAGTAGATTCAAATTTGGAAACATCGAGAAACACTCGTTTGACAATATTACTAAACGCAAGGCAAGAATCACGTGGGGCGCCATTATTCGAAAGTAGTAGACTCTCGGATGCAACAATAGACCTCAATTTGCAACATGAAACTTTACACAAATAAAACCAGTAACATTCCAGAGATAACGACCACTATTCATAACTTAAATGCGCATATGACAGAATTTGCAGTGTAAGCATTTGTTTTTTCGAAGCAAAGGATTCATATAGTTGCATTCTGTATTAGCTGATTTTACACTCTTTCATCAATCTAGGAAGCGACAGGCGGTAATAAGAGTTCCTCGAAAAAGTTATCCGCTAGCTGCCATTATTGAGCGATTCTGTGATTGGATTCATTGCGTAAAGTCACCCATCGTTACCAACAGCAACGAATTATCTTTCATTGCTGATTGAAATGTATAGTCAGCCAGTCATCTGATATTTCAGAACAATGGTTTAAATCTTCTACCGTAAACACAGGAAAGAATTGGCACCGGGTATTACCAAAGAAAAAAAATCGATTACATCTGATGGAGAAATGGTTAGGAATAAATAGGCCAGGTTGTAATAGCAGAAATAAACGTATTAGACTATGTTTCCAATTACAAAAGACGTTATGTTTTTGATGAAGTGAATGCAATGTTGCTTGCATGAAAAAATGAGGAATTAGATCATGCCGCTTTAAATAAAAATCCATATTATTCGAATCGTTTAAACGGTGACAAGCTTTGGGAACCACCGAAAACGAAAATTATTTACTTCCGCTAAAATAGCTCAAAATTGAGAGAAATAGAACGGATTCAACCCATCTCATACTGAATTCTTGCATCGCAATTTTTTAACTGCGTTTCAACATTGGTGACGAGCAGGGGATTTATCGAATTAGCTATTCGATTGAAAAGCAGTTCCACATAGAATATTATCTTGAACATATCTTCTGTTTCGTATTTATAATCAGGTTTGTATAGTAGTAGCAGTAGCAATTCACCAGATACTTTAATCGTTTGTTGCACACATCATGGCACTTCATGTAGCAAACAAGATGTTGCCTGTTATATCACATCCATTGTCAAGACTGGGAAGCAGAGAAAGTCTTTCTGTATTTGGATCAGGGTGAGTAAATGTTTCAATATAACTTTCCACGTAGGCGCCATGTTTGAAACCGAGTGTTAATATTTACCTTCATGCTTTCTGCCCAAAGAAATGCCAATGATTATATCCACATTTTGATGATGTTTATTATCTTCAAAGTAGCTCATACACTAACTTCCCGAACTCTCTAAACCAATAGTAAACGCGTACTTGAACATAAACTTTTCCACCGTTGTGCGTTAAAATCATACCTCATTTGGAAATAAATATGTTTAGCCAATCATGAGCTAGGAACGAATACCTATGTTGATGCGCGATACTTCTATCTCATATAGGCCTAAATAATCCTGATAATTGAAGCCCCTCTGGCAATGTTGGGAATACACTAAACTAGATCATCTATCTTGTGGATATACAATATTGGTTTAATAAGCTTCTCGAGTTTAACCTTTGACCCTACAACCTACTAAACTTCTTGATAAGATGAACGTAATGACACTCACGGGTTAACCAAATTTCATGGTAAATATTAGTGTATCAATCAATAGACCGACATTGTTCAAGTAGATTTTTGAAGAGGCGCTAATTACACCAAAAGTATCAAAATATACCAATAGTCGTCACAATAGGTCGACTCGAAAAGTGATAACTACATGTATAATTAATTACGTAACAAAATTAATTTATTTTTTAAAAGCTTTTCTCGCCTTTTTCGAAAAACTATTCAACTCCATTTTCAAATTTACTTTGTATTTCTCCACTATAATATTTTTATAACCAATTACACTATGATATTGGTTGACATTTTTTCGGCAGTATTATATACATCATCATTCTGACCGGACTCGTTAGCAAGACAAATTCTTATTCATGATAGCTTGTCTACAATAACATACCTACACCAAGACAAAAATAACTAAGAAATTTATAGAATGAAATCAGTGTCAGTAGGCGGATTTGGGGTCTTGTGGTAGATTAAAATTTGATGGATTAAAAGGAAAAATTTCTACCAGCATGAACGCAATATTTGCAGATGTGCGGACAGGACAAATTTGTTACAGTTTCAAACAAATGGTAGACAAATGCCACGTTAAAATGTAATGATATAATGCAAAGCCGTATGTACAATTATTTCCAATCGTACCGAGACGGCAAAGTCATGGGGGAAAGTGAAATAAAAACAATCATATATTGTATGGCCATCGTAGCACAATGTCGGCATGTAAGCGACTGACGGACGTTTGTTTTGCTTGGGTTTCGGTTAATACGAAACGGGTCGTTTGAGGCTTTCAATGTCACGATACTTTCGTATGTTACCTATTGAAAATAGAGATTTTGTACGTGTAGTAACAGCCATTATGAATAAGAAAGACAAAAACGTAAATCGTTATGTGTTATTCTTGGCATGTGTTACGTTAAATACAGCGCCGCTGCGTCGATTTACTATAATTTCTTCCAGGTGCACATCGATTGCACAATATCCACTGCAAAAATTTGATTGCGGAGCATCGGCAATGTATTGACATATAGCAGTTTCTTTTGTTATCCTGTTTTATTATACAAATAAATAATGCTAAATTGAATGATATGATATGAAAATATTTCAGAAATTTTCGCGACGGATCACAATCTGCTGATCCTGCTCTCAATCGGAATATAAACGGAGATGTAGAGCAAGCCAGAAATATTTTAAATCGGTGCAACACTTCACAGGACTCCAGGCGAGCAACAACAGAGGAGGTATATTCATCAATCAAGTCTCATAAATGTGGCATCAGTAATAACAAACGAAAATGTAGAACTGATTTTATAATAGGTTTGAATGATAATCAAGGTAGATGTGAATAGCTTTTTGCAAACATGACCCATACCTATCACAATAGCTTGGCTCAATCGTGTTTTGCAAAAAACATTGCAGTATGTTACGCAAAAACAGGTTATTATTTTCATTCCCAATTATTTTAACGTTTTTCGACCGGTGCGTGAATAAAATTTATCTGATCTTGCCGGCCCGACGGTGTTTTGAAGGCGGGGACCCTTGGTATAGGCAAATTTGGCTCAAATCTTAGCGACATTGCGTGAACGTTCAAGTCTTGCATTCGTGATTTTTACATATTGCTTGAAATTTCTATCTAAATATTCATATCTTTGGAACAATCTTGAAAATTATTATGGATGGTTCAACTAGTTTTTTTTTTATTTAACTAGAGTCTACTAACTACTTGAATAAAGACTACTTATTAACAACAATATGAAACCAGAAACATTTATTAATTGAAAATCCCTTATTGGTAGCATAAGTACACGGCGTCGTTATTCCGTAATGAAACACGATAGTTTAAATGTATTCTGTGAAAGCTTTCAATCCCTACTGTCGGACAAAAGTCTATTCGTAGCGTACAACGATATTAATGACAAACTTACAATGGTTAAGTAGTGGATTCCATGTCATACATGAATATATATATGTACCAAGCCACGATGCTCTCATTCATATGAAGTCACCGGAAAATCGTCCTAGTGAAGATGTCAATAGGGCCATTTAAAATTCTGGTCCAAATTCAAAGAAAAATCCAAAATTTAAAAGAATTTCATTTTGATGAATATCAACATAGGTAAAAGCTAAATGCGCATTCTGTGGGATAATCAGTCCTTTAATTGAGTGAATGCAAACGCTGAGAAACAAAAATAAATTAATATGAAGGAAATAATATTTTGTCATACATAAATTAGAAATATGAAATGAAAAAATGACTCGAAAAATATGTCAAATTGTAGTTCTTCCCAGATTTGAATTGTGTATTTACATGTTCCTGTACCTACAAAACGAAAACTATAATGAATTACATCAGATATCACTTTACAAAGTCACAAATTATACTGAGATACACCAAATATTCACATCGACACGAATCAAATTCTTTTTATTTCGCAATTTTTGTTGCAACTTTTTTAAGTTTTTCATTAATAAATCACAAAAATTTTCAGAATAAAATATTGTGTACAAACACTCATATTCATAATTGCTATTTCAGGTTCTCTTTCACTTAAAAGAAAAATTCCATCCCGCCACACTGCCTTCAGTACGGAAACTATTTCGAGCCAACGACCCAAAAGGAGAAGGACGAGTCCCAAAGGAAGCTTTTTCCCGAGTTCTTTGGCAGCTTTACGGATATTTAACAACAAGACAAATACAGAACGTTTTGAAAAGGTAAGGTATAAGATGCAGCTGGTCGCAAAAATTAATATTTCAGTCTAGTATGGTATGATGCTAGCGTGGTATGTTTCTCACAATTTGTTAACTTTCATATAAAGTATCGTCCTATGCGACAGTTAATGAAATTATTCACAACAACTGTAAAATTTCAATTGTAACTATGGTTGGATAGATGAGCAGCACATGCAACGGTTCAAAATCCTATATTTTCATTTTGTTCTTGTGGGTTTTGTTAAGCTAATTTTGTTGCCTCCAGACCGTATATATATTACTCAAAAATTCAAGAGAATTGAACTTCGCCAATAATGTGTACTACGGCTATGCCATCAATTCTGTCTTCTTGATATTTTTGATTCAAAGACTTGGAATTGAATTAGTCTAATACTGGCCCTGTTAGTTAATATCGCTGATGTATTTATCGGTAGTAGTCGTTAGATTCAGCAAATGACTGTTTATGATTCAGACGAATTCACTAGACATTCACAGTGCATTAATCAACCATTCTCAATGTTTCCTATCAGACTTGACCTGGATAAGCAAGACTGCATTTCTTTTGATGATTTTCACACACAATTACGAAGTTTCGGTTCTGGTGGCGAACCTGTAAAGTCGGTTTCGAATTGGGTAAAAGCAGTTAACTCTCTATCAGCAAATCATGCAAGGTCACTGCCAGCAACAAATGAAAGGGTAAGCGAAACTTGATCGTTCAAAATCGTGATCGTGACGTTCAAAGTTAGCAGCATGTGCTATTCCATTAGCCAATGAAAATATGATACAGTTTTAACAATGGAGCAGTGCTCTAATTCGTAGGCGCAAAGGTTTGGTGACTAACCGCAGTAGTCAATCCTTCTAAGGCAGAAATATGTCATCTAATCATTCAAAAGCTCAAAATCAACATTTTTTCACAACAAGCCCAACAAAAACAACAAGTTTGCTACAAAACGATATATATATATATATATATATATATAGACTTTGTATCCAGAAATAAAAAAAAAAGTGTAATTTATTTTACGAAGCAACTTGCATCAGAAATTGTAATAAATGAACAACATGACATCGACACATTTATTTAACAAACGAAACGTCAATTTTCACATTTTTTGCGGTGTCCCTGAAAAGGTACAATTGCAAGAAAAGATTTAACCGAACACAACTTATTTATTTTCATTAGGCCTCACTGCCACCTTCAACATCTCGATCTGTTCGATCTGCCCGGGGTTCGAGACCAGACATCAGCGACTCTGCCACAACTTGCTGGAACACACTGCGTGAAAAAGTTCAAAAAGAGTAAATTTTGTTTCGTAATTTAGGGAAAATTTAACAAAACAAAAGTCCACAAATGACAATATGAATTATAAACAATTGCTAGCCATATCACTCTCGGGGAGAAACTAGGAAAATTGTAACAACCGCTATTTAAAAACATCCTGATAAATGTAACATTAACATATTTTTCAGGGATTTCGATCCAGAACACGTATTTCCTTCAGTATGCTTAGGAGAAGGAGCCTTCGTCGTACCAGCTCAATTTCACGAGTGTCTGAGAAGATTGAAAATAGCTGCGACCGATGATGACGTTGCTAAAATATATAGAAGGTACAGAAAGTGTCAAAATGTGTTATCACTTCAGTTCATTAAATAAAGTCGAACGTGTTTTATGGGTCGTTACACCAAGCATTACAGGAGCCAGTAAGTGGTAGGGTGCTCAGTATAGCCGTCAAATTAGATAGGGCTCAAAATCAGCTAACCGTCTGTACGATCTCAAAACAGTAAGGCCACCAATGACGAATGCACTTCACGTTCGCTGTGTATTTCTGTTTGGTATACGTAGCCTAGACTAGAACAACATCTGACAAATAGGTTAACATCTGTGGTTATTGAAATGCAACAAACATTTTAGTAATCACTTGCAAGATAATGTTCAATTACAATTTACAGAATGGACGGAGCTAGTCCTTATGCTGTTCATACAAAACGACTTTTTGAACTGCTTGGCCTCGATCCGGATACTGGAAGATATATGAAAGTAAAACCTCAGTCAAGACATGCCCAGATAACTCCCCCGAAGACCCCGTCCACGGGAAGCAGAACAAGGTACTGTTTTTAATCACGATTGCGCAATCGATTAGCACCATTATATTTTATAATAAGTACAAAATCAGATAATTAACTCATAATAATAATATTTTCCAGCGACAGAGAACCAGATCTGAAAAGACCACGCACATCTCATGGTAATAAAACGAGTAATTTTCTCAATAAATGCTCTTTGAACATCCTGAAATGAAATATTGCTTATTCTGTTTGAACTGTAGGTGCAAAGGAATACGAAGAAAGGCCGATTTCGGTTGCTCGACCCAGAACTTCTTTAGACAGAAGTAGAATTTATGACGGAGATATCTTGCAGCTCATCAGTAAAAAGGTACATAAATCGCGATCATGCTGTTCATTCAGATTTAATCCCGCATGAGATCTGACGTGGATACACGTCGAAACCCGAAAATAGAATTTGTAATTCGACCCAAACTATTCGACAACTAATATTTAATGACAATTGCTTCTTGAAGAGATATACCGACTTGTGAAGCTTTCAATGATTTTGTAAGGCCACGACACGATATTTTTTAGATTCAAGGTCCGGGTCCAGAGTCGAATTCCAGGCCCCGGATCCTAACTTGAATCCGGTCCATTCTAACCAGTATGTATATCTTTGGTCACAAATAAAAGTATCGTATTGTCAGCTGGAAGAAGGACAATCGCAACTACAAAGGGCTTTACAAGCACGAGATTGTCATGAAAAGGGAGAACTCACCAAAGCTGATCTTCGCTTTGCTCTTGCGGAACTAGGTTTGCCGATCAAGGCGACAGATCTTGAGCATTTCTTAGTGAGGTAATGGTAATTTATATTCATATGCTGAATAAGTTCTAAATCAGGCACCAAGGAAGGGTATCTTTTAAAATGAGAAAAAAATAGAAAAAATCTTCCACAATCAAGATGTCGATTGGGTATCTACAATAAATTGTGTCCACAAAAAAAAAGACTTCACATTAACGTACATAAAATATTCTTATTGTCCTCCAACTGGGTCGGGTCTCGTTCTCTCAAAAAATCATTGCCCACTGGGACTTAATGACGTGAAAAGCGAGCATTCTATAGCACATATTGTTTAAATTGTCCATATTTGCAATTAGACAAATTGTACAATTTGCTGCTCCATTCTTCACTGGCCCATCATTGTCCTAATGAATTAACATCCTAGATGAATTTCTTTAACATCGGCCTGAGAAGATGCGTTAACCAGAAATTAGTGTCCTAATTTGTGTTTTACAAATGTGTTTTTGTCTTCAACTTCGACAGAAATGGATTAAGAAGAAAGGATCAACGAGTCAATTACAAATTGTTGATGCGCCGTTTGCAAACCCGGTCGAATCGAGGCCTTTTGCATAAGGTTATGAGAAATCTTGATCACACGTGAGTTACACTTCCACTTGTTAGCTGATGATCTTATTATTAATTGCATTTAATTTATTTTTAAATTATGATATCTGATTGCGCCATCGCTGTACAGATGAGCAAATATTGCTAGACGTTTCGCAAATCAAATGGTTTTGTTATAGATTCCACAGAGGTGTTCCAAACGTATCACCAGGTGGCGTAAGTGCTCCAGTGTTGGAAGCCATATTGCTTGACTCATTTCAACATGAGTTTTTAGAGTTGTTGGCGGTAATGAAACATCGCGATTCAGAAGGAACCGGTATCCTATCTTTGGTAAGCATATAAACTTTTACTTTCTAACGTTAGTAACATTTACTTATCAACACGTCATTATTGCAAAAGTCTTTATTTCTAGACTGATTTCCGTACAGCTTTACAATCACGATTCAGCGTAATATTCACTGAAGAGGCATGGGAAGTATTCGTAGCTTCACCCTTCATAAAACTTGTACCGCCACCTCCTGGATCTCACGGCAAAGACGGATTTATAGCATACAACGATTTTCTAGCAAAGTTTGACGTAATGTTGAGGTGAGAGGTTTAAAGAATTTGGTAGTTCTAGGAGATGAAGAATCTTGGAGCTTGTCCAATGACGATAATAGCAATGCTAGTTTGAACAAGTATCTTCTTGTATAAAAATTATGAGTATTTTCAAAATATATATATATATTTCAGGCCAGAGACTGCAGATGAGGACGATCCCTGGTTAAAGCAAAACGTTGAGAATGAATACAGTCATCTACTGGAGCACAAGAGAAAATATTTGATAGGAATGGCTGCAGATCCCGGTGACCATACTCTCAGGTTTGTCAGAATTCTTCCTGCTGTAATGCAGTCGTTTAAATAGCGCTTTTATACCGGTAACTACAATGCTATATTCCACACTGCAATACTTTTTCTAGACATGATCCCAGACCGTTGAACGAGTTAGAAAAAGTGCTGGTCGATGTATTTTTGAATAAATTCCAAACAATGAAAAAAGAATACGACTTGATTGTACGCGAAGATTTCTGCAGAATCGATAAAGAAAAGTTTGACTACATCATGTTCAGGTACGTTAGTTTTGTTATACCTATAAACCCACAAGTTTTGAACATTTCTGCCATCGCACTTCTGATTACCTTGCATCGGTTTGCGAGATCGAATTCCGATAATAATTTTATTTGGTCACGGCTTCCCCCACTGAGTTTATCCTTCATTTCACGGGTTCATAGTACATCTGAACAACTAGTTAACTATTCCTTATATTCGACATGAACTGGTAACCGGACGAGAGCTTAGTTTATTTTATGATTAGACCTGCTTATCGGCCTTATGCCTTATTAACAATTTTAATCTGAGTTTCATGCAATAACATAGAACGAAGCAAGAAAGTAATGTCGTTGGGTCCAGTAGCATAACCTAACCTAACTAATGCGAATATTCCACAATTTGAACTTTGACCTCCAAAACAATGATAGAGGAATTTTTATAACTTATAGGTGCGGGTTCATTCTTACTGCCAGCGAATTATCGAGACTGTGGTTGAGTTTACCCATTACACGACCCATCGAATCCATGTCGTTTCCGGGATTGCTTCGCCACGTGATCAAGCTGCATTACACCGCATCAAAACATGGTAAGAAAAGTAGAAAGAAACATCGAAATTTGAAAATTTTTCATGAAATGTGTTCAGTGGCTTTTATTTAATCATATCATGTTAAATAATATATACTGTAATGGTGTTCGATTATATGGTATTCATCTATTCTACCCTGGGCTATAATGAAACAATAAGTTAATGGATTTAAGAAGTTATACTGAACTGAAAATTGACAGGGCTCTCTATATCTAAATGGTCCGCATCTAAGTGGTCTGTGATTTATAGTCTATTTGCGATCGCACATGACGTAAAATTGACTAATAACAGTGGAACTCAAGTCTGATAAATTGTTGATGAATTCAAAAACTCAGTCGAATCTTAACAACGAATATAGTTTAACGATGCATTTGTTTATCCGCGATTGCGTTCAATAAACCCTAATTAGGGGTGAACTCTTACGCTTAGCTGGCTTACATTATTGATTTTTTATATCACAAATTGTTCCCGCAATCGAAATATTTCTCAAAGTATAGTAGGCCTATTTCTGCAAAAGTTTTACTATTTCAGGTCGATTTTCTATGCAAACCAGCGACTTTATCGTTGTAAGCTATATACTTGACAAAATGCGACAAGAAGTAGCAGCTCATTGGTCAATATTGAAGAAGAAACTGAGATTTTTGGACCCAATGGGAACATCAAGAATTCCTAAGGTATTTTGTTTTTTAAAATCAACCCTTTTTATTTTTTTATTTTCCCATTGGCTCAGCTATCGCTCATGAAAAATTCGCGATTGCTCGTTTTATTCTCAATAGCTGACACAACTCATATAGTTTCATAACGTATAGTAGCATAATCGTCCATTTACTTAGGTACATCGATTCGCATTCAATTTATATATCTGAATGTTAACATTTTGAATATATTTGACACGAAGTTATAGACTAGTTTATGCTTACTGCCTAACAGTTTTCAAGCGGTATTGTGACATTTCTGGCCAGACGATTCGGCTCAGATACCAATAATTTATTTCGTTGTTACATTTTTTCTTTTGTGAATGGGAAAGAGAATTATTACAAATAATGGAAGTAGATGCGAGCCTAAAAAATCCAACGCAAACAAAACACGATCCTGGATTGTTAACATCTGTTACAAAACCGGAGGCATCGTACGACGGATAATTCCCTTCAAAAACACGTCACTTTTTACGCCATAAAATTATGTTCTACCTATTTCTTTGTTTTATTCTCCTTGCTCGTCATCGTTCGTACGTTCGTACGTTCAGAACGTCCGATGCGTATAGGTTTTCTACCGTAACCGGATGTTAAAAATCAAGGATCATGTCGTTTTGTTTGCATTGGAATTTTTAATCTTGCCTCTACTTTTATTAATTGTTATAACGAAATAATAAATAAAATATGAAATCACGAAATACGTCATTTTTATCCAAAATACTTCACTTAACTTGCAAAATAGAGGGTGAATAAACCATTATACAGGAGGACATGCTTCAACTTGTACGTGGACTGCGTCCCAACATTATTGATTTGGAGTTACATTATATGGTTGAGATGTTGGAATCCAGAATACCAGGGAAGACAAATTATTTCAAATTCATGGAATTTTTCACAAAACCAGCATCACGACAATCCAGTCGACAAAGTACAGTATCTAAGAGCACTCCAGAGCCAGTTCTATGTGAGTAAAGTTCAATGTTCTTCATTCCAAGTAAAGGTTACATAGTTCATTAACGTTGATGTCCAGGTCACCGTCAAAATTCCTCAGCTATTTTGCAGAACAACACATTCGCTACAGGTACTCTAGTATAAACGGGGATTCTCCGGTTAATCGCTGGTCTTAGAGCACATTTAATACACGGTAATTGCTATTAATAATCTCTAATAATTAATGTCAGTTGGCTAATTTGCAAAATTCATGTGGTATTCACCATTAATATATATCAGTAATTTTGAAACTCTCTCCTCCATAATTAGATGTTGAATTAGATGTTAGAACCTTGGGTTTTGTTTCCTCGCGGCTTTCCTTCCCCGGTAATGTAAATATCATTTTTTCCTAAATTATGCATGATTTTTGTCGTTTTATTGGTTGGAAATAATAAACTTGACTTGACTTAAAGCGAACTACGCTTTGAACAAAAGTTTCGAAGTCATTGGCTGGGTATATATTTGGTTATGTCGTTCTATATTATGACGTCATACTACAAATCGTTGCACTTTATTATAAATGTTTTTTAATTACATTCATGTTGTTTCATAATTTTCTTTCTCAAAGTACAATATCATAAATAAAACTAAATTATATCCTCTATAAGCAACATTAACGTAGTTTTGATATTTTGAAAATTTATTTTCAGCTGATACAACCTCTGTGATCGCTCTCCGACCAGGCCCACCACCTGTGCCAACGCGACAACATAATTTCGTCTACAAACGAAAACCACGCCCTCCGTTTGTCAGCTTACGTAATGCTCCGACTGTGCCGGTATTCAAACGTATTACACGTCACGAACTAGAAGTCAGAGGACCGAAACCTTACCCTCATCGTTACGACGATGAAAACGCATTTCGAGCTGGTTTTGCAGGAAAAGAAAATGGTGAGAGACAAATATTAAATATTTAGTAGTTTAATATTAAATGATTTTTTTGTCATTTTAAGAAATGACACGAGTTGAAAATTTAATATACTGTATAATATACTTGCTTGAAATCGATGAGTTCCCCGAATACTTTCTTGCATTCTCCAATGTGCCTTCGGGATAGAATCGGTTTCACATCTTAATTCCGGGGAAGAGGAAAGTCGGTAAGACAGCTTATTATGACAGCTTGACGAACCACGGCCTCTCATCCGGTTTCCAGCAATCCTCTGCCACATAATTGAACCCTGCATGGGATTCGAACCTTCAAACCAACGCGGGATAATCAGAGGTGCGGAGGGCAAGCGTATTCCTAACGCTTAGCACGATGCATCATACCGCAAGCCCATAGTTCCTGGTCGTGATTAAACCAATAATACTCTGTTCCAAATACAAGTTGTGACTTCAAGTTGAATTTACTTTACCCAGTAATGCGCTTAAATTAATATCATGTAGTAATATGCGAGTGCGACTTTTGTCGAAAATAAGTTGATATTCATCGCACGCGCAGTTCATTCTAGATAAGACAAATGACGGAATAAGCACGCATTTGTCGGATTCGTTACATAACACTAATGTATTTACGATTCAGATCAACACTTGAGTATAGATGAAGCAAGTAAAATTTACAGAGCTAATGTAGCTTCTCTAGTACGTCACCCACCATCCATCAATTCCAGCGTACCGTCTTCAGGTAAGAATGTCCAGATGACCACATATCACCAATCGCTTGGCGGCGATATAGAGTAATATATATGTAACGTTTTCAAGTCGTACAATGTGACTGATTTTAAAATATTACCTCAAACATAAATTGTATGTTTTTAGTAATTCATTTGTTGACAGGACCGATTACAATAAAAAAAATTGCTTACAATTACATATCTCAAATTGACTCCCAAGTATTCGAGATTCGATTCGAAAAAAAATACTCGATTCGATTATGAAATCGTCAGGTATTCGAAAATGCCCAGCTCTAACCATGACGTCATCAAAACTTGCGCATCTTGTGGCAGATCCGGGGTTGCGTTAGTCTTGAAGATTGCGGTGGTATACTGTGACAGATTGCATATCCGTACATATCATATCCATATTTCGTGCCCATATATTTGAGCATCGCTTTCTTGTCTTAAAAAGAGTTCTACGACGTATTTTACGAGTTTTATTTTATTTTTACAGCCCCTCCGACCTTTGCACGAGTGCCACCTAAGCAGATTCCTTCTCTTCGTCGTTCATTGAGAAAGGCTGACTTCTCGGACCGTGGAAAACTGCCGGTTAATACCTTCAGAAAAGTTTTGCAAGAATACGGTGTAACTTTCCGTGATCCAAACGATCTTTACCATTTTCTACGTCACTATGACACAAAATTAAGCGACCAAGTGTCGTATGAAAGATTCTTACAAAACATAGCAAATGTAGCATAATGCATTCAACTTTTACTGTGCTTAGTATTGAGGTTTTTACTGGAAATAATTGTGATATTTTAGCATTTTATTGTACCATAACTTTTCGCCGCCAAAGAGATATGTTTTAGAGGCAGAATATGAAATCTCTCTTCTATTAGGGTATTGTCATCAAAGCAGGTAGTGGTTGTAAATCTTCCTTGCCGTCTGAAAATGGTTCAAGAGAGATTTAAGAAAGCCTTGTGATTTCGAAAAATATATCGTGAAATGATTTTGTAGTTTATATTTAAATTTAACAATGTGATATGCCAGGTTTTGGACATAGGAAATGGTTAGTTGAATAGATTTAAACTAGTGTATATTTACGTGTTTTATTCGATATGTATAATATTTTACTCCACTTTGCCAATGAGATTTGAAACAGCACAGATTTCGCATTTCTTTATTTTCTTTGTCGTAAGGGTAGATCGATATTAAATGTAATTAACAGTCCGGAGACAACAATATCTTAGTTAGTGATATTCGAGGCTATCAAGCACTCACTGAATTTAATAAATTTTGCTTGCAAAAATTAGGTTTTTAGTTTTATCCTGTGTTCGTGTTTCATAACATATTCCAAATCTAAGTTTGGTACTTCTGAATTATGCGCACCAAGATGTCGCATAACCTGAATCCTAACCTGGTACACAACCTGAGTTCAGGTTGTGCGCCATCTTGATGCGCGTACTTCAGGAGGTCTCTAAGTTTTTATTATCGCTAATATAATTTCACCAAAAAATGGAGTGAGCCAAGATATTGCGCAGATTAAATTTAAAAAAAGAAAAAGTATAATACATCAGGTATCAATTTTATTTATATGTTCTTTATATAAATTTTCACTTTATAATTATTAGATTGGAATCTCGCAATTACCTATTTAGGATTGTTAATTACTTAAACACCACTGCAAAGTCTTTCATGTCTTGAAAAGCTACGCCTATTTTTTTTTTTATAAATGAACTACGATATACCGGACGCTCGCGGGTGATTGGCGGATTCCTAATAACATAATGACGCTGATTCGGCTAGATTATCAGTAATGTACATTTTGGCATTAGTTAATTATCAGTCTAGGCTAATATTGTCGCCGCCCTTTCGCCTGGTTGTCTGCGCTATTTTTTTCTCTCATTCTGACAAATCTATTGTTTGTACTTTAACTTGGGTTCAACCTTAATGAAAAAGGTTATCTATGACATATATCTCCTGGGAAATTAGTAACGTTAGCGTAAAACTACTTTGGCACTTCTCACTTGTCAAAAAACACTGTGATATTGTGTTGTTCGCAAGAGCATGTAATTTTCATTTTCGAGAATGCATGATTAACTCACTATTTTATATGTAAATATGAATATACACGAAATATTCATGAATTTGAGTACTTTTTATCCGTGGCAGAAAGTGCACTTCTTTTTTATGTCGACATTTGGTGCTCGACAAGTTTTTTGTCCGATCTGTGACAATTCAAGTATGAGCCAAAATTGGTCACAAATAAAGATTTAGCTTGATTAGACGATTCGAGCCAGGTATGAGCCAAAATTGGTCATAAAATAAAGATTTAGCCTGACTAGAGCTAATTTAATATGTTTTGTGAATGTCTTATAGACATGGTCTATGACCTGGTACGAATGAAATGACCTTACGCATAAACCCTGATCTCAAGACTTAAATTTAACTCCAAAGTCCGGTTTTATCGCTTGACTTGATACTTCACATATAAATAGGGTTACCATATTTTTTTGATTTCGAAGCGGGACTCCTCCAAAGACACGACCCCTTAGCTGTAATCCTGTAACTTTACAGTTTCCGATTTTACTGCATAGGCCTACCTACACTTAAAGCCATCCCGGCTGTCTTCATTGACCATATTGTCGTCGAGAGTTCATGCGCATATTCTCTGTCTAAATATCGGGTTCAGTTCGAAACATAGAAAGGAATAGACGCTAACGATACAAATTTAGATTTTTTTCGTACAGCAAACGGAATAAAGAATAATGAAATAGTCTGCTGTTTTCAAGCATTGAGAATTTACTTATTCGCCCAAACATGCTTTTCTGTAGATAACAACCTTCAAAATAACGTTGCTCAATGTTACATTCACGTAAACGTCCGAACATGACCAATAAGAATTGATTTTACATGTGATACTTCGTTAACAATGTTAGCGGGAAACAACGAAACAAACAAAATAACGCATTCACCTTCAGTAAGTAGGTTGGCGTTGCGCTACACAGCAACAACAGTAACGAGAACATGTTCGTGTATTATGCTGGATGGCTGAACGCAAAAGCGGGACATTTAGCTGACTTATCGCGACGGCGGGACAAGACACTGAAAAGCGGGACGTATGGTAAGCCTACATATAAATGAAGACGGGCTTTAAAAAAAATTGACATTGCAGGAATTCAGTAGCATTTAGTTCTCATTTGTGATAGGAACATTTTAGTGATTTTGACGCCATGTTTATGCGCTTGTTCGGTAATGCGGCACTGGATCGCGTTGAATTCATGTTCGGAAGACTATTGGATGTCATGAATAAGCTTGGGACATCAGCTGTATATATATATATATACATCAAATATATATATAATTTATATTTTATATATAATTTATAAATATAACAAATTTATATTTTAAGTCGTAGGAAGAAAATACTTCCTATAAATCGCAAATAGGATTAGTCGAAGTGCTCCTGAATAAAAACTCGTTGTCTAAATTAGATCATCCGCCATGATCTATAATCGTCCTATAGGAGTTAGGTGTTTCGAGAAAAGCAAATATCACAAGTCTGCTATCCTATTTCATGTCTCCCTGATCAAACAACTTGAAATACTTGCGCAAATAAAAATAACAATGGGACATGCGACTTCAATCTTATCGTCGATAACTGAGGCTGCCTAGCTTGAGAGGACTAAAAATTGCACGAAGAAGGATGTTTTATTTTTCTGTATCCATACTTAACATATATACTATATATACTATGTTAAAAGTCATTGCATCAATTCCTTGTAAACAACGACTGGTTTTTCGCAATATTTAAAGAGAGATGACCTATTCTAGTGTAACCGGAAATTATTTTACTGCAAGTGCAGCTCAGCCATACGGTCTACTTTTTTCATCGGACGAATGTAATTTGACAAGAAGGGACTAGGGACATTCAAATTACTTGGAAAATTTGCATCATATTTCTGCCGTCTAAGATTACCAAGGCCATGTTGTGGATTGATAGGAAGAGTTAGTTTCATAGTATTTCAAAAGAAGTTTTAGTGATTTGGTGTTCAAGCGTCACGAAATGAAAAACACCCTGTCGGAAGCTGCCATAAATTGTGTATATTATTACGATGAGCGTGGGCTGAGTTTGTATGCCAAATTTAGGTATCTTTTGTACAAAGCCTTTGCCAAAAAAAGAGTGATTATCAAGATAGGGTTAGGGTGAGGGTTGGGAATGAAGATTGAGCTGGAGACTATTTGCATTTAAAGACGAATATTTTCCTTAGTATATCTTGATATACTTTAAATTAAATAACGTGCAGCACATAGGTGCTACATTTATGTTTCCAAAATATGGTATATAGACAATATGTTTTTGTTTGAATAATGAGTGCGTAATTCACAATAACCCGCGAAACCGTCATGCATTTATTTATTTGCCTTGGGCGCCATGCGTTCGAATTCGCCGGTACCAGCAAGAGAGAGGTCCAGCCCCCAGGCGTTCTTCTCCGCACAATCGTTTATTTTGGGTTTGTTTAACTTTATTCAAATTGCGAGCAGTGATGCATGGCGTCTGGATATTTTTGAAACGCTCTAAGTCGAGCGAAGCTAGTCATTTCACGCCGGGTTTCAGACGAGCGAGCATGCCGGCGTTTTGGCTGTGCCAAGCGGTCGATCCTGTCTGGCATATAGGCATTCATTCATTCAGTATGGTGTATTTTCTCAAGCTCAGCTACACTCCATAAATTATAGTGGCTCATACTGTCAGTGCACACAGAAGATTTAATAGAACAGAATTTAAAAAGGATCCAGAATTTGAGACGACCAAAATCCATTGTGGCGTAGTTTGTTTCGCTGTATTACATATACCGACGATACAGCTTCTTGAATTTAGTGATGTTTCCTGGCAAAGTATAAGGTTATCTACTTGAATGCGTTATTCAGATTGATCAGTTTCGCCAGATAGCCGTAGCGTAATGTGGGAAAATACTCGTAATAAGATATCTTTGAAATGCTATTTATACTTCAGTATCATTATATTGTTGCGGAAAATTCTATATCACCGTATCAAGGATAAAATAAATTGAGAACAATAATATTCAAATATTTTACAACAGAAAAATAGTTATATATTTGCTTATATAACTTATTCATCATCCAAAAGCCAACCTGAAAGGCAAACTGGACCGGCAAAGCTTGTGACATTTACCGAACTGACCTACGGATTACCGGCACCGGCACGAGTATGGCCTTATCAGAATCAAGCGACAGCTTTTGCAAAACAAGAAACGAGGAGCTGGAACTTCTCGGGGCGAACTATTACAAACTAGTAAGTTCTTGCTACTGTTTTCATGTGAATTGCCAATCGCCGTGAATATCCTGCGATAAGGATTTTAAGGCGAAGAGTTGTCAGTTTTGTCTTTATTTTTTATATACCGTGGGTCAGTTAATGAAATATTTATTTTATTTTGCTTCATTGCCCATTGTTTCTTTGTAATCCTATGAACGGTAGGATTAGTTCAAACGGAGTGACATGCCGCCCTATCACGGTAATAATTGTGGGATACCTGTTGTTCAAATAGATTGCTGCCGTCGCGTTGCTCCCTGAACGGTAGAAGTTGGTTTTTTCGTTGTTTACATCGCTAAGAATTTACGCCAATAGTTGTCATAGGGACGTGCATATGGTACCAATCTCCTTCAAATGGCCTTATTAGAAAGGTGATGGACTGCCATATATACATCGGATTTGATAAATACAATTGCCTATGGGATACCCTATGCTTTAATCTTTTTCTGTTACTAATTTATATATATTAAATAATAGTTTATATATTTAATTTAACTGATTTACTCATTGTAATGTATATGGCGTCAACCCGGGATGCGCAATAAGCCAGTACTTCCTTTTCGCGCGACAGGAAACTATGCTTCAATCGTTGCTCTGCTCTTTCAGCTAAACGAGTTGTCGCGTATGTAAGATGATACTCTTCCGATTCCATTCAAATGCAATATGTTTTACTGTGTAATTTAGAATATTGACTTATTTTACTAGCGATATATTGAATAATTGAAATAAATAATTGAATCTAATAATTGAATAATAAAAGAAATATCATTTATGCGATGTTGGCTAGAAAATGGGCCAAAAATTACAATCCATTTGTGCACTGCCGTTTACTATTGACGAATGGATTATTGCGTCTAAATATAGCCATCGGCTGGTTATGAAATATATATCGGCTGGCTCATATTTTATATTGGAATTTTATTATGTGGCATGTGCTACATTGCATATGGATCGTGCATTAAACATAAATTAATTTGGCTATCGGGTTTAAATTACTATTTTTAAACATTCGTCTTGGATTACATTAATATTATAGCACACAAATCAATTAATAACGCTAGTACTTTGGACCTTGCTGAGTGTTTTATGCCAGCATAAATTGTAATTGTTGTCGTTTGTGATTACAAAAACTTGGAAATATCGTGCTACCATTATCGCGCTTCAGGAATTTAATGGTTTTATAAGTAGATAACAAGTCAATTCGTTGATAGTTAGCAGGTATGTTCGTTTTTGTGGGTCGATAAAATGTATGCCCTGACGCATTGCTCTTTACTTGCCTTGGGAAACATTCGAAAGTGGGTGCTTAATAAAAAGGACTATAGCATCAAATTCTAGCGCCTTTGGCTGATCTTTGGAGAGGCCATTTCTCTTTAGATAATTGTGTGATAGTTCTAAATATTCAAACAAAGACTTCCCATGTGACATAAGATGCGTTGCAGGGTGGTTTCCAACGCAAATGCTTTATACGATGCCTTGGATTATTAAGTATTATGACTACTCATTGTAATCCAGGGTTTTGGCGTATGTAATCATACGCCAAAGTGTTATGGTGCTGTCTCGTGTAACCCACTAATTTTCTCCATTATAGCAATTCTAGAGCCAGTTAGTCGCTCGCACATTATATTCATCCATGGTGCTAATATTTTTATTTTTCATTGATTAACTAGGTCAAGCATGTAATTCCCTGGGTATGGCTTGTCTGATCCATAAGCCCTCGTCTGTTTGGTGTATCAAACAAATAGTCCAATCAATTGTATATTTTTAGCAACAGCATCAGACCGGATCCCAATAAGAAGAAATGACTAGATGACGTTCAATCGGTCCAGTAAAATTGTTTGTAAACAAAAGCATGCCGATTTCAAGTTAAAAATTAGGAAATCACGCCATAGCGATGAATAGCGAGCTTCTATTATACTACGCTTTCTTAAACAGTGAAAATATTCACACTATCATATGTTATCAAAATGCAGCAATTGCACTAAAAGTCCTTCTGAAAATGCCAGTTATATCTATATTCAAATAAAATAGGGTGCCTGTATGAACACCAATTGTAGTGCACTCACGAAGATACAAGTGTTGAATGTTTTCAATGACGGCTTCACTTAGTGGGCCAAACGCATATGCTAGTGCCGTATGTCGCAGTTTATTGATTTTTCATTGTACTCCGTATTATGTTTTAATCAAACAAATAAAATTTGAAACATCCCTCGTTCAACTATAATTCCTGATATTCTTAGTTGAAAAGTGGCTGACTACCAAGTAGTCAATTCGAAGCAAATGTCTGTGGAGCACAACTCCTGGCCCCTTGCGCTCTTGAGCTAATGATTGCTTTTGTTTAAGTTTTTGGCCGCTTTTTGGCGATGAAAATATGGTTATAACTCATATGTCGACTTTTCACAATTGTCTCTCCGCCAGCCCTTCTACCAATACAATATGTATAGCGAGGACGTTTCAGTACCAAGAAAAACAACAATGTAAATCTTGACATCCGGCATATATCCGGGAGTAGCAATGACGAATATCCGATTCTTGTGTACATTCCTGTTTGAGGATAGTGAGTTAGGAAGCCGAGTAGTAATCTTGTCGAAGCATCGTAGTTTTATTTAGGTTACCCTTACGCTAATTATTCGTGTTCACTTTAACTTTGTACCTTTGTAATTGGTAAGGTTAAACTATATATATATCAAACAATATTTTGCTCGTTGTATAATAGCCTATAGCACGTAAGTGTAGAAAACATTCAAATTAAATATAAATATTGTTAATTCCCGATATCACAATTATTATTTGTTTGGGTTGGTTTACTATATTCATTTCTGGTTGAAAGCCCAATGTTTGAATGAAAGATCCATACCAGCACCACTCAAATGAATAATTCACTAATTTCGAGAAATATTATGCTGCGGAAGCGAGTATATTGAATAAAATGATAATAATATCAACCGTCATTATTACGTCTAGGACAAATCCCCTTGAAAATTTTGACCTGCTTGCTATTATTCCAAGCCTCTATAGGGAATTGAATTTTCCAGTTACTGTACTCATAGCCGCCGAAACGAACGCTTTCGTATGACCTTAGACATGCAGATATTGTATGAGACACCGTATTATATTAATGAGTAATGATAATGGTGGTATGATTTCTGGAAACTAGTGATTTGGATATTTCGATGATATATTTACATCACAATGCACTAGAGTACTAAAACTGTCTAATTTTGTATAGTACGCTCATCAGAATGACTGGCAAAAACAAATGTCCTGATGTTATTTTCTGTTGGGTCAAACTCATATTCCAAAGATGTACGATATATGTATTTTATAAATAATATTTACTAGTCATATATTGATATAACGCAATGCTGGATATCATGCTACGATAGCAAGAATGCATTTTGAAGAGCTGAACGGATCAACAGCTTGAACTCAACATCTTGATAATTAACGTTACTTTTTACTCAGAAAATTATCAATTATTCGATTAGTAGCCTATAATACGATCTCTTTTTGCGACCTGTAGGTGTGTTTTGCATATTTTGAGCGCTGAAAATTGCGATGTCAAACTTAGTAAGCAAATTCACATATTTGTTTTCAATGCCGAGACAAGCTTAAGGTATTCTGCGTTTATCGACCAAGAAAGACCTAGCGGTCCGTCAACATTAGCAGTACATATGGATGGCAAACAAGTTTCGGTTTGTTCAGTAGTTCCAAGTCGAGGAGTTTCTCCTTTTACCTGATAATCATTCTCGTCTTTGATCGAACCCCAAAAACTTTCAAAATAACGCTTTTTGAGGGTAGTAAAAAGACCCCATTCACTTTGCCATGTATTGTATTTTTAAACTGCATTCATAGTCACAAACTGAAGTACTAAACACAGACCATTTCATTTGTACTACAGATTAGCGAGAACGAAAGAAAACTTCTATAAAGCGATCTAATTTGAGACTATTTTTGGGCTATTACCCACATCCATGCTATGATGAACACACTGCAATTCTCAAGCCCCGAAATAGATACCTTGCGTCCAAATCATGTGGTGCCCCTTTGTGACGTCATTTGTTTTGGCGGTCAAGGCATGCGTAGCTGAATATAAAGTAAAACTAGTGAGCCTGAGTTGACTTGTCAGAATTTTTCATAATGACTCCTTTCCATTTTGTAAAAATTACCAAATAGTTCATAATAGAGTAAATTTTATCTCCGATAAGTGTGGAATATCTTTATTACACTTTAATTTATTATGTATTAATGGTTAATGGCGAATTCTAAAAATACATTGGTTCGTATCATACCGTTAATAGAAAATACTATTCAAGAGCATTTCGAAACTACTAATGTGGCCTATCATCCGATGCTCGTTATGCCTCGAAGCGTTTCGTAGGTTTCAATGCGAAGATTAAACGATTAATGGTATTTGATAGTATGGAGTGACGATATTTTTACTCCTACTTTTCTTAAGCGGAATTTTTAGTCAGCAATGACCTCTTGCCTACGATACAAGCGTTGACTACATCGTGGCTGTTATGCAATTTGAACTTGGCCGTGTTTTGTGGTTCAATAAACTAAAACAGTTATGAGTCGACACATTGAATCAGACCGATTTTTGATCCAAACGGCAGATATGTATTTATATATATCGGAAGTAGATCAGGCTTAAATCGATTATATCAATTTTACTTCTCTTTGTAATCAATAACTGTCCTTATCAACTGCCTTGTATGGCCTAATATACGAAACAACGATTCATTTGAGCTCCAAGCGTGGCCTACCTAAGAAGTAAATATAGCCTAATGTGATAATATTTCATGCATTGTGTCGATAAACATTCGTGATTTCCAACCTGCTTTTGAGAAATAACATACTAAATTTAGTAAGCAAATACTTAGACGTCTTCTTCGTGACCTGAGGAAATTCGTGTTTTACGAAAAGGAATTGACGTGTGACGTAATTCGACGTGAACCACCGTCATTCAAGAATTTGTTTTTTATTCACCCGGATGCGAAAGCCTTAGGCGGAAAAAGTATATTTAGACATTCGCCAAATCGTGTATTATTTGTGACTTTTTAGTTGCGTTCATTTGAACATAAATCAAGTTTTAACGCATTGAAGTTTGTGGTTATGTCCAAATAATAAGATTTTTAGGTTTGTTCGACGGCGAATTCACATTTTATGGCAAGCGGGTCATATTACACTCGTGAACTGAATATAAAATTTTATTTCACTATGGCCTATGACAATGCATATCATGCATACAAATAATGAAATTCGTCAACGTTATATTTGACTCGGTTTCAGGTTTAATTTTTTCAAAGCTAGTTGTATCGATTCGGAAAATATATTTCCTAACTTCAGGTAGATTCTGAAGCCAGTTTCGTGGTATCAGAGAAATTTTTACAAAAAGCACAAGATTTTTCGTCTACTCCCGTCAACGTATTGTTTTACAATGGTGTGCTTTTTGGTGGTATTGTATTCGCCTATTTGTGAAGTCCCCTGTTCTTGGTATTCTTCCACCCCTGTATTACAAAATATATGGAGTACAATTGCGGATGTTTTATGAGATTTAGAGAATTTAATTTGTATATGATTCGATGCACCTACGGCTACGTTGTATATACAGGTGTTTACTTTAGTTACTCATACGGTTGTCATCTCACCAAATAGAGAATAATTTGGATTCGCGTATCAAGACACCATTCTTTGGCATAAACTGTCACGCCATCTGCAAACAAATTTTGCGCGTCTTTTCAAATACCTTGTGGTTATTTGAACTCTAGTGACGGCAATCTTATAACCTATGAACATAAAGACGGGTGTTACCAATCAAACTATATTATTGCTACCATCCGAAAAGGAACTTCTCGCGTGGTCAATTTTTGGCTTAATCTAAGCTCTGTATTAACGTATACAATGATAAACAATCTTTATAAATTTCTTTAGTGTCAAATGCTTTTGAAAAATACATGGGCGTATGCTTTTAATTTGGGTCTACCCATTCGAGTGACGTCAAACGAATCGGAAAATTTTCAATGAGAAAATCCCATCTGCTATTTAACTCGATTACGATAACTAATCATATTTTACATATACTATTCAAACATAAACTTAATAAAACAATAACTAGCAACCCATGATACTTCATGACGCTCGTGAAACATTGATTTATATATCCTGTACATGGTACATGGATACTTCACTGGTGCATATTTGAACCAGTATTAATGCAGTACCAACAGAATATATGGACTTTGATTGCAACCCAATTCCGGTGTTCACTTTATCTTGTATATTATCACCATATTCCATACGGAGGCTGTACTATTTATGATGACTGTTTCGAGTTATATTTTTTTTTACAAAGTTAACACTATGGCGTAGATAACACCAAAAAATAGTAGCCAGTTATAGTTATATATAGCAACCCGCAATTACTATAATAAAGAATAGAAAGTCTCGGTAAACAAGTACAACAGGTTTCTGATCTCACGGGTAGAAGTAGTAATCGAAAAGCGTTTCACTTTTGACAACTAAGATTGTTTTTTTGTTTAAATCGGGTTTATAACTAAGCACGTATAGAGTTTCGATAGATCAGAAAAACTGGAATGTGGGAAATTTGATCGGTGGTGTGATCCGAAAAATCCGATTTTATCGTTAGTAATCTTACTTCGTACATCTTACTCTTTTCAACCTAATGAAAGATATTAACAAACTGATAACTTTTTACAGCCGTTTTGCGACGAGGACATGAAACACTTTGAAAGTATGGAAAGCAGTGATGACTGGGTTAACGGAATGCTTGAAGATCGTTTCATGAATGGAACAAACGAACTCCTCACTCCTTCATCCCCCTCCTCCTCATCTGGAGCACTTTCTCCCTCATCCAATTCCTCTGCTTCGTCTTCTGGTAACGGAACGATCGAACACGCCTACTCTCTCATCAACGACCGACCTGACACTCCCCTTACTGCTGTCAAATTTGAGGACTTTTCCAGCGGTGAGTATGATTTAGTCTGCCTCAAAGTGATATAAGTAGTAATAGAAATTACTTGGCAACGTTGAAATTCCGTTGAAAATTTAGAATATGTATTCAGACTGTTTGTTCATAATACTTAGTGGATTTTAATGAATATGTCTTATTTTAGATTATCCTATCGGTGATTTAGAAGCTCATATCAAAGAAGAATACATGCGACCGTTCGATTTTGAGGATGACTTTTCTCTCCAGCCACCTACCGAAGCTGACTTCGATGACGAAGGCTTTATTTTTGACACCACGAATGATTTCACCGCCCATAACTGTACTCAAATCGAACAAGGTATGAAATTCCGTGATGATGATCGTTTTTTTTTAAATAAATCTCGCTGTTGCCAGATTATTTATTCTACTATGGTTTTTTAAACTCTAATCATGTTACATTTTAGTTCCTGCTAGCACCAGTATGTCCATTTCTACTCCACACCATACTATGGATAAAAGTCTGGCATCCACAATAGAGTCTTTGGGAAACAACGTCATCACGATTAGTAAAATGGGAAACACCGTTCATGTCAAGAAAGAAAACAACGATATCGCCCTCGACTACAGGTAACATTTTACAGCCATCATCAAAATTCTAGTAGTATTCAAACTGAGACAGTCTACCAGAACGCAACCTCAACTTAAAATACATTCATCGTTCAATTCGCTCTCAGTGGTATCGTATTGATGATGTGGCGTTACTCTATTTTTTCATTACCGTTTTTATTATTGATAATATTTGGAATTATAATATTACTCAAGTCGAGTGAGTCTTTTTTAAATTATAACAATCGGGTTGGATGGAATCATTGATTATGCTCGGAGTTCAGGGCCAATATTTCGCTTTCTGTTAACCGCATTTTATATTGTATTTCTCAGCGCTTGCAGATCTCAGCAGGACTCCGCTCAGCCCAAGACAATCTTCGCCCCGATTTCCAACTGTTCCAACAACGAAAATGTAACAACCACTAGACCAACGGCGCGGACAATCAACATAAATGCAAACGGACGAACGGACAACCATACCAAAGCCACCACCACTCCGTCATTTTACGTTGCCGACATGACCGACGCGCAGGATTTGATATCACAGCCAACAGCAAAAGTTACGACGAATTCTCTCACGCATAGAACGCAAATTCAAATCCCAACGTCGACTCTTCAGACGATATTGAAAAGCGGAAGATTGGTGGGTATTTTTATATTAAATGTTAAGTTAATCGAGGTAATCCCCCACGTATATTAAGTATGTGGATATTTTCCGCCGTCACGATTATTCAACTAGTAATCTAATCAAAACAACCCATGTCCCAGTATTGTACCCAACGGTAAGTTGCAGTTCCCATGGCATTTTAATGATATGCTACACAATCTATTGTATGCAAGATTATTTTATAATATATACTGGAATTTCAAAACAATAATGTCAATTGTCAGTTATTCTGATGCCGGGTGAAATACCTTTAAAAATCGATACCAAGCTCAGAATCGTTAGTGTGATCCGCGCATCCCTTACGGCGATTGGTTGTATTGCTATTGCCCGACTACACTTTCTCAATAATATCTCAAGTTTATCTCTGTGTTTGGACACGTAGTAGTAGTCTACGATTAACGGTACAATAGACCCACAGCAAAGAACTTAATCGCTTTGTATAAACTTTTGACGCGGATTTGGCGAATAGAGAAACCCTTTGAATATGACTTGTTTGCAGTGAAGTAGCTGGGTCTGTCGATATAAGTCGCGACTTCATTCATATCCTGTCGCCTAACGTTACAATTCAATTGTGAGATGAATAAAATTCATTGGATGTAAACAAACAAGGAGACGATGTACCTGGATTTGTCTTTTGATTATATGTATATCGATCGTAAATTCGTTATAATAGTGTGATTGTACTTTCGACCCGGATATGGATTCTTTGTAGACAATGCCCGTCCGTAAACGTTCAACATTCATTATTTATCGCTTGATAGATTATTTAAATGACGATTAAATGTTGTTCAGTGTCAATTTGCGGAACAATGGGAATAAACGGACAAGTTCGGACCTAAGTTATTTGAAGCTTAAGTGCTATTGAGTTATTACCCCGCCACTCAAATACAGTTGTGTTGGCAGACTTTTTGTCGTTCCAAACTCCAAACTTTTAGTAATGGCTAGTTGTGCAGCGAGGTATACATTTAATCACTCTTGAAAGATTTTAAATTTTGCGTTTGACGTATATTGTTTGTCATTTGTTTATTACGGAGAAAATGTGATCAGTGATTGTCTATCGTTTGTTTAAACTAGTTGTAATTATGATTATGTACAACTGATTTACTCCCTAATTCTTTGATTACTGTATTTCCAAACACCGGTGATTTAGTGGCACTATTGTGCTATTGAATTTTCACGGAAGATCGATTATTTTTGCCTAGTCTCGCCCGATTTGAAAATTACGAAAACGAGGAAAATCGCCCCAGGTGTTTGCCTTGATTGGAAATAGTGATTAGACGCCGGTTACATAGTATGTAGTGTAACGTAATCCTTATTAAGACGTGATATGACTCGATTTATTCGATAGTAGACGCAATGAGAGAATTTTTATTCTTGAATAACTGGTTCATGACCTCGTGCATTTTAGGTGACTTTTCCCGCCCAACCTGAAATTTTACTTCATCAATAGATTACAATGATATCCTATAGCATTTGAATTTAACATTACAATATTTCACCGCGATCGATACGTTTTGAAAGTAGCACGGGCAAATCACCGATTTTTACTTTCAATTCAAATGAATCACTGAATCTGTGCATGAAAACACTGCGTTTGCTACTTTAGTAAAACCATGGGGTTATACTGTACTATATAATATCATGCTATTTATAACGGTATCCAATAAAGGCAGTAGAAAGGAGCATCAACTGTTTTCTTACCTAACTGATTTCAACCATAGAGTACGCACGAATATGCAATTGTATCCCCCCCGAAAAAAAAAGGAATAAAAAAAAATAATAGAATAGATAATTTTCATCAACGCTTTTGTCCCCAAATATGATGCAATATGACCCCCCATTTGATGACGAGCAAGAGAAATGAATATTTACAAAAGTTGGAAATTTTGACATTGTTCACATAAAATGATTGCTGACACCGCAACCGTATATCGTGCTCACGTGTACTGCAATCGTCCTTTCTGGTTCAAATTGATTTTCTTGTTTAATACGAACTGGGAAACGCCAAACAATGTATTTCAGTTTAATCAAATACGAAACACATGTTAACCGCCGGTTCGCACGCCTGGGGGACATTTTTGCCGTATTGTACAAATTCTACTAATACGCACTGGTTTTGGAGTGTCGGAATGCATAGATAACTACTAGACTTCAATGGTTATTTGTGTTAAATTCAAACAAATGGGCGTATACGTTTTAGTTTGGCCTAAGCCTGAGCGCTCTCTTAATTTTTGAAGAAAAATAAATTCTTTGATCCGTGAACGAGATACGCTGATTGTTGCGAAATAACAATGTTCCCTTTTCGAAATTGTGTAATAATGCAAATTTACAGATTGAATTCAAATTTTGGCTATTTTACATTGTTTTGTATCGACAATTTATAAAACGATAGCATTCGGTCAAATATAATTTGGGGTTAGACATTTTAGTCGATGTTCATGGGGAACACTAAATAAACCCAACCTGTGGTTATTTCGAGGCGAGACAATCGCTTCGCAGTATTTGCAATTATTAAGCAGCACAATATTATCTCTATATGGATACTCAACTTCAATTTATATCTTAAAAAGTGTCCTAGAAGGCAAAAAAGGAAACTGAAGTTTCAAGGCGACTAACATTGTTCCCTTATATTTCACGAGTGAGCAACATGATTTGCAAATGATTCGTTTGAAAGCTGTCCAAGTTATCAAGTCACCGTTAGCTGTCTTATGGTGGGGATAAAAGGTATTGCTCAATGGTATAATGTTTCGTAAGATATGGCTGGAAGCCAACATTACACGAAATACGGTATGATAATTGCAACATGCCACAGATTATGCAAAATGTACCGGCCTCCAATATTGTATAATAATACTGTATAACTATTTCGTCTTTGCAGATTACGAAATTGCAACAAGAAGGACAGTTCTTGCCGAGAATCAAAATAAAAACTGAACCGTGTGATGGAGAACAACAATATGTCAGAATATGTAATCCACAGGTAAAATCGAAATTCAAGCATATTAAAAATATAAACTCACAAAATTCGCGTTAGCACTCTTATCTGTTACCATTGTTTTTAAAATGCCAAAAATAAAATTTACTTCCGACGCACAAAAGGTATTGATATCCACCATTGTAGAATCTGACAATTTCGAATCGCTCTTCAAATGATACCTAAGGCAGTGTCGCATGACCCCTGATGACCTGTATATGATATCCGGGTGTTTTGAACCAAAGGGTGAAAATGGACACTGATATGTAATTGCTATAGAGACATAATTTGGGCATTTGTTCGTCCTCCTGGTCGATTATAATGAAATTGGTCTAGGACTAGGTATATATACATATATAGATATATATGTAAATGGTCAGTGATTTTTTAAAGGTTAGATTTTGATATGGCTCAGCATGAAGCGGTCTTGCTACCTCTTTGGGCGAATCGGCCTTGGTCCGAGCATAATGAAAAGAAATAATGTTGAAATGGGTATTTTGGAGGAACCAGATAATCAAGATCATCGTTGTTCCATAGAATTTTGTTTTTTTGCAATAAATATGCAGTTGATGTCAAATATTACATGGCAATAATTTTTTTCACATATTATGATTTGTCTGCAAAATGAATCTGTTACAAAGTACAGTGTGGCATAAAAACATAACCCAAGTCATTTGGAACATTTTCTAGAAGAAGCATAACTTTTGTACAAAGCGCCCTAGATTGCTAAAACATTTGAATGCAATCATACAAAAACAGGAGTTCAAGTGTTAAATATATCTTCTTCATTTTCGTAGAAGTAATTAAGAAAATTCATTTTTATTTTTGTTGCGATTCACGAATAAGATTTCACCCTATCGAACTAGCTTGTAACGAAATGCATCCTTTTATTGAATATGTTCAGATCGAGCTTCCTCCCACCCCTCCTAGTAGCAATACCAGTGATAACGAAGGATCGTCCAGTCCTCGACGTGGTGGTATAACAACCAACAGTAACACACTGGGTTCCGATATGTCTGTTCGTCTTAGTAGTTCCAATCTGCAATTCATGTCTTCAGGAAATCAATTGACGGCACAGTTACTATCCAGCCCCCAGGTAAAATTTAAGCGTTGTTATACGTAAATTTTGAAAATTCTGATTTTTTTTCTATTTTTGGGAAGAAAGCTTGTGAAACTTACAACTACAGACTGGTAAGCCCGGATCGGCCTTTGAGCCACCACAACCTATGCGGCCGCTGTGGGCCCACACTTTCATAGGCCCTCCGTTAATTCTAAATGCGAATTATTCAATTTTTAAATTATATTCATGAATAGGTCAGCGTGTTTCTCTGCGCACGAGACTTCCAAAGTAGAGTTACTTTTATCTTCATTCTTTTCTCAGTTATTATGCTTATCTCTGCCCACTAGACACAATATACTATTAGTAATATATTACTATGAATGGTATGAAAATAGCTAATTGTCATTTCGGCTTTTCTGGTTTTTGTTTTGCCAGGCTTTCAGTCAGGCAGATTGTCGTCATTCATTCTCTTTCAGTTGTTTATTTCCGTTTTAGTCGCATGGTCATAGTATGCATGAATGGCCCTCGAAAACGGACTAATAAAACACTGCATCGGTTCCAAGTACTTTGCTTTCCAGTCACACTAGTCTAGTCTCGAATTTTGTTCATACACAAACAAACGTAGTCTTTTTTATCTTATATTCGGTTCGGTAAGAACCAGTCTTAAAAACGACGAATATGCGCGTTTAATCGTTGGCCAAACTTGCCTTGTTTAGACTTTTGAGCACTATAAGTATTCAACACTCAAATGTGGATTTAAAACCACAGGCGCGCAAATCGATAGCTCTCGAATATAAAGTAGCATATGAATGATATAGTAAAATTTCTAGCATTATATCACAATGAGCGCCTTCATAAATGTACTGCACTGTAATAAAATGCTTTTGAGCAACAATCAGGCATTTCCTTGCAGCACAATAGTAAGAAGACGAACTCAATTATCTTTACTGGAAAAATAAATTCATTTTCCAATTGTTCTAGATTCGAATTTCGTCATTGGTGAACCCCGAAACATAGTTAAATTTTTTCGTAGCGCGGGCTTCAAACGCCTTTGTACGAGGCAAAATTGCCTGCTCAACAGCTTCCTATCTTGTAATCACTCCTTGACAGGAAAACTATACCACGAACAACATCACGACTACATAACGATATCATCAATATCGATTTTGTTTTACAATCGTATAAGCTAATGAGCATTTCCCCTATATAACGTTTTTGCGGTTTGCTTAGAGTGGGAATGTTTCGAATTGAATTTTATAGATAGGCCTTTGTCGTAAACAAATTATAAAAACACGGCCAATCGAAATAATTAAAAAATTCTATGATGTAACAATTCCAATTTCACTTACAATCCTACCAAGTATTTTAGGAAGTCTATTCAAGAGCTTATCTTGCGTCCACTGAAACAATAGACAAACAATCACTAATATTCGTTTCAGAAAAGGTCTCCATGATCAGTTAGTTGCATTGTTCCTCCCTAATAAATTTAACCCACTTGCTGTATGGAGACGTTCGCCAATTGGTCATAATGCTAATGGTTTTATGTCTCTCTTTATTCCAATTGTGGCAATTTTTCAATTCCCAAAGCAGCGAATAAGAATAGTTGCAGACTCAGTAAAATAACTGCTGGAAATATTCAGGGTTTTTCACGTAAGATTTTTACATTCTTCACCGTAAGGTTTATGTAAAATCCTTTTAAATCGTCGATTGTTAGTCAAAGTTCGTAATTATTTTGAACCAACCATACTCACTCCTGAAACAATCAGTGATAGAGTTGATTATAAGTGATTTTGGCACAATATTACTCCTTGATTTAATCGTCACCAGTTTCGTTTTGTTATCACATAAACATGGCAAGATCTACTACTGCTTTTAAAATGCAAATCAAATTTGCGTCAAACCACACACGAGGTTCAAATAGTCACCATTTGATATTCTGACAATTTCAAACCGTTTCTCAAATGACACCAAGGTCATCATCACACGACCCCTGATGACCGGTTGGTAATATCCGGGTGTTTTGAACCGCATTAAAATGAGCATTGATGTTTTAGACTAGAGATAAAAGATAAAACTTGACAAGCTATTTTTTTTGTAATAGCGATAAATGTATAAAATTTGGTAGATTTTTTATGGTGAAGAATAGTGCAGTTTTTGCCATGGGATGACCCTAACTAACCGAAATAATCCACTATTACCAATACATTTTCAAAACTGTGTTTTAGAGTATTGGTTGTCGAATATTCTTAATTTGGGTCATTTTCAATAAAAACACATGGTTGTCTTGATTTTGGGAATGTGAGAAAATTGAAGAAATTTGAGAGATTTTTCTTTTTCTTATATTTAATTGCCAAAAATAATAATGAAATAAATATAATTGAATGAAAAATCCTTGATAGCTCATGAAATCAAAAATAAAAACGAATTTCGAATCACTTCCGAATCACATTCTATTAATTTTAAACGTAACTTATTCAGCCTATATTTGACTAAACGAACCGTTTATTATATTTAAAATGGGCGGGAACGGGTTGTGGCTTGTTTGAGTATCAATATTATAATCTATCATGATATATAGCCAATACTCACTCCGTTTATGCGTCGCTACTCTACGCGACGCGGATGTGTTATTTCTTGTTGATTTATAGATGAAGATCAAATGATCAAGTACCACTCCAAACACGGATCTAGACTCGAGTGAATCCAAATGCATTTTTACTATCTGAGGGACTAGTGAATTGCCGTGGTCATGGTCGCGCTTTTTGCTGCTATTTATGATTTCAATGGCGAGTTTTTTACGCAACTTGAAGCGTATATCCATATAAAATAAAGCATTTCCCGGCCTTATGTATTACAGGAAGTTACTTGAAATCGTATGTTTAATTGGTACTCTTTCTGTTGTGGTCACCGGGAACGATTTGACCCTAATTTTAGACTAATTTCACGAAAGACGCCGTTAATTTACTACGAATTTACTGGCGCAAGCTTTCTAGTTATTTGAGGCGTAAATGCGTGATGGTATTTACGTCTCATTGTGCGTAACGAGACGCTCGAACAAAACCAAACACATTTTGATTCAAACTTAATTCGGGAAACGCCTTGCTGTATATGTGTAGCATGTTCAAGAAGTCTTTTGTACAGCTGTAAATTTCCTATTACTTCCGAGTGTAATAATCATTTATTTTTCGCGTATTAATTTAAACGATGCACTATTGCAAATGTATTTACACAAACAAATATTTTATAATCCTTTTATTTGAACTTGTTCGTGTTAAAAATACTAACTTTTTTACACCATTCCTTCAATATATTATATAATATAAAATCTAACTGTCCGTATATAAAATTTAAATCGACAGTTAACTTTCATATCCCGGACTTTTCTAGTCATGACATGCTGTGAATGTGTACAGGTAAACACGGATGTTTTTCTAAGGTCTGTAACGAAAGTAGAATACCAAAATTTCGTTCTCTCATCCGGGTAGCGGTTTCGATATTTATTTAACCAGGACACAAAAGTGAAGTAGCAGTTTCTAAATTTTACTATATTACGAGTATCAATTCATTTGCAATACTATTTTATATCGTCCTTGGAAACGAAAACATACCATTGCATTCGATAGTTCAATTGTTTTTCAATTGCCGAACGTAATATTTTATAGCCTACCTAATATTCGGTTTTGAATTTTATCAAACATAGGAATTTACGCAAATGCAAAACGAAACAGTCTTATACGACATCAGCGTGGTTCAGTTCTTGTGTCATCAAATGTTTGTTATTTTTTATTAGATCAGAACTCGCAAAATTAGAGGTCAGTATAGATCAGGGGTGGGCATGGTTTTTGAACCAGGGGCCAAAAATTTGCCTACCTAGACTGGCGGGCCATGTAAGTGTGACGTAAAAAGTTGCATTTCAATGAACAAGATTTGACAGTCTTACAAAGAAAAGATGGAAAACATTATTCCTCGTGCGTAAATTTAACCGCAATCTCAACAGATTCCTCGAGCTATTTTTAGCTAAAACATTAAATTAGGTTTCAGTTTGGTTGTGGCAGCACTAAGCGAGCCAGCTTGAATTACCCAATGAGCCGGATTTCGCCCGTGGGCCGTAGTTTGCCTATGTCTGGTATGATAAATTACAGAAACAAATCCAAATCTATATAAAGTTCGTCAGCGGATATTGTATTCGTCCGACTAAAATTCCGCTGTCTCTGTTGCAGTCCAATGTTACGCTACGGAAGAGGCAATTCGAATGGAGATTGTAACCTTGTGATCTATCCCATATTCCAACCATAGGAACAAAAAACAATCACGACTGAAATGTGTTGTAAATTTTTATTTGTGCGATCGCTACTCGTTATTACAAAATCGTGCCTTTTATATTAGTTTGAACTACTTTCGTTTCGATGGCTGTTTTTTGATCCACAACCAATCCGGATATTATTAAAGATTTCATTACAATAAGGTAGTTCCCAATATTATTATCCTTTCATAATGAAACGCAAATTGTACTCTTGTGGTATTATAGGTAATCTATCAACATTTAGGGGCTTAATTAACAAAATGAAATAAGAAAATCGTGATGACTAAAAAGAAACTACACTTTCACGTTCTGAGTCAGGGTTATAGATGGATAAAGATAGTTTTTGTATAATAAACATCCGATTCGTGATTTGAATATTTACTCATGAGCAGACAGTTTCACTAGGCTTTGGCCTTGCATCCCATGTTTTTGTACTTCCGTTTATAGCTCGACTACAGTACAGAAATAGTGTTACCCTACTTTCATTTGGCGCTCAATTTGGGTGTATAATCATCAATTGCTATTTCAATCAGCATTTTACGAAGATTTATTTGGGATACACTGAGGTGGGCTTTATATATTCTGACGTCATAATAATATGCTAAGCATAATATGAAATGTGACGTCATAATATCCTTGAATCCGTCACCCCCCTGTGTCGACGCCCTAATGGTCGTTTAAAATTGCTAATTCCACCTGAAAAGTAAGAAATTGGAAAATTTCTCTGATTTGAATGCATTAAATGTACTGTTGATTCGCATTTGTTGTGTCGCGCCATGGCCGACGATATTTGAGACAGTTTTATCGGTCTGCGGTGTCCTTGTGCTTGCGATGTGTTGACAACGTTGTTGCCCAATATATTTGATGGATTTCACAATGAACTGGCGTAGTAAATGTGTGTCGTATCATAGTCGGATCATACATTTCTTTATACTAGTGCTAACACGAATAACGAACGAATTAAGCAGAAGTTTGAGTGTGGTATTTTGTCGGTATCAGATTCTGGGCTTACATTCGCAATCGGTATGGAGAGTTCGGAGCTACGTTTTTAGACTCCCTGAAAGTTTAGAAGTCGGAGTCAAAAATTTTGTCCGCTGCGGAGTCGGATTCTATTGATTCTGTAAAACTTGTCCGGATTTCTAAAAATACTGATGCTAGAATTCACCACCGGAAAAATAATAACTTTACAATTCTTGACATATGGTTTATTTTACAGCCATCGTGTGTTTCTATTGCGTCTTGTTTCTAAATATTATAGCCTTTCAATGGCCTCGGATACAAACCAGCAGTTTAGTTAATAATTAACAGATTAACCACAATAACACCTCATATACGTTATCACTATTACCACAGGCGCCTTGTTATCAAATTTATTTATTTGTTCCCGTGGCGTGAGTGACTCGCGACGTCACCGATGCTCTCTCTTTCCAAAAATAAAATAAACTGAGGAGCTTTTTACAGCAATCATCAATTATTACAGTCATGGTTCGTTGTATTTGTAATTTGTGCTGGAATAGCAGGATAAAGATTTTGAACTCAACACCCCATGTCCACCTCCTCACCCAGAGTGTAATAGATAGGGTGGACAATGCAAATTGGAAGATTCCGATATTTTAAAAACTAGTATCTCCTCACGTGAGGTAATTGTCAGTTCAATGACTTGTTGAGAACCAGGTGTGAAATAGCCTCATAATATAACGGCCTAATAATATGCAGAGGGAAGAGAAATATGATTCTGCTTATAATTTTCGTAGTACGGTTTGTTTCTTTATGACATACTCCCTACTCCCCATTGTGTTTTTAGTTTTGACTTTTCTGTGGTTCAACTGATTCTGACTAAGTATATGTACTCATGGACTTGTTTTTCTATTCGCCACCGGCCAAAGAAGGAGCATTACGCTACAATTTAAAAATCAACCACTTGTGAATGAAAAATTAATTTAACAAACATACATAGGTCTTTTTTTCTTCTATTATCTCGAATGGCGTAAATGAAGGAATCTAACAGCAGTATTTATTGCATTATTCACCAGAATTTTAAGTATGCATTTCAAACTGTTGCACTTTTTTTTTGGATTGGGAAAACCCATCTGCAGGATTATTTATGAACGCTGAGGATTTAAAATTGAATTTCATATTGAATCCTCCTGCTCTTTTCCCAATGCTAATTTTTGGACTGATTTTTGTTGTTATGTTTGGATTTGGTTTGTGTTAGGGTAAAGTCTGATTAGATAATAAGTGGTGGTCCTAGTCTATATATTTACCCAAGTGAAGAGATCTCACTAGAATGTCTGTGCTGCTTGTCATTTGTGCGTTATTTCAAATTGTACTATTCCCTTTCAGAGATTGGCTCAATCGCATGGACATGTACATCTAACTGAAGAAGAAAAGAAGACTCTGGTTTCGGAAGGATATCCTGTTCCTGAAAAATTACCATTGACGAAAACAGAAGAGAAGGCTTTGAAAAAAATTCGACGAAAAATCAAGAACAAAATTTCTGCTCAGGAAAGTCGACGGAAGAAAAAGGAATATGTAGAAGCCCTTGAACGACGGTACAGAAACTGTTTTGACAAACTATAAACGAGCTAACAAAACTATCTTTGGGCTTCTTGCCTTGTCGGAATATATGCAAATGAAAAGTAATTTCAAAATTATCAAATCGTCATAATTTTTAGTGAACTACATGGTTATTTTATTAACGTTAAGCAATGGTACTGGGATAGTGTGGATACAATTTATGTTGAACTTGAACTTAATATTTTAGATTCCTTTTCTGTTGATTTATCTTAACTGTCACAAAACCATCAATAATATCGAATTTTGTTATTAGAATGGAATCATTTAACCAAGAGAATGGTGACTTGAGAAGAAAGCTAGATTCGTTGGAAGATAGTAACCAGAGTCTTCTTGGCCAACTGCGTTCATTACAAATGCTGGTTGCAGAAAAGATGCCCAAACCATCGCGCACTATAACAACACAAACCAGTAGTTGTCTCATGGTAAGAATTTGTTTATCGCCTCATGTCGTCACAATTTATTACGAAGAACCATGTTACGTCACAATTAATCCTGTTGATCTATGTTCTTAACAATTCAGTAGAAAGGTGGAATTATTGTATATATACTACTTTGAATATGCATTGTTTTGATGAGACACTTGTACACAGGCTCTGGTTTCATCGCGAGACGGGGCTATTCCAATAGTAATTCAGCGTTTTGAGGCAACCAACCACCAACCCATACATTTCCTAATTCTACGAAAATTGAAAAAAAAATTATTTAACGCTCAACGATTTGTGCATGATTGTACCCGAAATTTCTGTAATCTAGGCCGATTTGCACAAAAGTCATGTTCTCTCTAATATGACCCAAATTACCTGTGTTCTTTTTCATGTTAAAGGTTTGATGAAAACGTCGAAATATATAGTTGATGTTCTTGTAGTACCAATAAAATTTCATCTCATTTTATCCAGGTTGTCGTATTATGCTTTGCTGTGTTTCTCGGTGGATGGCTACCGTTTCTCTCGCCGTTCATGGCCAAAAACTCGATGTCCCCTTACAACCATGCGCACGAAATGGAAATGTCAAGAAGCTGTGAGTTATATATACACGTTATTCTTATTGCAATTTCAAAGAAGCATTCTAAATCTAACCCCGTATTACTGTTTCTCAGGGCGATCAAGAGTCCTGCTTTCCTACGCTGGCGATGCCTCCAACTCTTACGGTTACTGCGATGTCAATGGCTGCTATGGAAATCCAGAAGATGAAGACATTGCATTGAAAGCTATAATGAATGGACCATACCAAGAAGATAATGGTGAGTTGACGTCCACATTCAAAAAAAAAATTTGGCAAATTATTGAACTGGTTTTAAAAGGCTGTGGTTTTTAAAAATGATGGTATTTCTGCCGCATATTCCTGCCACTTCTCTTGAATCGGCTTAGGCATGATGAAATTTAACAAGACTTTGTTGTAAAGAACAATTCTAACACCTTCGGAAAACGATTCACGTATAATTGTTGAATTGGTCAGACGATTCTTCGATGATCTTTTTGAAAACATGCTTCAATTTGGTCTTCCCACCTGCGAAATAAATTCTTAGATATAAGCACGCAGCAAGATTAGGTGTTTTTCTAGAAGAGACACTTCAAGAATCACAGCTGGCAAAGTTATTAAATTCTTCGGTATTAACCGAATTACAAACGAACGGGTTTAGTAATATTCAAAAACAAACCTTTTATCTTTTAATATTAAAGGACACGAAGTTCAAGAAGGCAGTGAAACATACGACGAACCTGCTTCTGGCAGAGTGGTAATGAATGATACCAAGGACCAAATCGGACAAGTGATCGCCAACACCATGGAACCACGAGATGTCGCCGCTGTGCTGGCCAGGTAATATAAAAGTCCCGATCACTAATGAAAACCATACCATACGTGGCTTGTATAGCGCGAACGTTGGTTTTATAGCAATCGAAGTAGACTCGCGTGAATTGTTTTGCTATAAATTGTTGTTGTTGAGCGCAGACGTTCACGGTTACCGCATTTTGTTAATATTGTCATGAGGCTGCAAAATTTACTAACCGCGGTGGAAATGCTTCCGTATTGTTGGGATTTACTTATAAATTGGTTAATGGGGAAATTATACAAACTATATATAACGCAAAGCATGTTAAATTCAAGAGGTGATGCAAATCTTGTAATAAAAAATGACATTATTAATTTTTTTACAGTCGCAAGGTTGTTGCTACACCAGGGCGAAAAGTTCAGATGGCGGCTGCTGATGTTATGGGAGCTGACAGCAAGAAGTTTGTTGCGCCTTCAGCGATGGTTACAGAATAGTACTGCACCTTGTAATTGTCCCTAAAAAGGACCCCCTGGTTAATCCATTATATCCTTAGAACTACAACGCTTACTTATTTAGTGCCAAATATTGTTGAATCGACCGGTTTTCTACCGTGTATTTTTCATTATTGGTATGTCTGATCAAGTTACCGATATCACTCAAATATACGTACAAATGTGATACGGTTGTACCGCATCCACCTTCGATTGAAGTGTCTTTCGCGACGTCTTGTTTCCAACTGAAAGTGTCAAAAATCTTCATCCTTCCATATTTTCAACCAATCAAATACGACGATTTGACCGTACGATGAACGACATGATTATATGAATTTCCACTACGAATTTACACGAAATGAACTTAAACAAATTTACAAAAAAGGTTTAAATTGTTGACCAAATTACCAAAAAGATCATATTCAATAACCTAGTCGTAATTATAATGTTTTTTTTTCGATTCATGTATTCACATAAATCGGAAAAATTTTTCTTACATTTCGACTGGGTTATTATTTTCTATTTAACTGTAACTTATTTTATTTCCTATTTTTCCTTTTGAGTCATTATTTTTTTGTTTTGCCCAGAATATTTACTTTAACAAATTTACGTTAAATATAGAAATGCTAACAACTATATCTTAGATTTTTGTTTTTGTGTTTATTGATAGTTCATTTTGTCAAGAAATGGTATTTTTTTCTAACCAATGCTAACTATTGTAGTTAAATTTGGTCCAATATCATGGGTGATTATTTTTTTTAAGTGCCTTATATTGAATAAATATACAAAAAAATCCACACAAATATTGCTTCGAGTTCTAAATGTGGTGTTGTATGTATGTGCTGTATGTCTTTGTGTTTTTATCGTTTTTATTATTGATGAATTGATAATGATTCGCAATGCTAATAAGTAACCTAAAATAATTGTTGGGAAGACGAAAGCCTGCCGTTGTGATAATTTCGTCCATTTCCAAACCAATCGTTTTGAATCTTACATCGCCAAGCATGAGCTGTATTTAGCCATACGTGTATAATTATTGTATTACTGTGTCAACTAAAATCGAATTTGCCATGTATTATTGACTATATGATTGGTGATTCAAGAGTCCTGTATGGAGCCGCTAGATGGCGTTCTCTTTCTATGTTTTGTGATCCCGATATACCAATTCCAGTCTCTAATTATAAATATCATGGGTTGAAAATTTTTAATTTCTATCAATCAAGTAGTAAAAACGAACACTTTCATATGAATCATGCTTTTTTGCTTTATGTAGTTTGTTATTCTTATCCATGTACCGACATTGTAAAAGTCTGGGGTTGTGCAATGCCATCCGTGTTACCAAGCTTTGCATTTAAGCGAATGCTGTTTGTCAGTACGCGGTAGCGTTTGTACATAAATTGGGTTACAAAATAGTTCTTTTTATTATTATATTTGAAGTACATTGGGTACTTGGTGACTTATGTTTACATTTGTTGCATTTACCTTAATTTAGACGTAGAAAAGGTTCGGCCCTCCCAGCTTTGGTGGGTCTTTATGTCCATGTCGTTGATGACAAATTGTCCTTTAAAGGGTACTAATACTGTATATTCAAATACGCTGTTACTTTTTTGGCTTTTCATTGAAAATGGTGCCTTATGTTTTTTTTTTGTTTTCGTCATTCCTTTTACATGTTATTAAAATTATCTACATGCCAACGTCGCATAATACTATTTTGTATTGTATGATGCAAAATACGTGGAAACGATCTTGAAATGCACCTGTGTTTAAGCGTTTGCGAATACACTCTGCATTCCTTTCTTCTAGTTACATAGAAAACAAACCAGTTCCCGAATTGGGTCTGTACGCTTGAATGATACTAACTTCTGAGCTGAATAATAATGAGTTTTTTCTTGTATACATTGAGTGATATTTTGTTTAGCTATGGCGTGGGAGCAGTTAGATCGCAAAAAAATATGTGAATAGTTGCCAGAGGTGGTTATTGGGATTTGGTAATATGATACTAGATGGATTATAGCCCAAACCTTGCATTTATAAAGTGGTAAACTTAGCCGTTATTATGCGTAGGCATTTAGTAATCTATTATCATTATCTTGGTGGGTTTGCGTTATACGTTTATTTCGAAAGAGGGTAATTCTATTTAAAACTGTTTTAGACTCGCATGGCGTTTTTGTACATAATAAGTTAACGCGAACAGTTTTATTCAAAAGCACTTTTGGGCATTTTTAGCCAATGCGTTGAATTTGTTATGCGTTAAAAATTCAGAAGTTAACATGCCCCGGATGTTAGCTTGTGCCTCTATTGGAAGATTTCAACTTTGGGTCAGAAGCAAGATACGTATGCGTTAAGTAATAAAGGACAATGCGCTAAATAAACTTAATAACGTCATGGAAATTTGACCCCTGACATCCAATTCTGCGGCCGCGTAATCTTATTATTAAATTACTAATACATACAGAAGATGGTTCTATAAATTTGAATAAACTCATGACATCACCGGACGTTGAACTCCAAATACGCTCCCGAACGGACATGCCAAAAACCAAGTTAGATATGTGGGACCAATATCACCCCACTCCCTTATTCGAGAACAAAAAGGGAGCGATGCTCAAATATATGGAAACGGGAGGCGACACAAAGTGGTACGGATATGCAATCTGTCACAGTAGGCTACCCGATACGGCAATCTATTCTACACGGTAACAAGAAAGAGGAACCACCTCAAAGTGCGCATTTTTGATGACGTCTTCGCGCGCCAAAATGTTGTTCAAGGCAAAGCCACGCACACTCACCAAGAAATATAGGGGATTGTTGCGAGAGAATGCTAACTAGCTAAGAGCTACTGAAAATGTAAATCATTATTGCGCGGACTAGCGCGTTAGGAAATACCGATCGACGCCTTTATGATTTCAAGCCTATGCCTCATTATGTATTTCAATTTACTATATTTCTGTATTGCAACAGAAATCAAGTGACAAGATTAAATATTGTTATACGTGGTAACTGTTGATGACACTACCTGTGATGGAACTAGAAGGCGAGTTAATCGTTGCAAGCCAGAGGAATAATGAAAGTACTAACGACTATTATGTTTGAAAAAGTGTTTTAAGTCTACTCTGACTGATGGGATTGAATTGGTGTGTGCAAAATTATTAAAAAAATCCAAGGCCGGTAACCACTTTGCACAAATTTGCAAGAACAACACATAAAAATATTCAACGCGTTTGTGGTAACTTACTTTCACTCAACGGTGTCATCAGTTGCATTGTATAATCTGGAATATTAGTTACGCATAACCGTGAAGCGTATAGCAAAACAATATGAGGCGTGCCCATAAGTCTAGTTATTGTTAGCAGAGCATTGTGCGAGAACGTTATCTGACTTTAAATGTGGCGAGCTGTAGATGGTATTAGTGTAATTGTTGATAATTAAATCTTATTCTAAGTTTATTGAACGAAATAATGTTTTCAGTAATATGCTTTATTAACAGTCAGGCAATGTAAACTTATGGCTCGTATTTGCAGATATAAAAAAATTCTGAACGATGTCAATATATATTTCTTACTGTCTAACAAAACCTTTTTTAATTAAAAACCCTACAGCCCTAAATCATTATTAGAATGCTAACTGTGTCACAGAAAATGACATGAATATATAGTCAATAAACTCTTGCATTAAAATGTGGTCTGGCCCACGAAACGTTATACCGATGAAAGCTATAATATAGTGTTTCTCAACCTATAGATCGCGTCCCGAAACTGGGTCGCCTGATAATTTTATTGGGGCGCTTGGTTTTCAACAAAAAACTAAAAGTAACTAATTCTATTTCCTAGTAACTTTTTTGTTTATTTTATATTTGGAGTTGAAGTGTTGTTCAATAGTAATTGTTTATGCGGGAAGTATCAAAAGCGTAAAATCTTGGCAGCATTTATTTTGCTTAAATGAAGCCGCGCCACGATTTTAAAAACACGCTGATGGTAGACGCGCAATTTTCTAGATATTCATATCTACAACGAGACTTCAATAAGCACGGACTAAACTGGTAATGTGCATGTAACTGTATTCACAACTTTTAGGATTATATGCGGGAATTTATAGTAGTGCCGATGGGGAAGTGAAACACATGTGAATGCCGTGCACATGTGAATGCCGTGCCGTGAATTTTGATTAAATCTGCACCGGTCAACTTGGATTTACTTGGATATTTTTCAGTAATAATTTAAATTAGTTGAATAAATCAATGACAATTTTAGATATGAGAAGATACCAAACAAAAAGAATTATCGTAGCTGCTGTCGTCGTGGTAACATTGATGTATTTTTTGCAGCTGTTCCATACGGATGATAACCATTCTCGGGTACATGAATTTACTTCATTGTAAACATACCGAAACAGAAAACGTCATAAGAAGAAGTTATTTATTAACATGTCATTCTACTGTTCCCATGATTTTGTGGTGCCTATACACAATTTAAATTGTAAAAAAACATAATTTTATCAAATAAATGTTTCAGAGTATCGAAAAGAATATAGCTGATACCGGACACTCCACAACAGTAAACGTAGTTCGGCAGAAAACTAGCACGATTGCAAAAGAATCTCAGAATGCCAAAGAATCGACGAGCGAAATCGTAGTAGACATCCCACACTTGAAAACAGAGATTGAAATATACAAACGGGAAGAAATTACACTCGACGATAAAATGGAAGCCATATTGAAATTAAGGTGCACTCTTATCATGACGTCCATCAAATTGATTGAAACCACTACGTAATACACAAACGAAATATTAGACGCGAGAAAATCAGGTTTGATCGTATAGATTTCAATCCATATGCTCTACGGTGAATAAATTACCACTGAATCGAATGCGTAATTGCCCTTTCGTGCGACAATTTTAGTTTTCTCCGTAGGCTGTGGAAAGCTTACAACAGCATCCGTATACATGATATCAATATACCTGTCACATTACTATTCAAATTACCGTCATTTATTTACTTTCACTAGTAGGAGAAAAATCTTTGTTTCCCTTACTCTATGCACACATGAGCAAACTACGGGCCTCGGGCCAAATCCGACCCTCTGGGTTATTCAATCTGGCCCGCCTGATGGTGCCACAACCAAATAAAAAATAGCTCAAGGAGATTGCGATTAAATTTAGTTTTGACACGAAGCTTATTGTTTTCCACTTTTGCTTTGGTAACACTGTAAATATTGTTCATGGAATGTAACTTTTTACGTCACACTTACATGGCCCGCCTGACTAGGTGGGCAAAATGTTTGGCCTCTGGTCTAAAAACCTTGTTCACCCCTGCCTATAGGCTAGACTAGAGCATGTTCTGTTTTTTTTTCGTTGAAATTCCGTTACTATTTAACGTATGAAACATTATTTTTTTACAGACTCGAGAGACTGAATCAAACATGTTCTTGTCGGAATATCACTGAAACGGACCAACCTGACACGAAGAAGTATTTATCGAATGTAAGCTAATAATAAAAGTGTAAGAGTTTCATTGTTTATCGGTTGAAAAATCGTATTGCGCGACTTTTTATTCTAGCATCTGCAAAAATTATAAAAACTATGTATCTATGCCTTGACTCCTGATTCGGTATAGCATTATAAAACGGAGCGGAATAAAACATTGTTACAAAAGTAGTACCCAGTCGATAAAATGACTGTGGCATTTATATTTCAGTGGTATGCTATTTCCACCAAAAACGACAAATTTCATTGTTTTCAGCTGATAGTTTCAGACAAATACAAAGTGATATTTTGCTCAAATGATGATATACAAACTGAAGGTTGGAGGAAGTTGCTTCGTAAGGAAAACGACGATTTGTCACTGAGGTACTTGACCTAAAGTTACCTCACATAATTTGTGATAAATATGATGGTGTAAGCATCGAACGAGTAACTAAGTTAATGATTAAATTGAAGTAAATTTAAAAGTAAATGATTAAATTGATTGACAGTTTTTTTTTTTGATTGCCAATTACATTCCGGTTTATACAATACGATTACGTACATTGAAAAAATATCGATATTCCACGTGATAGATGTTCTATGGTTTGAGACACGGGATGCAATATAGACATTTATAATGGGCCGTTTAAATGTTCATCAAATGTATAAAGTATATGCAATGAAACTTTTACAGGCTTCTATCTTCTTACCGAGAGGAGTCCATTTCGTACAGACTCAAATACTATTCCAAACTTTTGCTGGTACGGCATCCATTAATTCGGCTCATGTCTGCGTATAAAAGCTGGATCAAACAACATCCAAACGTTGATGGAAAGCCATTAATGAAGTAAGTCCCACTTTTATTTATTTATTACATTTTGGTTTTATTATTCGGGAAAAACCTTTCACTGATTGGTATTTGAAACAAATATAATGTGAACATTAAACTGTCCAAGTATTCAATAAGAAAAAGTTTGTATTCTTATTCCACGGAAATATGAGATTATATAGTAGACTAGAGGCTATTGAAGTCATTTAATAACGAACAAGTCTTCATGTAAGCGATACACACGAATTATTTATCTACCCTAACAATAAAATCTACTGTCTAGATGGAAAACAAGTAGCGCTCTAGAAAGGAGGCCCTTCAAATAGTAATTAGGATTTGCGACCATACATTAATCCCCATTCCTAATTCTTTCGTTAATTTATATCGAGAGTCCAAAAGACTCATAATGTTACAACGCACCCTATTGTAAAATTATTATATCGTGAAATATATATTATATTTTATACATACATAGATACATATGATTATTACTACTCATCCAATTATTCTTGTGAGCGGAGACACGTGTGGGTTCGAGAATGCTCGTAAACAAGGAAAAGTAGTTTATCAGATGCCCAGCTGTCTCATGCGTTAAGATCTTTCTGAAACAGACATTAAAAATATTCTATTTTCACCAGCCAATCGGCGGAGGAATCACATGACGTATCTCTACAGAATCAGGCCAACGTCGATTCGGGAATGGTATACAATTTGGAGAAGAATTCAACACGATTCTCACTACCTGTAGATTTCTTTGCTAATATCGTTGATGGTGCAAACTCCGATAATTCTCTTGACCCTTTGTGGGGTAGAATCAGTATGCTATGTCAGACCTGTAACGTTCAATATGACTATATATCGAAATCAGAAACTGCCCCAGACGATGCAACCTACCTGCTGTCAAAATTAATGGATGACGCAAATGGGTCATACACACATCTCAAACCAGAACCCTTTGATGCACGATTATTAGAAGAGTTTCGGACAGCGTTGACTGCAGAACTTGCCAACAATATTTACAAAGTGTACCAATATGACTTTGAAATGTTTGGATATCCGAAACCATGGGACTGACTTGAAATGACGCAGAGCTATTCATAAATTAAAAGTACGATACAAAAATGAGCAAAATTACGATGGTATGCTTAGAAAAAATACCGAAACTATTGATTCAATTGCAGGCCATAGATACCCAAAGTTACATGTACTCATCTTTGATAGTTTGGTTTAATTATGAATTCCAAAATAAATGATATCGATTGTTTTTTATTAATTGATTTATTAACAATCAACGCATTTTTAAATTTGATAATTTTTTATACTTAAATACCCCTCAAAAGCAAAACAGTTTACCCAGAAACTACCCTAGCTATAAAGTGCGAGGTACTGGCACTTGCGGTAAGTTCTACGTGGTCGACACATCAACTGGCGATGCACTGTCATTGCTGGCGTTCGCTGGTATGTGATGTCTTCAGGTGTTTTACCGAGCTCGGACTTCCTAGTTTTTTTTTTAATCAGAATGAAGTCAACAACGACCCAACCGTTTAGACCAGGGACTGTAATATAGTGACCTTTGACCCGTGTTCGTTCATGTCTGAAGGTGACTTCTAAGTTCTGTACTTATCACGTGTACTGTGATACATTAGCTGTTATGAGTTGGTACTGTGTGCTTTAACTATTTTAAGTTTATCTATCTGGAATGTGTTCTGTTTCAAATGTGAATAAAGTCTGCAATTGCAATATAGTTGTGCGTGTATACACACCACCTTACAGGGAAGTCAACCCGCGGCCCGCGGGCCGCATGTGGCCCACGGGGAGAATTCGTGCGGCCCACTTGAAGTTTTTAAATAAATACGGACGTATAAACATATATATTATACATAAAAATTTCCTGGTATGATATCAAATCTTATTATATTTGAGGCTTCAATTTCACACGGCTCCGCCATAAGAAGCGTTGTTAACCACAGAATATGATTTTACAGAAGTTGTTGAAAGTATTTAAAGAGAGATTCGCTTGCTTACAAAAATTCGACAGTCTCTTTAAAATGTTTATTTGTCCATTTGACATGCGGGTAGAAGAGGCCCCAGAATAAATGCAACTTGAATTGGTCGATGTCCAGTCAAGAACGGAACTGAAACACTTGTTTCAAAGAGATGGAAAACTCGAATTCTACAGTGAGTATATCGATGAAGATGAGTTTCCCACCCCGAGACAAATGGCAATGCGTATTGCGGTGGCAATAGGAACAACATATTTTTGCGAATCTTTTTTTTCGAAATTGAAAATTATGAAGTCAAAGCATACGGAGCAAGCTGACGAACGACAATTTGTTGTGCGGTATCAAAACTACCCGTTGATATTAAACAGTTGAACAATGCCATTCAAAAGCAAGTTTCGCACAAAATGAAAGAAAAAATTGCTGACTTTATTATTTTTCTTTCGATTTTTTATGCCAATGTATATTAGTGTTTGAAAGTTGTGCATTTCGCATAAAAGTTGAGTTGAATTTCATGGTTCATGCACTTTGTGTTCATCTTGTGTTCAGAAATCCGCAAAAGTGTTGTACAATCCAGGCGTTTGATTTAGCGACGCTCAAATTCTAACGTAAATCGGAACTGGGCTGGTATTTAAGTTTGGTAAAAACGTTTGCGGCCCGCAATGAATTTTCTCATGTGAAAGTTGCCCGCGACACTAAAAAGGTTGGGCATGCCTGGTTTAGACCAGTGATTCTCAAGATTTGATGGGCAAGTCATCGATATTTTTGGCGTTTCGAAAGGTTTATTGTAAATAATAACTTCTACTTCCAATATTAGTAAAACCGTAGTAGTATATATTTACGGTAAAACCCATATTTAATTTTTATTTATCAAATTATATGCTCATCATATGCTTAGGCCTCGAGAAATTAGAATATTTGTTTTATGATGGCGCCGAAAAGTACTTGCGGATCCTTGTCTTAGAGAATCTCTCTACCTACACTACAGACTTACTTCGCGGTCGAAGCCATATGAGTGCGTATTTTCATCTATCCGCAGGATTGGTTTATCTGGAGAGAGGTTTAGTGATAGTTAGCCAGAAAACATCGAGTTTTTATCAAATGGTTCAGGAATAGAGCAAAATGACGTCGAAAAGCCGTAAGAACGTGAGCGTTTGAAAAAGGGGTCAAGGTATAGCCCCCCAGCCCCTTGGTTACGCCCACGTCAGAAAAGCTACAAAAGATCAAGCTAAAGGTAGCTGTAAGTAAGCGTCAACTCCCCCAAAAGTGTCAAAAAATTTGCAGTAGTTAAGTATAGGTAGGCTTACCATACGTCCTGCTTTAGGCGGGACAGTCCCGCTTTTCAGCGTTTTGTCCCGCCGTCCCGATAAGTCAGCCAAAAGTCCCGCTTTTCCAGCATAATACACAAGCATGTTCTCGTTACTGTTGTTTCTGTGTAGCGCAGCGCTAGCCTACTTACTGAAGGTGAATGCGTTCGTTTCCCGCTGATTCCCATTGATGGCAGACGTTTCGCATGTAAAACCAATACTAATTAGTCTAAATTCGAATGATTTGTACCAGTATCGTTAACATCAATTCCTTCCTATTTTTCGAACTGAACCCGATATTTGGACAAAGAATATGCGCGTGAAATTTCGATAACAATATGGTCAATAAAGACAGCCGAGACAGCTTTAAATGTAGGAATGTAGGCTTATGTAGTAAAATCGGAAAATGTGAAGTTATAAAATCACAGCTAAGGGGTCGTTGTCTTTCGAGGCGTCCCGATTTGAAGTCACAAAAAGTATGGGGAGAGTATGGGAAACTATGGGTCGGAGAAACGTCCATTGTTAACGTTAGCTTGCTACAGATTACAAGTATAAATCAGATGATTTAGTCGTAGTTTTGTCTTTATAAGTGTCCTAGTCCGGTGAAAAGGTATCGGGTAGTCAAACTTTTAAAATTACCTGAAAGTAGGCTACTTTTTCGTGGTATCTGCTTTACTTGAACATTTTAGGGTTAGAACAAAATGGTGATTTTGAAGATGTGAACCAGGGTATACACTATATGCGCCAACTCGCATCGCAAAATACTCTTAAAATAAGCATGAAAAATTTCGCAATGGTAAAATATAAGAAAAATGGGCCGATAAAACACCCGTTGACGACTAAACCAAAACATTCCAGTTTAGTTCACGACCACGCAAGACAAGCCACGAATTGAGTCATAACCATTATATTACGAAGTAAATCGCAGGGTTTGTGGCGGAAGATGGGACCACCGAACACTGATGACAACTGACGTGCAGCACGAATCTCGTGGTTTCGATTATGTCACGTGATAATTATAGTCACGTGATTACGAACCATAATAGACCCTTGAATAGACCAGCTGGCATAGGTACGGTACCTAAATAGCTTTTTGCTGTGCATCTTGGTCTCAGATTATAAAATTTGTTGTCACGATGTTTCTTATTGTTATAATCTGCTAGGCGGTAAACCCGCGCATACAATTCGCCACGGGCAAAGTTATGGGCAGCAGTGCCGCGAGCTACTGAAACTATACCGGTATAGTCCTAACGTTTAAATACGCAACGTTTTTTATGTCAGAGAACCAAAATAAATGATCGATTGATTGAACGTTAGATCAGCGGTGTGTAACCTTCAATACAGGCTGGCATGGGGGATAGATACCAGTAGCGCCTAGGAAAGGTTCCTGTAAGGGCTGCAGAACGAGACGCTCCAGGCAAACATTACCGGTACCGTATTCAATATCTGAATATTGTTTTAAGTCAGGAGAAATAAAAAATAGTCACCAATCCGCCAATGCAGCAATGGGCAATATTATACAAAGTTAGCTTACATAGTTTTTAAAATACTTGAATTTAGAAAAAAAAAAAAAAAATACATATTTCAAAGCAAAAATATTATTATCAAAAGACGCTTTTTTGTAAGCCTCTGATCAGTAATCAACCCACCCACCCTCCTTACACAACTGTCTGTATAAAGGACCATAATATACATATTTGATTTATTTTGTTTTATGCTCATCATAAGGGGTGCATTCGTGTGCTCTCTTTTATATTGATTTTATGAGACGAATAAACATACATACATACAATATTTTTTTTATAGCTATTTGAACTATTGATTATAAGTTGAAATTTGACATCCAGTCTTGAGTATTGATAATTACTGACTCTCTTATATTGATTTTACAAGATGAATAAACATACATTTAGGCCTATACAATATTTTTCAATAAAAAAATTTCAAACAAAAGAACACTATTCCACAGGTATTTGAATTATTAGCTGAAATTTGACGAAAACAGCAAGTTTCATGTGCTGAATTTATTTGATGAAATATACATATTACTAAACTGTGATTGATGTCTTTTGTCAAATATCGAAATAGGATAATATAATATTAAAGTTTTCCTATTAGGTCAACCAAAATAACTGTTTTTGAATTTTTGTTCAACTTTAAATTATTGCACTATCTGAGAACTGTGCCCTACTTTTGATTATTTAAACCTTAAACTAGTATATTATTTGTAAGACAAAGTGCTTATGCATTTGTTTTTTTTACGCCTATAATTTTATTTGCCCGCGCGCTAAGAGTCTTTTTCTATTAGATTATTGAAGCGAGTAACATTTCAACTGTGATTTTGAGAAAAACATATCTAAGTATATTGATTAACCATAGCTATCGACAAAATTCTCACTACATTAGGAAAAAACCTGAAATTTTATAAATAATTTATTTTAAATATTAGTGATGGTGGTTTCCAAGCTATGATAGAAATATTTACTGTTGGTTTGCTTGATGATAGATTGATATATGTATCGCAAATTAACCATGTACAAAGTATAAATATTAATATATTCTACAGGTGCTAAAAGCTAAATGTCAGGTTATGTGACCATCAAAGTTCTAAAATTGCCTGAGGCAATTCAGCCCATCAATCATTGGTTAATAATCAATAGGAAGTTCTGACATATTGATCTTAAATCAACCATGAAAGTGTGATAACTTCTAATCTTCTGTAGTTCTAATTCTACTGTTTTTACTTGTAAGTTTTGAAGAAGCATCATGTTGAAAGGGGTTTTTATTGAGCTGTTAATCTGCACTCTGTAAATATCTATAGGCAAGTGCCAGTCATAGATTTTGTTTGCACAAATGAATGAAAATTAGGTACCGGTAATAGAAAGTAAATTTGGCGATGAAAGGAATTGACTATTACTACAGGCTACAGCGAATAAAACCAATTGTGATTGCTTTCGAATAGTTTATTTATACCTAGCTATCTCTGATATAGGCTACCTCATTTAAAATATAGCATCTGTTTATTTATATTTCATTCTGTGGGACACATTTGGCAACAGTATTGAAAACTTATATTTAGTCCTATATATGTTTTGTATTCAATACAGATACTAATAATTTTTAATCTTGGATTCTATATGGCTCGTGTTGTTAAAGAAGGCTACCTACAAAAATATTCGACTGGTATATTCAAAGGCTGGAAGAAAAGATATTTTAAGGTATTTTCTGATGGGCAGTTTGTATTCTATGATCATAAAGATGGACCTCGTGGAGGGAATATCAACATAGCAACACAATGCCAAGATATTCAAGTTGGAGCAGGGATAATGGCTAAAATACCAAAGCTTCCTGATAAATATGAGACTGATTGTATTTTCCTGTTCATTGCAAGGGATAAAAGGTTTCTCCTTCTGGCGGACAATCGTCGAGAACTGGATTCATGGTTGCAGGCTTTGAATAATGCACGTCCAATTCATCCACAAAATTATCAACAAGTCACTTCAGGCTACCCACAATTCAATCCACAGTCTTCTAACAATGGTTATGTTGGTCACTCTGCAGCACCGCCATACCCCGCAGCACCTCCTCCCTATGTTCCGGAGGGAGGTCTTCCACATCAGCCAGTCGGAACTCTTGGTTTCGAAGGACTAGCAGTTAGTCAAAATCAACCGTATCCACCGCCGCCACAGCCAGGATATGGTGGACATTATCCCCCTCCACAAGGACCTTATCCCTCACAGTCCGGTCCTTATCCACCTCAGCCAGGCCCATATCCACCTAGTGGACCTGCCTATCTTCCACCCCCGAACACTGGATATCCAGCACCGCAAGCAGGTGGCCCTTACCCTCCGCCATCTGGAGCATTTCCCCCTGGCGCATACCCAGTACAGTATGGATCAGCTTACCCTGCATATCCTCAACAAGGAGGCTATTATCCGCAACAGGGTGCTTATCAAGGTGGATATGCACCACAGCAAGCATACTCACATAAGCAAAAGAGCAAAGGTGGCTTGGGAGCATTAGGTGGTTTGCTTGGTGGCGGTGCAGCTCTTGCTGGAGGTCATGGAATGATGAAGAAAGCTGGAAAGCATAAAAAACTTATTGGGGGTGCAGCGGCTGCAGCACTTGGTGGATATGCTCTGCATAAGGCGACAAAAAGATTTTCCTGGAGTAGTGGCTCTGGGTGCAGTTTCGGTAGCTTTGGCAGTTTCGGAAGCTTTGGTAGCTAATCGTAATTGTTACTGTCGGTTTTCTCACATATCATATTGCATGTTTTATTTATCTTTCTCTATCAGGTCAAACTTCATATTGCTTTTTTTTATTTTTGGGACTTATATTGCACTGAAATACTACATGAACCACCTTTTTCAATCTATTCTCGTTCATTCAACATATTGCAAATACATGTAGGGTATAATGCAATAATATTATGAAGCTCATTGGAAGCATAAATTGATCGCTTTGTATAGATTGTGTTGTTGCTGATGCAAGAAATATATTCAACTCCTTTAACCTCATAAATTCATTTTAAATACTGTACACCCTGGGGGGAAATTATCGTTGCTATTCATTTGTATTAGCTTACACAATTTGGGAAAATATTCCACTTTGTTGGAGTTTTGTTTTAATTTCCATTGTTTATCACCTACTTAGTTATAGCAAGTGTGACTGCCATACTCATTTTGGTTTCTCTTACAACATAGTATTGGATATTTTGGCATGTGCTTCGACTAAATAGCCTACAGTTCAAGCATCTACCTTGTAGCCTAATGTATTTAATCCAAAATAGATTATTTTCATATGTAATTTTTTTTGTATTCTTCAAAGTAAACACTAAAACCATTGTTTAGCACCTAACTGAATAGGCTATGATGTGATTGTTTGGTGATATAAATTTTCATTTGTCACATGTCACAAATCAAACTATTTTTAGTGTCAGGCGTTGCTAGTGATTTTTGTGTTTTCTATATTTATTAGGGTAAAAATTACACCATTACAGTACTTCAATAAACTAGACTTTTTTTTGTATTGTAGTAGATGTAGTATTGCCTTGTATACACAATTGTTGATTGATTTTTTTTTGGTACATGATTCATTTTCTTTAATTCACTAAGCTTGGTTGACTCAAGAAAAATAAATTATATTTACCTTTGTGTATGCGTTTTTTGTTGTTGTATTAACGTGGGTTGCTGAATAGGATATGATGTGTTTAAGAGATGTGACGGCGGACTAGCGAACCTGACACGTCATTGCATCATAGTATGTTGTCTTATTATCCTAATAGTCCGGCAGATAAGGGGCCTTTTTGGGCCCAACCTTGTTTTCAAACATTAATTTTATTTATTTGTGATTATTCATCTTGGGGCCACTGCCCATCATTTCTATATACAATAGCAGCCTTGAGCAATTTTTTACGGCTTGATATTTGTAATAATTTTTTTTCATCAAATCTGTGAACAATATTAGCACACAACCAGAACCCTAACCTGCTACAATACTATGTTCAGGTTATGTGCCATCTTGGTGCTCAAACTGCAGAAACACCAAATTTACTATGAAATAAAATCAATAACTTTTAGGTATTTGTTAAACCTAGCTTTGGGTCGCGACCCATATATATGGCAATACAGTACTATTTCAAAATACCCGCCTTTGTGGCAATTAACAATACAAGCCTGCAATGCAGTGGTTCAAGTGGATATACACCCCAAGGAGAACAGTCAATTATTGGACCTCCTGAAGTATGCGCACCAAGATGGCGCACAACCTGAACTCAGGTTGTGTACCAGGTTAGGGTTCAGGTTATGCGACATCTTAGTGCGCATACTTCAGAGTACCCAATTATTTGTTAGCAAGGATTGTTATGCAGCGGGATAATCACGACAATGAAGTGGAAGATAATGCTATCACGAGAACAAGAGTGAAAACATTGCGGACCTCCAAAAGTATGTGCACCAAAATGGCGCACAACCTGAACATAGTAGGTGTACCCGGTTAGAGTTCAGGTTGTGCGCCATTTTGGGCACATACTTCGGGAGCGCCAAAATTGCTACATTTTATAGTATATTCCTGGGAAAGTATGTAGTTCATTCTTGTGTTCCATGCCAATGCTTTTCAAACTACCAAAGACTCTCAACACGTTTGCTTCTTCTCTTCTATAAAAATACATTGTTATTATATATTCACATTTCCATTCGTTTGTTCGTGCTCCCAGATACCCGATCAGTGGCCTCCAAGGAGGCCGGGGTCCCCTTTTAGGAAACCCTGTCATAAACTAAAAGAGGCGACCGTGCTTCTCTTGCCTGTTGTCATGCTGTCCCTCGAATTTGGCTACAACAAAAAATTCACGGAAACGAAGGTTTACCAAAATAAAATTAGATGAAAAATGGTAATATAAAGATCAATTTAGCAATATTATATATACTTAAAACTTGGTGATATGCATCTGTTGATAATTTTATATGTTTGTTTCGGGAAACTTTCGAGACTTTCTGTATGTGGCTGGGCTTAGATACCAATTGGCACTCATGTAAACTGGTAAGAAAGAGGCATGCGACGTAGCAGATCCATCTCCAAGCTGTCATTTGAGTTGGTACTGCTGTTTTTATTACAGATGATATTGATCTTTTTGTATTAAAGTTTTGCTGGCATCACCGATTTAAGGATGCCAAATGATGGATATAAATAAACCAGTTGAAAACCAACACGCAATATTACAAAACTTACTTCCAACACGCGGTTTGAACGAATGAAAATGCTGAAACTAGTAGAACAGCATACAAATTCTATGGAATGAAATCATACACAAAAGCTTGTCAAAAACCTATAGCTCAATAAACAAGTGGAATATGATGCATATGTGCAAAAATGTGCGCGTTACTACGTACAACTGAAGCACACAGGAAAATGTGTGTGATGTACTGGTGATCAAAATGTTTGACTCAATTATGTTGGCCTAACAGGTGCACATCTCGGTTTCGCATACGCATACCTTCTATCTCCACAAGGATATATTCATTTGGCCAAAGTCAATGCTGCACCTGAAAGGTTCCGGTTTTTCCAAAAGAAAACACGTTACACATTGTTAGATACCAGTGGATGGTTTTACATGGCCTTGTCCCAATCTATTTTAACTAATAATATTTTCCCCATCCCCTAAGCTTTAAGCAGGAAAACGGAATGCCCGAGGCAACACAAATGTAGTTTGAAGAGCGCAAAAGAAAGTGGCTAGATGCTGTCGATGGATCTTGGCTTATATTAGTGAAATGAACTACCATTTATTCTACTAAAATTGAATTTCTGACATTGTAAGGAGATTCAATGTTACTATGTATTCAAAACTAACCCATGTGATTATGAAATAATTGTTTTTAACAAAAAGGGGCTCCTGAAGTATTTGTACCAAGATGGCGCACATCCGGAACATTGTAAGGAAGACGATGCTCGAGAAAATTTTTCTTGGAAAAATATTTGGCCACTTTTGTGTGTTATTGCGGGCCGGATAAAATGACGACGCGGGCCGGATCCGGCCCGCGGGCCGTAGTTTGGTGACCCCTGGATTAGAAAATAACGAAGCCGGTGTGTAGTTTGCAGCAGCTAAACCACATACTTTTGATTCATATTGAACTAGCAGTTCAGGACGAGAGCCGTTAAAAGGGAAAATGACTCTTTCATGTTGTTTCTGAAAGTCCTGACCAAGCAATAAATCACAACAAAGACCTCGAAATACTTTAAGAGGCACTTTGGTATATGAACGAGTACCAATTATCATATCAGTTATAGGCCGCGAGCCGAAGTCCTGAAAAACGCCTAGAAAGTGAGTTTCGTAGCGCACATCAGGTAACTACCTGAAAATGATTTTTAAATGTTCCTTAAAAATTTAGTAACAAATATTGCCTTGTTCCCACTTCCAAAAGTTGCACGTTTCACGGAAAAGACGCTTTTACTACAAGAAATATGTGCTACGATCTGTCCTATATTCTCTACATTTTCGGCAATGAACAATGACTTCTGCATGACGTAACAATTGAATTGAATCAGCTGTTAGCGAGCGGATGAATATTAGTTATTACTGCTCGACCTTGCGTTGAGTTGGGCAGCATTTCCATAGCCCTGTTTAGTTATTATTAGTTAAGTTATGCTAAAACGTTGTTGAAAAATGTATAAGTAAGTTATTGAACACTTGTAGATCCTTATCATGGATATGGGCCGTGAGACGAAGCCTTGAAAACGCCTAGAAAATGAGTTTCGTAGCGCACATCTGGTAACTAAATAAATTCTTCAGTTTTGTGTGAAAATGAACATACTGAACATACTTGTTCCACAATCCTGATGTGAAATTGAATATAAGAGGTTCCCGGAAATTCAATAACCATAAGTTCACAACACATACATCAGAACTATGCAATTCGAGAGCCCTACAGCACACTAACACAAATGTATTCCTGTAATGTTTTGCCTGACCAAAATCGAAGCTATAGCTTTATAGAAGCTATCAAACGTATTTATTTTTAAGCAATGAAGTCACAAATTACCATCGTGAGCACAAAAACACAAATAAATCAGTTATTTCTCACTTAGAAATTTACCAGAAAAGTCAAGAAAATTAAATGAATGTACAACATGACATGTTGAACATGTACATAACATAGTGAACAGAAATATTACAATTAGTCTTTTTTTAGTTTATGTGGTTATGTATTTGAACAAAGGCAATATTATTTATAGAAACAGGACTACGACACTAACAAATGTTCGAAAAAAACAAACAAATAAATGATACTTAATAAATCAACTGCAATATCTAATTCACTTTCTTCTGAATTGTTTTCGAAATCCACTATCTCGAAAATCGACTTTTCCTCTATAAGTGTACTGTGATTTTGGCACACTTGCATAAATTATTTTGACTATTTTTCTTACACTTGCAGTTTGCCAACTCAAGAACTGATTTGAGGGCCACATGCTTCTTCAGTCAATCATTGTTGGGTATAATCCTTATGTTTGCCAGTGTTAAATAGACGTGCCCTGGTATCATTTACATTCTTCATATCCTCTTCATACAGTGAACAAACAAATTCCTCAGCTTTATTTATTAATGCCTCGTTAACCTCAAAAGATCTTCATAGTTGAGAAAAAATGAATTGAAAACCACAATGAAGTATCCAACATGAGTTTGATGGGCAGTTCCAATTGCAGAAAAGTGCTAAAGTATTTCAATATGAATAGCCCATCTAAGCTGTTTGTAACTATTATGATTCTCATATACCTTTACGCTTCAAGACTTCTTGTTTAATCCATTTTATAGCACTGATAGCAGCAGGGATTAGAGCCTGCGTTAGGTCAGATTGGTGGAACATTGCCGTCTTCTTTTGTAGTACAGTATCTAAAATGAGGAAGAAAATCATATTTGGAACAGCATGAATGTAAAAATACCACTAAATACTAACTAATACCTTGAATACATAATGCATTTTATCTGATGTACTCGATGAGCGTATATATGCTCATTGCATGTACTACAGTCCAGCAGTGTTTGCATACCATTACTATACTATATCTACACTAAATTTTGATATATCACAGTCAGGGATGGCCAATTCGAATAAAGTATTCGAATGTATTCGAATATCTCGTCATTCGAATATCGGAATTCACGTTCATAAGAATATCGGATATTTGTGTGACGTCACACATTTTCGACGCCGCTTTCAAGACGTTTCCGTTGAATGAAAACATTCTCGATATAAACTTGCGCGTGATTGTTTTTATCACTCATCAGCGTAACGTGTTATTTAGGCCGGTAAACGCCTTTACGATTGTGTTATTTTCTCTAAAACGAAAATTTTCCACAAATTTGTTCCACGATAACGATAACATTTATTTTATTTTTGTACGCGCACGGAATTGTGAATCTGGTAAATGCGTTCATCGGCGGCGAGTTTCTAAAGACAACGCAACTTTCTGACTGAAAAGCGGCAATTTAAAATACTGAAAATAAAACGGTAAACAACAAAAGTTTTATTGAGGCCCGCGAAAATTTAAAAAACGCTTTTCTAGGCAGTGAAAATCGCAAAATTTCGTGTGCCTCTGGCACACATTATGTTTGGTCGGGGTTTAGAAACATATCGTCACTAATTGAGGGCGGGATTTGCC